TGCAAAACCTTCTCATGACAAAGAACATTTTCCTCAATCAAGCTTAAATCAGGTGGTGGAGTTGATGCTAGTAACTTGCTGCCATGGTGTTTTTTAAGAAGTGAAACATGGAAGACAGGATGTATCTTGACATGAGCAGGCATCATCAATTTGTAAGCAACTTCTCCAATCTTCTCTTCCACCTTGTAAGGACCATAATATCTTGACATCAATTTCAACTGAGCCTTGATTGCCAAAGTGGTCTGTTTGTATTGCTGTAGTTTGAGATAAACCCAGTCTCCAACATTCACAATCCTTTCAAACATGTGATTGTCGGCATAAAACTTCATTCTGTGCTGAGCTTTTCGAAGATGCTCCTGTAAAAGCTTCAAAATTGATACTCTTTGCTGAACTTCATTGGCAGTAGCTGGAATTATGTTGTCGGCATACACCCGAACGGAAACATGTGAGGCTTCTCTCTATATAATGCTTCAAATGGTGTCATCCTAATGCTGGAATGGAATGATGAGTTATACGACCACTCAGCAAGGGTTAACAATCTATTTCATGAACTTGGCTTTTCACAACAGAAACATCTCAAGTAAGATTCCAAACATTTATTAACTCTTTCAGTCTGTCCATCAGTTTGAGGATGATAGGCAGTACTCATCTTCAACTGTACTCCCAAGAGTTTGAACAGCTCCTTCAAAAAATGACTAGTAAACATGGGATCTCTATCTGTGATGATATCATCTGGTAGGCCATGCAATCTGAAAACTTCTTTAAAGAATAATTCAACTACCTTAGGGGCTGTAACAGGAGGCTGTAAAGCCATGAAATGACCGTACTTTGTGAGACGGTCCACCACTACTAATATAGTATCAAACCCTTCTGAGATGGGTAGCTTCACAATGAAATCCATGGAAATGTTCTACCATGAATGCTGAGGAATAGGGTTTGGACAAAGCAAACCAGGAGTGGCTAAATGCTCCACCTTATTCTTCTAACAAACCACACAACTCCTGAAAAATTCTTCTACCTCAGTCTTCATTTGAGGCCAGTAAAAGATACTTTTCAACCTCTGCCAAGTAGCATCCTGCCCTGAGTGACCCCCCCAAAGGAGAAGAATGAAAGCTTCTAACAAGGAATTCCTGATATAAGAATGACTCCCCCACATAAATCTTGCCATTCTTCCTCAGAATACCTTGAATGTACTAATATTCAGGTTGATGTTGAGGATCCAATGTTATTCTAGCAATCATATCAATGGCAAACTGATCCTGTTCATAACTCCCCATGACTTCTTGCATCCAAACTGGTTGTAGAGAAGTAGTAGTACATAGGAATCCGTGATCAACAGTTGCACCATCTTCATGATTTCTTCTAGATAAAGCGTCAGTAGCCTTATTCTCAACTCCCTTCTTGTATTGAATCTCATAATCATAACCCATCAACTTAGTGAGCCATTTCAGCTGATTAGAGTTGTTGACAACCTTTTGTTCCAGCAAGTATCTCAGTGACTGATGATCTATTCTTATAGTGAAAAGGTTCCCCAACAGGTAATGCCTCCACTTAGTAACAGCTAATACCAATGCCATTAACTCCTTCTTATACACTGAAAATCCTTTGCTCCTCTGAGTGAAAGCTTTGCTCAAATAAGCTATAGGTTGTCCACCCTGCGTAAGAATTGGCCCCATTCCAGTGTCACAAGCATCTGTTTCCACTATAAAAGCTTGAGAAAAATATGGCAATCTCAAAACTGGAGAAGATGTCATACATTGTTTTAGAGTCTGAAAAACTATTTGAGCTTGTTGGTTCCATTCAAAAGCACTCTTCTTCAATAAGTTGGTCAATGGCTTACATATGATGCCATAACCCTTGATAAACCTCCTGTTGTAACCAGTAAGCCCCAAGAATCCTCTCAATTCCTTGACATTAACAGGTACATGCCACTCTTGAATACATTTCACCTTCTGAATATCCATGCTAACCCCCTGTGAAGAAATGGTATGTCCCAAGTAATCAATAGAACTCTTAGCAAATTCACATTTGCTTCTCTTTGCGTACAGCTGGTTTTCCTGCAAGATCTATAAGACATGCTCCAAATGCTTAACATGATCTTCAAGATTCTTGCTGTAAATCAAGAAGCCATCAAAGAATACCAAAACAAACTTCTTTAGAAATTGCTGGAAAATCTTATTCATCAAAGACTGAAATGTGGCAGGAGCATTAGTGAGTCCAAATGGCATAACCAGGAACTCATAATGTCCATTATGGGTTTGAAACGCAGTCTTGTAAACATCTTCTTTATTTACCAGAATTTGATGGTAACCTGACCTCAAATCCAGCTTAGAGAACACAGTAGCTCCATTCAATTCATCTACAACTCCTCTATAATGGGAATTGGAAACTTGTCTTTGATAGTCATCTCATTCAGCCTTCTATAGTCAATATACATCCTCCAACTACCATCTTTCTTCTTAACTAGAATCACTGGTGATGCATATGGACTTTTACTAGCTTGTACAATCCCTTGCTCCAATAATTCAGCTACTTGCTTCTCTATCTCGGCTTTATGTGCATGGGAGCACCTATAGGGAGGGGTCTTGAAAAGTTGTGACTCCAATTTGAGTGGAATATGATGATCCACATTTCTGTTGGGAGGAAGATTCTCAGGATTTGCAAAGACTTGATAGTATTTATCCAACAGCTTGCAAATCTTCTCAGGTAATGGAATTTCCATCATAGAAGTTTCCTGAGTATCCAAGGAATTGAGATGCATGGAAAACAATCTTCTCTTCCTCTCCTTTTACAATTGTTGACTCTCCTTATTCCTAACCAGTCTCATGCCTGCCACACTTCCAATGCCTTGCAAGATGTACTGTCTTCCATATTTACTGAGTCTAACATGCATATCATCAAAGTCAAAAGTAATGGGGCTAAAAGTTTCATCCAATCAACACCCAAAATTATGCCATAGCCTCCCAGTTTCATAATCTTCAGGTCGTAACTGAACTTGTACTCATTAATATTCCAATGTAGTTTAGGACATACCAAATTTTCAGACACCTTATTACCATTTCCTACTGTTATGGTGTACATATTTCCTCAGTAAAGTGCAGTTTAAGTTCCTGAACCAATGCCACATCAAAAAAACTATATGTGTTCCCAGTATCAATTTAGATTTTGATCACCTTTCCATCAATTTTTCTACAATGGCCTGTTTGACATTATCAACTGATAGAACATGCAGAGATCCTTCTTCTATAGTTAAACCATTCAGATCAATCCCTTCATCAACAATAAATTCTGGTACATTCAATGACTCGGATTCTTTTTCCATAGCATCATCATCCTCAGTAACTATCATTATATTGAACAGTCTATATTTGCAAATATGGCCCGGACCAAATTTCTCTCCACATTTAAAACATAAATGGTTATTCATTCTATATTAATACTCCTCCGAACTTAACTTATTCACGAAATCAGGATTGATAGGCTTATTTGATTTATCAGCAGTTCTTGGAACACTAGCAGTTCTATGAACAACGTGAGGGTTTTTGTTTACCTGTTGGTGGGGAATTCTCTGCTTCTTCCACAAGATTTCTAGCTGTAGCTCCTGTAGGTGAGCAATCTCGTACAAAGAAGTCAAAGTAACAGGTTCAAACATCCTTACAGCAGCCTTAAGTTCCTCCTTTAAACCGCTAATGAAACTGGAGATGAAATAGTTTTCTGACAATCTAGGATCTTGCATCAACATCCTGCAACGCAATTCTTCAAATTTGTTCTGATAATCCTTAACTGTCTCTGTCTGAGAAAGCTTGTTGAACTCCTCTATCGGATCCAATTCCTCCAATACAGTGAATCTTTTCAATAATTCCGTCTTGAATTCCCCCCAAGAAGGTTGAGGATTGATCAATTTGAAAGATCTGAACCAAGAATCCGCCAAATCTTTCATGTAGAGTTCAACATAGTCCACCTTCTGATCATCTGCTACTTGATGAAAAAGAAAGAACTTTTTCACATTTCATGATCCAGTCTCGAGCCTTATCTCCAGTAAACATAGTCAACTCGATTCTTGGCTGAGTGTACCAAGGTAACTTCTTCTCCTTCAGATTGTCTATTGTTTTCACCACCGTCGGAGAATCGACCACTATATTCACCACTGGAACTGCCGGAGTCTTAGATTTGTCAGTGGGTGAAATCCCCATAATTCCTTCTTTTCCGCAGAGATGCCATGAATTCTTTGAGTTGAGCGTTCATTTGAAGCATCGAACCTTGAATTGCAACAATTGAACACTGCATTTCATTTATCTATTGACTGTGATCGGAAAACTTTGATTCCATATCGGAGATTCTTGATTCCACATCCAACCGTCCCACCGACATTTCACTGGAGCGTCTTCGTTCTTCCAAATCCTTCTGAGAACGAGTTTGCGTCATCACTAAGGTTCTTGAGCCGAGGATTGACTAGCTCTGGATACCAAATTGTCAGCCACCGGAACTTCTCCAACGAGTTCGCCGTCACCGGAAAATAACAGAATCAAGAATTGTAGAGAGGAGAGAGAAATAGAAGTTTCCAGAGAGAGAAGAAAACTGATTTTATTTCATTAATTTCGATGGTGTAACCCTTATTACATTTCAGTATTAATAAGGAAATCAGCAATTATGACTCTAATCATTGACTACAATCATTGACTTAATTACTGACTGAATCTATATTTCAACCACCATTGAATTGAGTCCACAGCTTTGCTGAAATTTCAATCTAGTCCCTAATATGTGACAACAAGATTGTCTGTAAGAGGCCCACCGAAAGAAGACCAATAAAATTGTTGTTACTGATCCTGGCCTCCTGGGCTGAGAACTTTGTCTCCGTGGGATAAAAATCTATCATGGATTCTCATAATCTAGGGACTCAATTGCTTTAATTTAATAGGCTAAGGGCTGCTATGTAAATATGCCAACTACCAGACTATATATAGTCTTGGTTGGGGCTAAATTATCATTATGGAAGAGTTTTATGTGGAATTGATTTTTTAAATTTTGGCAGATCCCCAATTGTCCCCCTTTTGTAGAACCCTAATTTTTCCCAAAATCGGCGATTTACACCGATTTCTTCTCTATTTGGATCTCTAATTGGCCGGAGCATTACATTTGGCCTCAGAGCTAGACCTTCCTTGGCATTATTAGATCCAATTTTTGATTTTCCGCTCAAAATTGACTCTGATTTCTGGTTCGAGAAAGCCTCTGAAACCCTCAATTCCCAAATCATCTTCTTCATTTCCCTCTCTGAAAATTTCGTCAAACCCGTCTTCCCTTTCAACAAATCCAATTCCAGTGACAAAAATGACACGAGCTAGGGCTGCTGTTGATGAATCAGTGAAGGAATCAAACAACGACGCCAACCCTTCTCGTCTCGAGGGCCTTGAATCGCGTATGGTGTCCTTGGAGTCGAAGTTCGATTTGTTAATGGCATCCATGGCAGATCGTGACGCCAAAGTCGACAAGATGATGGAGTAGTTCCAGCCGATGATGCCACGTAACCCGGAGAAGGCGCCGGTGTCCGAAGTTTCATCGCCGACGTCCCCTACACCTTACCGGCCGCCGTTTTGCACAAGTCAAGGCTGAGAACACTCGAGCCACATTCAAAGCGGCCATGGAGAAGGGAAACGGACGCTCCCCAGTCAACGCCATGCACGTGGAACAGAACAACCACACACGCATCGGCAACTCGCCTGGTGATGGCCTTCCACCAGATTTCATCACTCCCGGAGGGTCTCAGGGTGATAACAACCCTTGGGGACACCAGACTTATCGGTGGTACCACCATCCCCGACTGGATTTACCGGTGTTTTCTGGCGACGAACCACAGAATTGGTTGCGCAAATGCCGTAAGTATTCTCAGATGCATCACATCCCGGAGGCAGAGATGGTGGATTCTGTGGAGCTGTTTCTCGATGGAAAGGCAGATACGTGGTTCCAGGGGGTCAAGACTGCCTATGGTAAGCCCTCATGGATCGAATTTTCTGAAGCTTTAGTTAAGCGTTTTGGTAATAGTAATGGCCAGGATTGTGTTGAGGAATTTAGTAAACTAGTGCAGTTTGGAAGTGTAACTGAGTACCAGGAACGTTTTGAAGAACTTCGTTCTAGGTTGTTGCTGCTAGGTTATAATTTTGATGATAATTATTATGTGTCTTGTTTCATTAGTGGTTTGAAAGCTGAATTAAAACCTGCTGTTAGAATGTGGCACCCTAGAAACATCACTACTGCTTTTGAAATTGCCCTTTATCAGGAGCAATCTCTGTCTTTTAGTGGTAATTTGGGTTCGCCGGATTCTGGTCAGACAGAATCACCTGTTAGTTTCCCTGGCAGTTTGAGGGGTAGTAGTGAGTCTCCGGTAGGAAACAGTGGGAAAAAGGGAAATGATCAGTCAGCTGATAAGTTTGTTAAGGACAAAGAAAGTGTGTTTGAGGCTAAGAATGGAAATGGACTTAAAATGAATGGCTATAAGGGCCTTGGTAACCGTTACTTCAAGAAAATTTTACCCCAGGAATTTCAGTACCGAGCCAATAACGGCTTGTGTTATAGGTGTGGTGAACGGTACAAGCCTGGACATGTTTGCAAGTTCGGACAGGTAAATGTGATGCTGTGTGAAGAAGTAGCCAAGGCAAATGTCTTTGAAAATGCACTATGGACCATTGACGGTGAAATGGTAGAGCTGAGCGAGCTACCTCATGATGGTTAATGCTTTCAAGCTGGCAGCTTCTGAGATTTATCCAGGATGCTGCATTTTTCAGGTTGCTGAAATGGTGTTCCTTTTGGAATCTGTTTGGTTCGAGTAGTACTTATTTATGCGAATAATTTTGTTGTTTAGTTTTGTTCCATTGACTATATCCTATGGGTAGTGTCTGCTTAGTAGTAAGCTTTATGTCAGTTTTACTTTTCAGTTTGAGTTGTAACCTTGTAAAAATAGTGTTGGGGACAACACTGTTTTTAGTGGAGGGGTTTGTCATGGATTCTCATAATCCAGGGACTCAATTGCTTTAATTTAATAGGCTAAAGGTTGTTATGTAAATATGCCAACTACCAAACTATATATAGTCTTGGTTGGGGCTAAATTATCATTATGGAAGAGTTTTATGTGGAATTGATTTTCTAAAATTTGGCAGATCCCCAATTCTCCCCCTTTTGTAGAACCGTAATTTTTCCCAAAATCGGCGATTTACACCGATTTCTTCTCTGTTTGGATCTCTAATTGGCCGGAGCATTACAAAATCCACTTCAAAGCCTCGGTGATAATTAGTCCAGTACTCCAGTGGCAATGCAAAGCCTTTAGTAGAAGCACGCCGAATGTTTTTTTGTTTTTTTTTTTTTAACTTTTACTTTTTCGTTTTGATAAAACGCCGAATATTTTTGTATCCGCCTAAACCCTAGAAGAATGAATTTGTTGTTCCCCTTATCTTATCTCTCCTTTCACCCTTTCGGACAGCTAATTAATTTTGGTCGGCATTAATTATGAGCCTCCGATTCTCACAAGCAAGGATCATATTCCAAGTTTAACTTAGTTAACAATGGATTGCATCAGGGTTACATACTGAAGGTAACCAATAAACGCGGTCAATTACAAAGGAAACAACGATCTTGGTCCTTAATTACGCGAACCAGTTCTTTTTTTTTTCTTTCTTCCCCTCTACTAGTTGGATTTTATATGTATATATATATATATATATAATTCACTGTACAAGCACCTGAATAAATATAATTTAACAAAAGAGGTACTGGCATTGTTTGAAGTAAATCTTTATAGAAAAGAAAATCCAAGAAATGGTAAGAAAACAATGGAAAAAAGTGAAAAACTCCAGCATTGTTTGCTTGATGATGTTTTCCCTTTTTATTTATTTTTTATTTTTACTAGGGATAGAAAATAATTAATACGGTCGATCGTACATTTTCTTCTTCTTTTTTTTTTTTTACATGGAAGTTAGATAAGCAGAATATTCCGTCACTCCATAGTTAGAAGGGTGCGGAATATTTCGTTTGCAAAAGTGCATGTGAGTTGTAAATGTGTCAGTATTATTTTTCTTTCCTTATTACTGGAGATTTACTAGTGATTTATATTACAAGAGGAGAGGGAATAATGAATTGATTAGTGAGCTTAAATGAAACTTATCCATATATATAGAGTTACTTACCCCATTTTATATAGGAGAGAAGAATATAAATCCATTTTCGTCGAGAAAAGAAGAGAATATATTGATCCGTTACAAGCAAATCCTCCGACCCCCATGATTCCCCAAAGAACATATATGTGGAACTCCGACATGATGATGACTTCAAGTGAATTCAAGTACGAGGAATACATCGGCAGCGTTTCCAAACCGCCTAATAAGTCTAATACTAGTATTATTGGTTTGTTTTCAATGTCTCCGCTCCTAATTAACCAATTTGCTCCAGCCAACAACAATAATAACAATATTATTATTAACCGTGGTGAGGAGAAAAAATACAGGAAAGATGGTGACGATGCCGTTGAGGAAAAGAAGAGGAAGAAAAGGGAGAACAACAAGAAAGCTTGGAGAAAGGCTCAAGAGAAACAACGCGCAAGAAAGACCCAACTGGAGTCGGAAATTGAAAACATTTGACTTCCAGCAATGCTGATCTCTCTAAGGAATTGGCTGAATTACGTCGCGCTTTAGATGTCCAAGCTGCTACCAATGCAACATTAAAGGAACGACTCGTTCATAATAATAATGATGATTATATGACACTCGCAGACGAAGCGGAGACGAGGTAAGTACAGGACATCATTAATAATAATGATGATGTTCAAAATCAACATGTTGGGATGGTAGCCTCCAATGATGGTTTCTTTGATGATTTTGGTGATGTGTATGTGAGTTTGGACATGATTCGTGACTTTGAGGAAAATTACGCAACTTGGAGAGTTGGATGATGATGATGAAACTGATCCTAGATCTTCACTATCTAGGGGTTCCTTGCTTTTATTACTTGTTTCTTTTCTTGGTGATTCATTAGTAATAATGATAGTTAGACTAGAGCTACTTAATTAATGTTGATAGGCTAGGTTGTAGAATTAGTTTGTTTTTGGTTTATCCTCTTTTCTGGCTCAAAATAAAGAATCTTTTGTTACTCCCTGCGTAGCTAATTAAATTAGGTTATCAATTTGTACTTAATTTTCCTCATGGTGATGAGCATCTTGTTGCTTTTTCCTTTTCCGTTTGCCAAGGATACTGAAAGCACTTGTGTATGTATTTGTAGAAGTGAGCCCTCCCTACACCTGGCTACACTAGGACTTTACCATTAAAAATATATTGGGTTCGCATGCTGCCGCTTGTGATAAATTGATACTCGTTGATGGGGGGAGAATTATATGAATTTTAGTTTCGCTGTTTTCATATACTTAAAGAAACAGTAATTTCATTCAGAAACACTTCATCAGGGTAAGGTCCCCCATATCCACAACCACGCTTTCATTGCTCTCTGCCTGCCTACTTGTGCACATAAACTTGTACAAACCTCCCGCGAATAGGTGTGCCTTCCCCCCCCAAAAAAAAAAGGAATATCCGGCAACTAATAACCCAACTTGAGAAGATAATTCACACTACTGATCAAGATTTCACGGATGAATCCACCCAAACCGACAAAATGAATCCGGCAGAGACAAACACTGGATTTCCATACCAGTTGGTTCTCAGGCTTGAAATCTCTCAGGAGCTCGAGAGAGGAGTTTCATCTTCTCCAATATTGTCATATGTCCTCATCTACAACATCACTTCCTGCAATCAAACTCAGGACGGATGTGATTTTATGCAACTCTGATCTGTCGCAGATGTGCAAAACCAAGTAAACAAGCGGCAAACTTTATTCATATATGCTTTAGTGGAATGCCAAGGGCTCACAATATTCCTTAATCTAGACTGCATATGAGCATTGCACAGGTCTCTATCTTGCAAGGCTTGTCTGTTGTTACCATCTATGTTCTGTCCACAAAATATTCATCCAAAATAGTGTGAACAAAGGTTCATCATTCACACCATCAATTTCAATCTCAATCATCCTCTGCTGATTTCCCAGCATACGATAATCATCTCCTCAGAAACCAAGTACATCTTGCAGATCTTCCAGTAAACTCTCCAATTCATAAAATACAGTTTCCAACTCAACAACCATGGTACACAATTGTGGCTACACAAATGTCAGAATCACTTTTACAATATGAACACTATCCCAAAACGGAACGTGATGGTGATAACTAAAACTATTTCACAATAATCTAGTATATGATTTAGAGCAACTGACTGATAACAAATGAAAGACTAAGGAAGCTAACTTTAACCCCTGTTGAAAACAACATGATAACTTGCACCAATGAAACATCAAAATATCTTTTTTTTCATTTGGCAAGCATTACAAACTTACTAGTACAACGAAGAATAGACGTACATGATAATATGCACGTGGTAACAGCAGGTTGTAATGAAAGACTCGAGTAGTCTCGAAAGTCTGGGGGGATATGATATCCATATTCCAACTAGACAAAAATTGGTTGCCTTTGGTTGGCAGTACACAACGGCGAAAATTCTTGCATTCAGAAGAAAAGGGGACAAGATTACCCAAATTGCTTGACTGGTTAATAGACTCAGGAGGCCTAACAATCAATCAAACACAGCAGTGCATCAATAAAACTCTCTCGCAGTGAGAGGTCAACAACATAACCTAATCCTGTTCTGTCAACCTACCAACACATATTCTCGTCTAAGTTTAAATACATCATGTCCTTCATAGTTTCTCCGTACCAAATCATTTTAAGCCACCAGAATAGAAATATTAAAATGTCTAGTGACTAATCAATCAACCCTAAATCACATTAGTGGTATTTCCCTCCTTTTATTACAAACATGATGCACAATCATGCAGCAAAGTAACAAGCTTTGAAGAAAGAATCAGCAATAATGAAAATCATTAACATGCATCATGCAAACTGAAATATTAAAAGAATCATCTTTCATTGATATAACCCCAAATGATGCACATAGCCAAGAAAAATTAAGCACAATGTGCAAGAGGATCCTACTCAATTTTCTTCCGAGCATGCAGCTTACTATTTCTTTCTCTAAACAATTCAATCCAAAGGTTGGAAATCCATAAAATACTAACACAAATGGCCGTAAAGACCACACAAACCCAAGAAACCCAAACCCATCTAGGAATAACCCGATCAGCCAACCCGGCCAAATAAAACCCGAGCATCCGATACACAAAGTAAGGTCCCACGAATCCCCTCACCAGCGTGTACAGCACATAGAAAGGAGGAGACAACACCTCATAAACACGAGCAGCAAAACCCGAATCCGCTCTCCGGGCCCCGGCTAAAGTCCACACGTTCTGACAGAGGCTAGTAACCTCGGCCAGGATCAAAAGTACCATAATGGCGAAAGCCCCATGGAAGACCAAGTAACGGCAGGTGATGAATACGAAGAGGGTTGCCAGGTGGTGGCCTATGAAGAGGACATCTGTGGGGTAAAACACCAAGTAATGGCAGAGGTCCATGGTGAAATAGGCGATGCTGTAATCGAGGACCAGAGATTGGAACGGCGTGTTGGGGGAATGGAAGTCCCGAATCGGGTCGGAAAGGATGGCCCAGGAGGCTAAGATGACGGCGGGAGTGCCGTGTGCTAAGGAGATGACGCAGCTGGAAGCTTCGGGTCGGAGTTTGGTGGCCCATTGCCGGAATATGAAGAAGTAAGCCAGGAGGTACAGTAAGAGATACACAGTGAAGAAGATGGGGAGATTCGGGATCGAAGGATGAAGAAGGGCTTCCATCAAATTGATGATACGAAACCCCAATTGAATCAAGTAATGGAAATAGGAAGAAAATCAATTAGAATTTTTGAGTTTTACCCTTTTTACCTGGTGAAACTAGTGATACAAGTGACTTGTATGAGTTTGGGGAAAGCGGGGAAATGGGAGATGCAGAGAAAGTGAAGTTTAAAGGAAGACGGACAAGGAAGATTTCGTGTAAGAAAACAAAAGGGGGGTTTGATTTTTAGGGAAGAAGAAGAAGAGTAGCGAGGTGGGTCAGGTTTTGGGATTCTTTTTCCTCCTTTTTGTTTGGTTGGTCAGGTTGGGGGGCGATGGGCAAGGAACTGAAGGAAGCGGGGGGATCTGGTATATTATTCTGGTGTTCTCAGTATTTGTGTACTTTTCGAGAACTTTTAGATTGTCGAGACAACGTTAACTAGGTGCACCAAAGTAGCCACGTATTACTTCCCCTTTTTTTTAATTTAATCTGTATAGGTATTTAAAAAAATAATATTGAGATTTTAATTTTTAAATGTAATAGTACTTTTCTTATATTGGAAATAAGCCATAAATACATAAAAATATATATATACATATTACTAAAAGTGGGGAGAGATGAGAGTATAATTAGAAAAAGTATAGTTAATATTGAATTTATCTTGCAAATTTCAACCTCGATTCGAGAAACTATAACTGAAGGTAAATCTTTTGCTTGAATTTGGCAAAGTAAGTTTTTTTATAGAAAGACGATTAATTCTCGATTGAGGTAAAATTGAATGATGAAACTCGATATTTCATGAATTAATATTGCTATTAGAAGGAGTACGACATTGGGTTATTAATTAGGAAAGTTCTAGAGTCTTATTGTCTATTTTGAGAGTTCCGTCCCGTTAAAATTTAACTAATAAGAAAGTGACACATCAACATAATATTAAATTTTCCTAATGTTTCAATTTTTTTTTTTGACCTACTAAACAAGTAAACTTACCAAAATTTAAAAAATTGAATGATTTAGGAAGGTTTTAATATTTAAAATAAAAAAAATTTATTATTAATCAATAAATAAGTTTCCTTTTTCTCATTATATCTATGGCACAAATACTTATATATGATTGCACATTAGTTTATAAAACATTGCACGTAATTAATTAATAATTAATTGCACTATATTTTATTTTTTTTATTTTTATAATAAGTTAATAATAGATACCTAAGCATTGCACTTTTGAGGATGCAATTGCACATTCAAGAAAAATATATTGCACATTTACTTTCAAACAATTGAATTATACCAAAACTTTTTATAATTCTTAATTAAACTTTCCAATTTTATTTTTACATAACAAACAAATCTATGTGTGATTGTGCATTTGCTCATTACAAATTGCGCAGATATAAATATATTTATACATAATTGCACGTCGGCTTAAAAAAACATTGCACCATTTCTTATATAAGTTTTATTTAGTAATATTGCAAAGGAAAAAAAAAACATGTGTATAATGAAGTGGAGAAGACAATGGTAATAAGAAATAATGTACACACAAATGTAGCACGTTTAAAAATATATTATTATGTTTTAGTTATGATTTTTTAGTTTCGTTGACATCACTGGCCTTTAGATGGAACACTAATAGGAATTAATTTGATAGACTTTTATTTATACATCAAGGGCCGTGTTAACATTTTGTTATTTGGATTTTGAATTCTGAAAAATGGGTTAATGTTTCATATTTTATGAGGTGTTGTAGAAGACGTAGATTATTACTGTGTGCTTGTATTTTGGTTCCTTGGATTTATGTAGGGCATGGTAGTGTATCATTATTTTTTCTCATGTTGAATTATTAATTATTATGTAGTCAATGGAGAAGTAATAATCAAAGATAACAAGTAGAAACAATACGTAAACGTACGTAATTGATTTTGTTTTCTTTAGGTTCTGAAATTTACCTTGACGATTTCGTTAAATTCTTTTGGGAGAATTTGAAGCATGTCTTTACATGACTACCGATTTTCCGGTGTCAAATTTGCAGCTTCTTTTTATCAATTAACTCATTATAGATTTTGTAGCTTGAACCAAATCGAGGTTCTCAGTACCCAAACCACCATAATCAAATATTTTAAAAAGATACTGCATATAACTAGACCTACAACAACCAATTAGTCAAATTAATCTAGTCACTGCTTGTTGAGGAAAATTTCATACATATTCTTTAATTCTTGTTCATAATTAACCGAATTTGATAGCATTGGTATTTCACTGCTTGATTGTTGGTATTTCTGTAATAATTATGGCTCCTGTCCTTGCTGCTAACAGGTCATAGTGATTCTTATAATTATGAGAGTTTAAGGGTGGCAGTGGCAGCCATAATTTGGAGGAGCAATCGCGGCGGAATTGGACAATTATATTTGTTTTCTTTTCCATGGATAATCTAGCCGATTTGTTTTGCGGGGGAAAAGCTACTTAATTAATTAATAAAGTTATGGGTAGCCTCCATTTTTTAGTTTCAGAAGTGGTTGATCCAATTCCTACGACTTCTAATGTGTAGTTGAGAGAATAGGAAGAAAGAGATAGTGCCGGAGATCAGACTTCAGAGGATGAGCAGGATGTGCGGTTTGATTTCATGAGGACAGATTTGAGAAATGGACAAATTTTTACCCTAAATGTTAGAAAATGTCCTGATAAAATTACTGGCCATTTTGGAAAAGAGATAGTAGTATTGGCCTATTGGGTCACTAAGTTCATCATACAAAAATAGTAGACAGACCTTTCCCGATCTTTCACTAGGACACGCTTAGATCCTATATATGTATGTATGTATATTTTTTTTCGGTTAACATCCCGAAAGATATTTTTAGTCGTGTCGTCATAATTAGTATGTATTATATTCTGTAACATATTATCATAGTCCACTATTTGGATACTAAAAATTGTCTTTAAAAACCAATATCCCTTTCTGTCCTTCAATTATCCCATCATTCTTGTCTAATACTACTTCAATGTTTTCACAAATACTCTCTCCGTCCTAAAATTATTGTTCAGTTTGTGATTTCACTTTTAGTACAATTTAAACTAAATATAAAAATTCAAAGTGGACAATAATTATAGGACGGAGAGAGTAACACCTACGATTTTCCCGAATGATCAGCAAAGACAATTGGGTATACGGGTCATCGGTTGAGTATCCAAAACAAGAAGTTAGGCCTAGCATTAGTTCCATAATGGCCAAAATCGCACGGCCGCTTGGATAAGATTTCAAAGGCAAAATTCTGTTGTCAATAAGACATTAGATAAGCTACAACTAGATAGATTAGGATCATGCATCTAGAAATATTTTTTGTAACTAAGCCGATGCCTTCCCAATTATATTATGAAAAAAATTAAAAAGAAAATATAAAAAGAGAGGGGGGTATGGACTCTGTGGCCGGCCATTTGATATCGCTTGTAAAAATCCTATCCCCAAAAAAAAAAAAATATTATATCGTCGGTTAACCTAAAACAATACGATTAATTTTTTGGGGACGAGTGAGCCCGAGAAAAATGTAATTTCTTTTAACACCATGGTTCCACAAGGTATTGAAACTAATCCCACGTGGTATTAATTAGCAGCATGTATGAACCAACTCCCCAAAAATGGCGCAACCATCACAACATATTTACATCCAACCTATCGTATTCTACCATGACGAATCCAACTACAAAAGCCCCAACAAAGATCATGGCCAATTTCCTCATAACTACAATAAGCCAACTTCATTTTCATCGTCAGAGGAACATAAAATTGCAGCATATTGCAGAACGTGATCCCAGACTTAAATTTTGCATTGCACTAGCATAGAGAAATGCGGCCTTCCTAATCAATTTCCCCTTCCTCCACATCATCGCCGTTCAAACTAGGAGGAGAAAGGTCTTGATGTTGGTTGTTATGTTGCTCCCCGTCTTCATCATCTTCATCCACTTTCATGTACAGTCCGAGTTGCTCCAACGGATTATTACCCGCCCCAAACTTGAAACTGCCAAATCCTTCCTCCAACTGATCATCCGGACTGGACTGGTCAACAGAACTAGGCAACTGCTCAAGTGAGCCAGCTCTTAACATCTCTAAATCTTCAAGAAACCGGGAATTTCCATTTATTTCGACAGTCTGTTCTATCTGCGTAAAACATGTTCATCTGCATCAATACTCAAAACAAATATTACAGAACCAAACTACTACTTTCAACATTTTTAATTATCTAAGTTTACCTTTAACAGTGCCTGCCGAGCTGCTTCTCTCTCGAGTTCCCTTTTCTTTCTTGCTTCAGCCGCAGCTGCTTCTTCTGCTCGTCTCTTAGCGTCTTCCGCAGCTTTGGCTTCAGCTTGAATTTTAGCTCTCTCTGTGATTCAACAACCAAGAGGATTGATCAGTTTCAAAAATCACACCCTTGCTACCTACTCAACCAGGGGTGTGTGAAAACAAACCTCTTCTCTTTTGCAACTCTAGTTCTTCCTTTTCACGGCGCAATTTCTCGGGATCACCCTTCTCAACCTGAACTCAAGACATATCAAATTTTGCATTAAAAAAACACATAAGCTAATGATCCACAAACCACAGATTTGGCCAGAGCATGGACATAAGCTTTCTAGGACAACCATTACCTGGTCAAGCGCCTTCTCTCGGGCTTTTAAAATGGTATCGGCAAATCGGTTTTTAAGCAGAGCAGCCCTATAACGCTTCTCTGGGGAGAGCTGCATTTGAGCTGCCGGAGCACTTTCCCCTAATATTTGGCATGAGGACTGGATAAGACAAATATACTACAGGCAAATCAATTTCCGTAGCTTCTATTCTTACCATCTTGAGGGCTATCCGTCTCATCTGAGTTTGGCTTCTCTAGAGAGCTTTGTTCAAGTTGATCGAGCCCACTAACTGATTCTACAGATCACACAATTACAGAACGTCGGCATAATCAGAATTCCAACAACAGAAAATCAAACACTTGATAAACAGAAAGAGGAAAGAAGAAAATCAAAGGCACATTGTCATAAACAATTTAACAAAGAACCTGAAATGAGAACAAGAACCCAAACACAATAGATAACTAGAATTTTCTCACAAAGTAGATGCACAATTCAGTTCCAAGGCAACACAACAAAATAGAATTCCTACCAACACATCCAAATTGGAAAACATATTTAACAAAAAAAAAAAAGGGGGAATACCTCCAAGAGGCACGCATATTAGGCTAATCACGAGAATGAAATAAGACAAATTACACAAGATTCACCACTGAAAGGAAAGCATTCACCAGTGCCCATACAGGGAGACATAAGTCACTAATACAGGATACATCTTGCAGATAAGCAGAAGTTTTACATTTTTGACCAATTTATACCACGAATTTTCAATCGAAAGACAATATGACACCAAAAGATGTCCAAACTCATTTGTGAAAATCAACTTCTAGTCCATAAAAACTATTCAAGGGCAGACAAGTACCAGAGACACGACAGCAGTCACAGACAACATATTATAATCAACAACTTACGATTTCCCTCAGCCAAATCCTCTGCAATCTCCTTTTCATGTGAAGCTCGATAATCACCATCATCCTAGAATGATATGGAAAGATATTCATTAGAGATTAGACTGTAACTACATTCCGATAGATTCCCTTAACACCACAAAATGCAAGCCAAGACCAAAACGCAATTCTGGTGAAGTAAAAAAAATATACCAGGGTTTGCTTTGCAGCAGTTAAAGCATCGGTCTCTACTTCACCATCAGATGGATAGCAGGGATCCATATCTGCAGAAAACAAATATCAGTGAGCTCTATTTACGTAACAATATGAAAAGTAAAGCTAACCAAAACCACCATGAATTTGTTATTAAACAAATTCAAACAGAAGACCCTTGTCCAACTTGTGGATACAAAACAACGCAATTCATAAGGCATTGCATCCTATAGGCTAAGACATTATAACAAGGTCAGAAAACAAGTAGCGGCATGTGGACGTACAGCTAAAAATTGGATTTAAACCAAAAGGTTATGTAAAATAAAAAAAAAAAAAAGAAAAATAACATAACTACATGTTGGAACCAAATGAATCGTGCCACGTCACACTTGGCATTGACCAAATATATGAAAGTTGGACAAATTGATAAATCACAGTTCAATAAACCACAATCAAACTTTGTACACAGCTTTAGATGACAAACTGCAAAACCAAGTTGAAACTATGCAAACCACAATAATAAACAGCAGGCAAACCTTGTTTTCTATCAGACAGGATGGCCTTATCCCTTCCAATCTCAACAGCAGGGTAGCTAGAGACAGGAGGCTCATCTTCTCCAATATCAACATCCTCATCTACAAGGTCATTCCCTAAGAGATAAAACTAAGAAGATCAGTATTACAGCGTAAAACTGAAAATAACTCAGATCCAGTGCAGACACCTAGTAAACAGGTGACAACCTTTATCTGCTTGCATGGATGAGCTGCTCAGGCCAGATTCATTAGGTAGCTGTAACAAAAAGCAAACGACCAAAAGCGTAAAACAATGGGTTCATAATGAATTTCCTTTAAAAACTAGACAAAACATCAGTATTAATCATGATAATACCTCTATCTCGCAAGGTTCCCCTTTCTCAGCAATCTTTTGTTTCTCCAGAAAATGCTCGTCCAAAAGCTTTCTTAATGTAAACAAAGCATCCTCACTCAAATCTTCAATATCTAGTTCAATCTCATCCTCGGCCGATTCTCCAGCATTAGATATTTGTTCCTTTAGAAAAACAACGATTTTTTCCGGTAAATCTTCCAGCAAACCTTCCAATTCTTGGGTCAATTTGCTTTTTTCTTCTGCAGACATTTTGGGTTTCTCCGGTTCTGTAAGTTTTCTCTTCTTTGTGGGAATGGTTGTGGTTGTGGTTGTGGTTGTGGTCTTAACCATCTCCATTTCCACAGGAGGCCCAGATTTGTCAGCTAATGACTGAGATAAGGTTGGAAATTTTTTCTCCACATCTTTCCATCTAAGCTCAAAAAACTTACTCATTGCTTCAGCCATTATATGGACATCATTTCCAGGTGGATTGTAAGTCTTAGCATTAGAGAATGTAAGCTTGACATCAGCACAAAATTCTAAGGGACTCTGGTACTCTCCTGAAGCAAGTTTTTTCTTTATTGTCCCCAGATCCATTGGATGTTTGATTACAGTATAATAATCTGGAATATTCAACTTCACGGCATCAACTGGGGTATTAAATACCCAACCATACTGATGAGACATCAACTTTTTCAAGACATTCTCACACATTTTCATAATAGCTGGATTTGATTTAGAATTTGATGAGTGACCCTCGTTTTTTACAGCCTGAAACCTTCCTGAAGAGGCTCGATTCCAATTTCCACGTGCTTTGTTAGTTGATGAGGTTGAGCTTCTCCCAGACTTAGAAACAGGACCAAAAGGTTTCTTCGACTGGACTAGCGGAACATTCGGTACATCGCCTACACTAGAGGAGCTGTTCGATCTCAGCAGGGGATACTTCTTCTTAAGTGCCTGAATCTTTTCCAGCTCCGATTTGAATCTCAGACACAAGCTCTTCTTCTCAGAAGATGTAAGCATAGGAAAAGCAAGAACTTGTGCAGGCACATCAAAGAAATCTCGTGAGGAAGAGTTCAAATCAATCCATTTTTGCCTTGGTGCCATAGAATCCTCCGAATGAGCAGTGATACCATCCAGTCTAGCCGAGTTGTCTGACCCTTCTGATTCAAAATTCGGGTGAAACCCGGTCGAGTAGGTTTCAGCAAATCTAGCCTTCTTCATAGCCATCATGTTGTCACTATATAAATGTCTTATATCCCCTCTAAACCTTTAATGCCGTCAGCGTTTTCTCCTCTTTTTCCTTTAAATTAAATGAACAGGCAACAGTTATAAATTTGATTGCACCTTTTGCACACTATCACATGCAATTCAACCGAAAGATCCTATTTTTATCCTTCCAGGGCAACCCACAGTTTCCAATTCAAGTCCCAAAATAAATTTGTATGTGTATCTTTGCACCCGTTTTGCCCGTCAAAAATAATGTTAAATAATCTTCAATTCATACGAAGGAAACGATCTGAATCCCTAAGATAGAGGGTGAAACAGCTCACAAACATCAAAAGCTGGTACCAAGATAAAACTTGCACACAAACCAAACAAATTAATCACCTGAATTAACCGAGATCCTTGTGCTTCTCAAGTTTCCAATATGTCAAATGAAAAAACCCATGCACCCGCAATCGATAAAGAATTTCTAATTCATTCAGTGTCCTAATTCATACCCAAAGCTCCAAGCAACAAGACTTCCTTGCCTCTCTTTATTTTTTTCCCCCTTTTTGGGTATGCACAAACCCTTAATTTTATCCAAGCACGGACCACAACAGTAAAATCACCAGGTGCTCGCCAGCAGCAGGAATTTATAAATATACGTGCTGCGCTCGCCAACAACGAGGATTGAAAGATGAAAAAAAGGGAAACCCTAATTGACGATTAGAAGGAGGAAAGGGGAGAGAAGGACTTACTGGTTAAAAGAGAAGTAGAGCAGCAGCAGGAGTCGAATCCTTCCTAGAGAGAGAAAATGACAAACGACGTAGTTTAGTAGCGACCGATCGTAAGGGGCGTGGTCTTATTTATAAGGAAGAGTATATACACGGGTGAATCCACCGCCTTAGTGAATCTGGAGCGCGTAGGATTGTCCAGTGGCGGCTGATCTGATGGTTCTTAATGGTTCAACAAAGTCAGCCGTTAGATCTAGATCTGACGATCTCTCTTTAGTTTTATCCGGGGGTAGGCTAGGGAATTTAGTAAGGACGGGGTGTTATTGTGAAGTCGTGATTGGTGGAGGGGCTCGGGTGTATGATTTAGTATGCTACATTGCAGTATAGAAGGTACCAGAAGCTGTTGCCCTTCTCGTCAACTCTACGGCCCCACATCTAACGCGCTAACTTAGGGGATTTGTCCCCACCTTTATTATATATACTCGTAATAACCTTTTTCCTTTTTACATAATAATAATAATAATTTCCATTAAGTCAACAAAGAATCTATTACTCCCATTTTCTCAAAAAAAAAAAAAAATCTATTACTCCCTCTACCCCAGAAAATAGTCCACTTTGAAAATGTACAACTTTTTTTATTTAGTCAACACCAAATGTACAACTCATTTTATGCCACTAACTTCTACTAATACACGATCTAGTTATTTCTATAAAAGTTAACTACATATGCATTTATTTTACAACTTAAATTTGATCAAAATTTTTATTTCAAAAAATATTGACAATGGATCTTGATGGAAAGATCTCGTTACGTAGATTAATTTGATATACAACATAAATTATTCATGTATTAAAAGATATAATCATTTAAAAAATGAGAAAAAATTTTAGAAAAATGAAAATTAAAGGAAGTGGACCTTGTTTTCCTTACCGTTGCTCTTTTAGATATTTAAGTCATTTCAATTCAATTAATTTTTATTTTTGTGAAACTGGATTATTTTTTTGGACAAACAATACTACTTTAGAGTAATACTAGGTTGTTATAGCTACAGTCTGTGCAGCCTTGGAGGAGCGGTAGCCCAACATTTTGTGATAATTGATAATTTCAAATCTCAAAGGTAGTTGGTTTATTTTCTTAAAATTGTACGTTGTCAAGAAAAACTCTAATCTGATTGAAAATATACAAAAACATGTCTGAAGACAATTTTATAGAAAAGTATGTCGTTATCTCACTCACTCTTTATTCAACAACACATTGGATGTCCATAATTTAATTGGATGAATCATCAACATATATTATAATTAGCGAATATGAGAAAGATTTTGGTAGCCATTTCATGTCATCAACATATATTATAATTAGCGAATATGAGAAAGATTTTAGTAGTCATCCCATCTCGACAACATATATTATAATTAGCGAATATGATAAAGATTTTGGTAGTTATTCCATGTCATCATAAACTGAATAAAAAAATAATTTAATTCGAAAGTTAATGTCTTTGAATATGGGAATTAGAAGAGTGAACGGTTATGAAGATGTGTGAAAAAATTTTATCTTTTATGTCTTTCTAACGCATGAAATTAAGATTAGTTATAACTATTGTTTTATTTTTATATAAAGCATTTACCTTTCAACTTCTCATATGATAATCACCACGACCATTATGAAATCAAAATGGTGACTTAAATGGCTAATAATTCTCATTAATTCAGATATGTAAAGTCATTTTAAATTATAATTGATCAAAAAACGTTACTTACATTTATTGGGAATTGGACAGATAATAACGAATCTTTAAAAACACAAGACTTGTGTCATTTACAACCATAAGGTTTTTTCCTCCCTTACAAACTAACACTCTCCTCCAAAACCCTCCCATGTCGCTCTTCCCCCTAAGAATTGATCTTCGGCATAAACATAAGGTATTCTTTATCAGTCAAGCGTAAGATTATTTTCGTTCAATTTTTGTTTGTTGAACTTTTGTTTCTCAGTCAACGGAAATCCATGACATACACGACTTATTCTTGTGTGTTAATTTGGGTCATAACTACAAACTTTTTTCGTACAAGCAAAGTCAACGTTGATCTTCTAATCTTTAAGAGATTCCGGAAAAACTCAGCCATTTTATATGTAATGGTTGTTTGTATATATTGTCGTACTCTTGATCCAAATTAAAGAAAAATGAAATTCCCTTATACGACTGCAGATATGCAAAACAAAAAACTGTATAATTATATGTGTTTGTATGATTTCAAATTTTTCTTACTCGAGTTTTAAATTAATATAACATCTTCTCTTTTATTTTTTTGTTATGTAGTACTGTCACAAATCATTGTCAATCATAGTCAATATGAGTGTGGATGTTTTGAGATTTCTTCTATGTTTAAAGTGGGCATTCTAAAATATATTGGGATAAATATGTAATTCTTTTGTTTATTTTTCCATAAAATCATCGAATATCAAGAGTTACTTGGATTTTTTTTATTGTGAGTTATTTATAGTTGACAGGAATCAGGTGACGCTCAGATGGTGGTAAAGATGTATTTGCAAGTACTTAGTCGATAATTTTCACCTACACCATAAATTACTTTAAGTTTCATTTAGATTTTGACATTTTCTTAAAATTAATATAAAAAAGTTTACACTATTTAATTGAAATGATTTGATCTTATTTTAGTTTTTTTTTAACCAAAATAATTGGTAATATATTAGCACGTATTCTTTTGACATTTAATATTTTTTTAAAAAAAGTCATTTTGTACTTTATTTGATACAATAATTAGAGCATTAACAAAAGTAAATATTTCGATCACATATATAATAATGCGCACCCGCGAAGCAAGTTCAATCCATCTAGTAAAGTGTAACACCGAATTATCACAACAAAAGCTTTAATAACTATAAAAAAAATAGATTATCAGAGTGGACATTCACTCAGTCTTACTTAAACCCTATAGAAGAAAAAATCACTTAAACCAACCGTAGTTCTATATTATTGATAAGCAACATATTAATACATGTATAATTGTTCGGCCTCATTGACTAAACGTCAATCATTCCATAATAGAAGCACATCCAGTTTATGAAAGAGAGGATAAGACATTCGCATCGCCCCTGTAGTAATGCCGACATTGATATTGGTTTTCATGTTTTTATTTTTTACAACGTCATAACAGTATCAACAAAGGGTAAAGCGACACTCCCATCATAATTGTAGTAATAGTTAAAAATCACTATCCTGCTTTGCTATCTTTTCTGCATTATTAATTCAATCATCATTCGGTCCTTATCTCATTGATATTAGTCTTAAATTGGCCTTAGTAACACAACAATTAAAGAATCTATTATTACAATTGAATAGCAGGGGCAAACAAAAACTTGAGTTACCCTGATTAAGCTTAATATATCAGTTCTAGCATAAGCAATTTTTAGTATGGAAAAAAAATCTAACACTATATAAATGGCTGGAACATCATACCTTTGGCTATATCTGACAGCTCTTAGCACCCTTTATCCTACATGTCTATTTGAGCAGACAACCTAATAACACTCTCACGGGAAAAACCAAACACTTTACATACAACCGCAATAGCAGAATATTTACATATAACAAGATCTAAAGCTAGCAAGAAATACGCAATTTTTATGATAGGAAAGATTCACTTCGTGCAAACTCACGAAATCTAAAGCAAGGAATATACATTCTTTACAAAAGAATAGAAAATTACTTCGTGCCGAAACAAATCAGGGGCAAGAAACTTGATTATTGATCCCAAATGACACCAAACGGAGTCTCATCTTTGTTGTTCCCCTTCACCGCAACAAAGAACAGAGCAAATGGAGTTATCATTGTGTGACTGAAACAGAGAGGTGAGAACAACTAACAAAGAAAATAAAGAGTGGCAGGAGGCCAGACTTTGTCTACTGAAAGAACCACATGCACACGAGGCTGCAATTCATGAATGCGATGGACATATTACACAGAAAACAACTGATCTGTCTTAGTATAAGAGTTCGAAATCTGCAATAAATATAGCAAAAGTTTGAAGCTTAATTCACCATATTGCAAATATGGACATTACTTCCCATACACAACAGTCCAACAAGCTAAGGCCAATATTCAAAGAATAATGTACTTTTGGTCTTATAAAGATCAATACTATTAGCTTGTAATTTATATTCAACTTAATTTGGTCTCCATAATGCCTCTTTACTACGTACGGAAATAGTTCAGATTTATACAAAATATATTTACCTCTCCAGTCACATTGTCTTCAGATTATCCAAAGCCACTTCTTCATCAATCCTATCTTTACTTTTATAACGATCACAATTTAGAATTGCCAACAAATAGGTATCGCCCAAAGCCAAACCTGCAGGCTACAAGTTTGCTGGAGACAAAAAGAATCCAGAACATCTATTTTAGAGTAACCCTATTACAAGAAATCTCACACTTTTCAATACATGCTTCATTTCATTCAATTAATTAAAGTATTAAATTTCTGTACACATCAATAAATCCAAGAGCACATAGACATAAAAATCTACAGTTTTCTTGTTTCGAATAGAGATTCCGGGAAAAGTTGAGCAAGACTTAATGATTCTCTTGAATATATTTAGAGGAATGAATGAGTTAACTTCTTTAAGACTTTGATTTAAACATTTAGCATGCAACTTTCAATCAAAAGTATCATTCCTCACCTATTCCACACAAACGTAAGGTTTGCAACACCAACGCAACCCGAACCAATGTATTGGATAATCAATTCTCATAGCGCAACATGAAAACAAATCTGAACACATGAATTCGCTACTGGAAGGTCGCCGCTCAATTCTACTACTCTTAAGATCTCTTGTCCAACTTAATAAATTTACTAGCAATTTACTATTTTTACAGATACCAATTTAGGTTCGGGCAACTGAAAATCAGTAGATTTCATTCGAATCAAATAAAATTTAACTAAAAGAGAGACAAATAATCATGTCAAAGAACCGGATTGAAACGTGGTGATCAAATCCCTTTAATTCCATGAATTCGAGAGTTGAGAAGTGATCATCTCAAAGAACAGGATTGAAACTTGGAGAGTTGAGAAGTGATCATCTCGAATTCCCCAAATTTGAGAGTTGAGAAGTGAAAAAAATACAGAGTTTCATATGAATATAAAAGGAGAAAGTAGGCTTATTGTGCTGCTTATTATCTTACTTCATGTCCACTCCCCATTCCCTTCTTGATGTCTTGTCACTTTTCTTTGCCACCGCCTGTATCAGCGGATATTCTACCAGTCGCCCCTTCTCAAATGTCTCCAAACTTTTTTTTCTTCTCTGTTACTTACTGGAACGTGGATGCAAAGATCTTCGAAAAATAATTCAGATGAAACCTTCAATCGACGAATTCGAGAGGATTCTTTTTGCTATAGAGGCGGAAATGCAAAAAAATTTGAGGATGAGAGGCTGAGAGTGTTACAGGAAAAGAAGGAGAAAACGGGGTGGACAAAGTAAGTGCCGTCCACGTGTCATTGTCCGACAGGCAATGGTACATAAATTGGTGCTGACCTGGTAAACTCCTTCTTTATAGTAAGTGCAAACGGACAATGTGATGGTTCCAAACCTTTTAGAAAGAAAATCTCACTTAGCATATTTGTTGCAACATTTAGAAGATGATATTAGGTTTTTAACTGATAGTTTTGTGTGTTATTCTTTTATAAAAATAGAGCCATACACAGGAGAATGTGCTCATAGATTAGCACGACCTCTTCTAGTACATTCTAGTTGAAATTTATAATTATATTTAATCATGTTGATAAATAAATTATCTTGTTTTATTTAAAATAAGTAGAAATTTTGAATTCTTTATTGGTTTTGGTTAATTTTGTACTACTAATAATTGGGATTATTATTTTAGGATAAAGATTATAAATTTATGAACTATTATGACTACTATAATCTAGAGTTTCTTTCTTTTTAAAATTAGAGGAGAAAAAAGTGATGGAATGACACAATTTAGTAATGACGTAACCAATTGAGGTTGTATTTGAAAAGGATTTTTTTTTTGTCATTATTGAAAAGGAAAAGGATAAGTATATGTTTTTTTTTTTTCTGAAAAAAAAACCAAATGAGGTGACATATATATACATTATTATTATTAGGAGTAATAATTTTTTTCCCGGTAGAATTTCCCCCCCAAAAAAATATCTTTGCTGACTCAACCTCAAGTCTACCACCACTCACAATTCTAACTCCCTTATCATTTCCACCCAAATCCTTGGTTCCGATTCAAATTGTCGTTCGTTACATTCCTCCGAAACCCTAACTAATCCGCAATTGATTGTCCTTGATCGTTAATGTCCCCAGTGTAATTCATAGCTTCAATTCCACCCCTCTCTCAATGGCTTGCCTCCGACCACCCAACTGCATTCCGTCATCATTTCCTCCTTCTTCCTCTCACCACCGCTCTAGGGCTTTTTCATTTTCTGTCCGGCCGACGACTAAACGGAGTTACAACAAGGTCGCGTACTCGTTTTACCGGTTTAGTAACATGTGTTCAGCTGCCGCCTCCAATTCCGATACGCTTGTCGCTGCTGGATCATCAATCAAAGAGGGGGACCCCCACAAATCGACTGCTGCAATCAGTCCCAAGACTAATCATGAGAAAGGTGAGGAGCGAGACTTGAAGACTTGGATGCATGAGAATGGGCTCCCTCCTTGTAAGGTTGTTCTCATGGATAGGCCTTGTCCTCACAACGATAACCACCGGCCCATTCACTATGTTGTTGCCAGCGAGGATCTTCAGGTCAGGACCTGTCCCTGTTCAATTTGTAATAAAATTGTTTGACATTATTACTCAATGCTCAAGCTCACTTCACAGAGAGACATGATTAACATTGTTAATTTTTATTGTAGATATCCTGAACTGATGCCATATAGATGGCTAGTCAGTCTCTATAGAGATCACTTTGACTCTTATTATTATTCTTCTTTTTAGTCTGTATCATCATGACATTATCTTTTCCCTTTTTAAATTTGTATTATTTGGTTGGATATTGTAGACGGGGGACATTGCCTTCTCCGTTCCGAATTCGCTGGTTGTGACCCTTGAGAGAGTTCTGGGGAATGAGACTGTGGGTAAGGTGTTGTGCTAAAAGAAACTGTTTACTTTATTCTGGTGTTGGATAGTGTTTCCGCACCACGCCTTTTTAGTTAATTTTGTACAAAAAGAGTTGCATAAAATGTAAAATAAGAATTGTAAGATCATGAATTGAACTGAAAACATTTCTACTGGGAATACCATGTTGTATATTCTGGTAGCTTATTCTTTTGTTTTGGCAAATGTTAAGTTCCTGCTTGTTTATTTTCCTTTGAACAGTATTATGTATTATTATTAGTTGTAAATGTAGTATAGACATAGTTCTATCGGCAATAGGGGTGCACATTATATAAATTCCAATTTTCTTTTCTTTATTAAACCTCTGCAAAGTTTGATGAAGATGAATGACTTGCAATTACACAGTGCGGTTTGATTTATAATGTGGCAAGTTTGGATGCGTCTCTGGCTTAAGTTTGTGAAAAGCTCTACAAACTTGCATTACATACTATATACCAGCAGTGAAATGTGGGAGTTCGGCGTTTCCTTATGACTTTGTCTCCTATCGTCTCATGAGAGGTAGCAGCTCTACGAACTACTCTTGAGCTAAGAGGTAGTAGTTTTATCAAGAATGAGAATTGATCCCTTGGAGCTGTACCGCTTAACCGCATAAGATTATATCCCCAGAAAGTACTAGAAAAGGTCAATAGCAAAATTATAAGGTTCTTGGTTTTAACTAGTGAGTGGAATTTGCTTGATATTGTTTAGGATAGGAAGGAAATAGGGAAGATAAAGTGGGAATAGAGGGAAGATGAAGGAGAATTTGATTTTTTCTTTTGGAGCATTGTTATTCTCTTGGCTTGTAGGACTACTTATTGCTGCTGCTTTTATTTTGATTTATTTATTTTTTGCTTCTTTTAAAGAAAGACTTGGCTGGAGTTATCTGGATCTTGAGTCAATAATTCCTTTACTTTTTTATGCAGCGGAACTCCTTACCACAAATAAACTTTCTGAGCTGGCCTGCTTGGCATTGTATTTAATGTATGAGAAGAAGCAAGGAAAGAAGTCATTCTGGTACCCATATATTAGAGAACTTGATCGTCAGCGAGGAAGGGGACAATTAGCTGTTGAGTCTCCTCTGCTTTGGTCAGAGGCTGAACTAGATTACCTAACCGGGAGTCCTACCAAGGTATAACTTCTTTTGGCAAGCTTTAAGATCAAATGGTTTCTGATTTTCATTATAATTTCTTTTGAGAATGTGATCAATGATGGATGTAATATTATTTTGTTCATCTAGGATGAAGTTATGGAGAGGGCTGAAGGGATCAAGAGAGAATACAACGAGCTTGACACAGTGTGGTTTATGGCTGGATCTTTATTTCAGGTTTATTTTCTTGTGGGAACTTTTTTGGAATACAAGAACAATTACTGTTTAGTCGAAATGTATTCCACTTTTAATAAAAAAACGAAAAGAAAGTATTCCACTGTACTAATGGTGCTTTGGTTTTTGCAGCAATACCCCTATGATATACCAACAGAGGCATTTCCTTTTGAGATTTTTAAGCAAGCTTTTGTTGCAGTTCAATCCTGTGTAGTGCACCTTCAGGTTTGTTGTTTGCCCCCTCCCAAAGGAAAAAAAAACGAATTCAGATGATTACTTCTAGAAAGATATAAGAAATCTATGTTAAATCCCATTTCAGAAAGTCAGTTTAGCACGGAGATTTGCCTTGGTTCCGCTGGGACCTCCCTTGTTATCCTACAGCAGCAACTGCAAGGCAATGTTAACTGCCGTTGAAGATGCAGTTCATCTTGTAGTTGACCGCCCGTACAAGGCAGGGGAAGCAATAGTTGTCTGGTATGATGTAAACACTTTATTGAAATGCTGAATAGCACTTGTTATTTTCTCTAGCGTTCTTGCATTGACAATGGATGTAAATTTTCTGTTCCCTGTTTTTGCAGGTGTGGACCACAACCTAATTCAAAATTGCTTTTAAATTATGGTTTTGTCGACGAAGATAATCCATATGATCGCTTGGTGTTTGAGGTAGTTTGAAGCCTGCTATGTTTTCATTTCAACCTCCTTTAGGTTAAAATTAACAAAATTCACTCTCTGCGCAGGCTGCTTTAAATACTGAAGATCCTCAATACCAAGAAAAGCGATTGGCTGCACAAAGAAACGGGAAACTGTCACTGCAAACTTTTCATGTACACTATACTTCCTCTGTGTTTAATACTATTACTAGCCACTATTTGCTTATAGCTATGCTTCTCTAATTTAGGTGTATGCTGGGAAGGAGAGAGAGGCTGTAGTGGATATGCTACCTTACTTGAGACTAGGATACGTTTCGGATCCTTCAGATATGCAATCTGTCCTATCTTCACAGGGCCCAATCTGTCCAGTAAGATAACACGTTTTCTTTGCTTTCATTAATATTGTTCAATGCACGACTACAAAGTAGTAGAACTTAGCTTTCAGGATCATGAATCCTCTGTCATCCTAGCATGTTTGGAGATATAGAAAGTATATGTTGTGTGGTTAACAAGTCTTTTTTTTCATGTCATATTCTTTAAACAACTGAAGACTTTTAGTTTATTAAAATGCATGGTTCATGGGGCAGCTCTTGTCTTGCTAGAGACAAAAGTGAAAGAGAGTTCAATACGAGCTAATTATTTTTGTATATGGGTATTCTTTAACTCTGCAGATTTCTTGAGCTCTATGGTTCAGTAAGTTAAACTTTACTGATATGGTTCCCAAAGCTTCTCAAGAGAACAGTGCACAATATGACACTAATTAATAATGTCTATTATACATGCCAAGTATGTGAATATGTTTTTGCCCACTTGTACTTTGTTATCTGGTGAATCGTGAAGTGAAACATTGGACATCCTTAGACCTTCACTGATTATTGTAGGTAAGTCCTTGTACAGAGCGCGCAGTTCTTGACCAACTTGTTGATTTCTTTAAAACAAGGCTTGCTGGTTACCCGACAACACTCATTGAGGATGAGGCTTTGGTAATTGGCCCTTGACTCATTGTATTCTCTCCCCCCCTTCCCCCATCATGAGATTTCTGACTTACTCTTCATATCTGACTTTAGTTGTCAGAAGATATCAATCTGGATCCCAGGAAAAGGGTTGCAACGCGTCTTGTCAGATTGGAAAAAAGAATGCTGAATGCATGTTTGACAGCAGCAATTGACATGATAAACGAGTTACCTGATCATTCTGTATCCCCATGCCCTGCTCCTTATGCACCAATCTTGAAATGAGGGGGTCTCATTCTGTCATGCGCTTTCTCTTCTGAATGATTTTCCTTGTGTGCTTATCAATTGTTATTCATTTTAAAAACAAGGTCACTTGTCCACAGATAAAATTAGCCTCCGCTTGAACCAGTAACACTCTCAATCCAGTGGGATGATCTTTAGTGGTCAGTAAATTGGGTTTTATGTTGCACGCGATTACTATCATGAAGCTGTTAATTGGAATCTTGAATATTGTTCCTTTTGGTGTCTGTTTTCTTTCCAGGTTTAATCTGTCTGATGAGTTGTGCAGAATGAGGTCAAGAACGTTCCAACCCCGGCGTAGGTATGAAATATGTGGGGTCCAGTAATCCTCATATTGACTGCAGTATAGCTTTGGTAAGGAGCAGCAGAAAGAAAGAAAAAGAATTCAACGAGTGAGAACTCTTTTTCTTTGGTGATGTAGGGTTAAGCGTTGTGATGTCGTGTAAAAAAGGTCGACCCTTGTGTACGCTTTTGTCTGGAAATTAACATGGTAGATCATAGTAGGACTGGATTATTATCATCAAGAATGTAAATGCTGGTAGAATCAGTGATATTGGTAGTTTGAACTTTGAAGTTATAGTCACAACCAATGTTGACCGACCCACCCAGTGGAGATATTCCCTCGTCTGTTTATCTCAATTTGGTAAGAGGCCTGGTGGTTCTGGCCAGTTGGGTAGACTGGGCTGGACTAATGGACTTACACGGGAACCTTATCCTCGGTGTTCTTGTGTTCACTGGACTGTTTTACACCAACTTAACTTACATGAGACTTGTGGTTGAATGACAAACCCAACCTTAAAAGAATCCAACAGAAAATTCACTTTCCTTCTCTATGTTTGTGTTTTGAGTTATACTGGAAGTAGTTATCTGATGACGACTAAGTTCGTTCATACTATGAAAGATCCAGACATGGGTGAAACTTGGTAGGGGTGGCTTTGATTGAGAGGACATTTCATGCATGGCTGCTTGGAGGAGTGCCGTAATACATCCTGGAGTGTATTGCTCTACAAAACTTGAGAGAAATGTTGATAGTGATAAGATTAGAGTCTTGAAATCAAATCGCCGAAAATTTGACCATCGACCCATATAGAAAATATCAGGCGAACGGTGTTAGCTAGCTCGGTCGATGTGGTTAGAGAGGTTCCATTATTATTGTTTGAATTAAATGCATTGAAATCCAAAGGGATCAAACTCACCCAACCACCAATGAAAAAAGATCACATGACAAATTAATAAGAAACTAGACAAAGAAGCAAAAGATGATACAGAGATAGACACAGCATAACAATATAAGATCTGCTGGGTTGAACATTAATATCCGTTGTCCAATGGGAGAGAGCGTTTAAAGCATGGGAAGATAGGTGGTGGGATCACCAATGACAACACAGAGGGTTAGGGGAGCCTAGAAAACTGAGATTGAAGAAATAGGAATATGGGGGACCAAAGAAAGAATCGGTTCATCCACGCGTCTCAAATCTGGAGGGCTCACTAGCAGAATGTCAGAATCGGAGCAATAAAAGCTCTTTCTTGAAATGTAATATCTCACACACACACACACTCACACCTGTTTTCTCTCTGATGAGAGGTACTCACAGTAGAATCTAATTCCTATTTCCACGCATAACATTGGGCAGGTGTTCTTACTTTTTTGTGGTTGGTCAATCCTTACTTCTCTTACTTTATGATAATCCCACAATTCTTTTAGAATGAAAGGGAAGTAACACATTTTGAGTATATCATTTTATTATTAATTGGTTTTAGAATCTTCTCTATTAGTAATCATAGTTAGATGGGTTCGAACTCTGTCACGAGCATAAATCAACTTTTCATCTATTAAGCAATTGACTCGAGATACCTATCATGAACACGGTGGCCACCGTACAATATAAAAAAACTAATAAATTGTTGTAGAAATGAAGGAAATAATAATCAAGACCTAGAGAATGTTTTAAGAGAGAAAAAAAAAACTCACAAATTGAAAACTATATAGTATCAAAAGTGTTTATAAGCAATCTGACTGACCCTGGAAACAATCTACCAATCAAGTTCGCCACCCTTCTCTATAATATTGTGTACAACAAATTGAGCCAAAGGCGGATGTCTACCTTATTATTTGTTGTATCCAATCAGATACGTAGCCTTTGTGTTTCTTCGTCAATCACACGTATAAAAATCATTGGTTCTCAAAAGCTCATCGTCAGAATCAGAATGTGCAAAAAAAGCAGAGAGAATTTATCAGGGCGATTGGTTGGAACGAATCAAGTTTGTCGCGTGAGGTAACGACTAGAAGGGATGGGAAAAAACTGATGAGATTGGGAAGAAGGAAAATAAAAATAGAGCCACGCGTCTGGAAATGGAGAGGTCTCCCACCAAAAAGCAAACCAATTTCCCCACTTTGGTTCCATCAAGGTGAATACGTGTCCCGTCTTTTTTCCGCAGTGCTGCCATATACGTGGCCTCTTTCCCATTGGCTGGTGCGGTTCCAGCCAATGGGATATCCCCATTTTGTTTAGATACGGAACTTTATCCTCGGGCCCCACCTGATCTCCAGTCACCAATCACATCTCTTCATTATTTCATTCTTGCCCTAGACACGTGTTGTCCCCTTACCCGGTCACCCCCCGGCTTCCTTCCCCGGACCGGGACCCGTCACCCGGTTACCCCGGTTACTTCCTCCGTTTAGGCTTCATTTCCGTCTTTTATTTTTATTTATTTATATATATATTAAAAAAAAAGAGTTATCATGATGATAATCGAACGTGACATTTACGGTGGTAATAATCCTATGGGTGTAAGCAAGTAGTAAACATGGTTGTTACAATAATTACCCAAGTTGAATCATCAAGATGTTGTACAGTTTTTTTCCCCAATAAAAAAATATGTTTAATATACACAAGAAAAGTTTGACGGAGGAAATGATGGAACGGCAAACGGCCAAGGAAGTTACAAAAATAAACCTGGTTAAGGAGAGAAAAAAAAAGAAAAAAAAAAAGAAAAAAGTAATGATTTGTAATAGCCGAGTCGGTCGCGCACCGGTGGAGTATCAACTCAGTACCGAGACTCGCTCACTCGCAACCCAACCACTATTTTTTAAGAGCACTCTATTCTCTCTGCTCTTCTTTATTCATCATAATAATATCATGTCACTCTGAACCAGATAAGTTTTACCAGAAAAAAATAAAAAAAAGGAACCAGAATAAAAGAGAGGAGAAAAATCTAGACGGATCGATGGGGAACGGCGGCCAGAGGAAGAAGAAGAATAAAGGATGGACGGCGGCGGCAGCGGCGGCGGCGTCTCCGGGATTATCAGGTCAGATGATGATGCAACACCACGAGAAGGCGGTTATCAGCCGGATCATGCTAAGGTTCAGGCCTATAGCTCCCAAGCCGGCGACTGACGGCTCCGTGTCCGATTCAAGCAAGTCGAATTCGGCTACGGTGTCCCAGCTTGCAAAACGAAGACCCAAGCGAAGGTACGTACGGGCAAATACTAAGAACAATAACAATAATAACAATAATAATAGTAGTAGTAGCAGGAGAAGGTGTAAGCCAACAGAAAGAGAGGAAGAGAAAGGGAGAGATCTACGATTTGAGGAAAGCGACGTCGTCTGTTTACAGACGGCGCAGCATACCGGAGAAATAGGATCTACCACCGGGAAAATGATAAGTTTTTTTGGGCAGTCTATCCCGATGGGGAAGGGGAGTAATAATAACGATAATCTGGGACTGGGGCTGGGCCTGGGTCTGGGTTTAAGTTTGGGCTCAGATCGGGCGGTGATGGAGTCGTGGGTGGTGGTGAACGGTATGACGGAGACGACGATGTTGGGAGGAGGAGAAGGGATTCTGGGGAGTACGGACAGGGAGAAGATGAGGAATCTGGAAGCGGACACGTGTCCGGGTCTGATATCGGACGGTCTGCACCGGGTGCAGTGGGTGAACCGGGCATACCGGAGGATGGTGACGGATCCGGGGGTTGCCGGAGCGGCGGAGGAGGAGGTGGAGGTGTGGCTGGTGTTGAAGGAAGAGATACCAGAGGGGTGGACAGTGTTTGCATGCACAGTGAGGGTGGTGTACACGTGGCGGGGGGAGAAGTACTCAAAGACAATGCCTTGTGATGTTTGGAAGATGGATTTCGGTGGATTTGCATGGCGCCTCGATTCCAAGGCCGCTCTTTGCTTAGGCCGTTGATCATCCATGGATGGATGAATCAACCAAAAAGCTCCCGACTCTCCCAATTCTATCTATATCATTATCTATCTCTCCTCTCAGGTAATTAATATGACTAATTATATAATAATAAAAGGCAAAGTAGTAGTAGCAGTAGTAGTAGTTTGTGAAGACGAGGGGGATAGAAATTATTAACTAGCTATCAAAGATATACAAATGGTTGCAATTCTACATTGCCGGAAGGGAAGCTCCATCAGATTGATTGGGTGGGTTAAAGAGAAATGGCAATGGCACCGTTTTGAAGGAATTATTATCCATATGATGTGTAAGTTTAAAATGGTTATTATCGGGAATTTGGAATTGGACATATTGTATGTGTGTGTAATGTTAAGCTCTCTGTGTGTGAGTGTGACCAAAACCAAAAAAAAAAAAAAAGTGTGTGTGTGAATGTGTGTGCAGACTTTGAAAGAAGAAGTTCCCTAATAGTATTAAATTTTGAATTTTTCTCAAAACCGAAGAGGGACAAAAATGCACAGCCTTTCTTTTTTGTGTTGTCCATCTGTGACTATGTGTCAATCTGTGGGAGTAATAAGGCTTTAATCTGAAGAAGAAGGTAAATGAAAAAAATCACTTCAATATTGAGTCACATGTGTCGTACGTACATTAATTGGAGTAACATATATTTACTGTGCTCCTTCTTCACTTGGTCTTCAATTCTCCTTTTCTCTCATCTGTTCTCACTTCGATCCAAAACGAAGTCTTATTCTTTTCAGATTTGTGTTTCATCTATTTATCCTTTCTCTCTTCTCTCTTTAAAGCACTAACTAATGTTTAGTTACATTAGTTTGAGAGAGAGAGTGTGTGTGTTTTTATATGATGAGTGGATGCTTATTTCACTTTCCATCTTTCCGTCTCATAACAACAGTTTTACGTTTAATAAATATTCAACTTTACTATCACCACTTCTCATTCCAACTTGTTTTATTCCTCTATTTCACTATTTCATCCTCATGGAAACACTCTCTGCCACAGTAACATCAAAAGCTCTTCTCATTATATTTTCAAACTTGGTATATATATATATATATACATATTTGTAAAAAAAAACTTGGTATATTACAAGACACATAATAAACTTATTTTCCTTTTTCTTTTCTTTTTTAAGCTTTCCATACATTTTTCAGCATCTTAGAAATTTAGTTTCACCTTAATAGAGTATTACTTTATCACATTTTCTCAAGCCAAAAAAGAAAAGGATCTATTACTAACCATTTTTATCAATTTTCAAAATCTTTTTTCTTTTTTTTTTAAAAAAAAATTTTTAAATAAAAAACAATTTTAGAATCTTTGATGCGACTACATTTACTTCCTAGCTCACTATTACTCACTATTACTTTTAAATGATATTGGCTTATATTAAATCCACTCACATAATACGGTATTTATTTATTTACTATATTCGAGACTAACAGTAACAAAAAATGGCTTTGCATGCAACATACGTAGTTGAATTTTGGAAATGAAGGTCTTGACAGCTTTTTGTTTTCGTTATTATGATCATTTTTCTCCTTCTGCAATAAATGCAATGTTACTCTCCAATTACTTTTTATTTTTAAACTAATTTAAAATATTATTTTTTTAAAAAAAAATCAAAACTAAAATATAAAAACTCTCTAAATTCCCTGCCTTCATTGGAATTCATGTCTGAACAAAATACTGAGACAGGATTAATGGTATGCATAACAAAATTCTTAATAAGCTGGCATTTGGTTTGCTGTCTTTTTCAGATTAGATAAGGCCAAATTTTCGATCTTTGCATTCATTTTTTTCTTCCTAAATGATTTACAAGAACTTTTTTTTTTTTTAAAAAAAAATTCCCCTCTCCTTCTTTTTGCATTTTGTTTTATTTCTTTTGTCTTGTTTTTTTGTGAGGTTACAAAAGTTTTATTCAGAGTTTTTCAATAAATTACACGCCCTGAAAAAAAAAGTATAGTTTTACAAATTAAAATTTTAAAATTACGCTTAAAATAATTATATCATCTAAACATAATCATAAAATTAATAAACATACATGATACTCCATTGAAAAATTTATAATAATTTTAAATTTTGAAAGATTAAATATATAATTTAGTTTTTTGAGTTAGATTAATTTTTTTTGGCATGGAAGAAATGCAACAAACACGACGATTTTTATAGAATGGAATGTTAATATAGTTATTTCAAATTAAAAAATTGGGATTCAAGGTGGGATGTTTTCAAAAAATAAAAAATTAGGAATAAACGAGTTGTTTGTATGTTGTTCCCTAGCAACAGGGGATAGGTAACTTGTACTCTCTCCATCCCAGAATTATTGTTCACTTTAGATTTTTATTTTTAGTTTAAATTATACTAAAAGTAAAATTTTAAACTTGACAATGATTTTGGGACAGAAGAAGGAGTACATCTTCTATTTACATTCTTTAAAATTTTCAAAACCTAGAGGCTAGAGAGTAAAATATTCTTGACAAAAATCTGAAGGAACTTTTAAAAATTGACCTTTTTTTTTCAAAGAAAGAATTATACACACAACCCAACTTACATTTACTGTATTTAATTTGATTTGACTTCTACTGTAACTTGTGATCCATGAGTCATATCCCATGTGGCTTCTACTCCTAATTTACTATCCTTCTAGAGTTTCGGGTTTGGAACCGGTTCTTTTATTAAAAAAAAAAAAAAAACCAGATAAATCATGCATCGTACAGTTTAAATTGAATTTTGAGTTGCAGATTTTCTCAAGCAAAAATATTTTCAGCCATATTTAATTCTTCACGAAACTTTTTTTCTTGCCATATTCAAAAAAAAAAAAAAAAACCTCATTCAAACTGTACATGCAATTTTTATTTTATTTTCATTTTCGTCGCACGCACTTATTTTGCAATTAACATTTTACGTTCTAAAATATACATATTTTACTTTGATGCTATAACTTCTACCTCTTTTAAACCAAAATCAAATCAAATCCCCCGATGCTCCAAAAAGAGTTGTTCTTGTGTGTTGGTTTGTAATAAAAAATATTAAAAAAAAAACTCAGATTTTCTTTTCCTTGTAATAACCTATACCATACCTTTTCTTTTAATTTTTTTTTTCCCCAAAGAGAAACATTGATAAAGTATTAAAAAAGCATTGGAACACATGTTGCCAATGATGGAGGCCCAAAGATATATAAATGGGAGTTGGGAATAAGAAGATGAATATTATTAGGAGTGTCGTTTTCAATCAACGTTGATATTAAAAGAAATGGATTGGAGTTTTATTACATGTTAATACCAACCCAGGCAACCCACCTGTGTTTTCTACGACAAATCTGATTTATCTCTTTCTGTTTTTAGATTTTTTTATTCTAGTGAAAGTTGCGGAATTTTCAACATGAAAGCTCAGTTCCTATGTACTTTGATCCTCAGATTTTAAAAAATTGCCATGAATTTTGAGCTGAATCGACTTATTGAGTGAAAGTGTCCCTTTTATTTGTTTTCATCAAAAAACTATAAAAATTACTCCCTAGTCTCGTAAATATAGTAGTAGTACATATTACAATGAAAAATTTAAAATTTACACTATTTTTGTGAGACGGGGAGTACAATTAATTCTTAACTTGTTTTTATATTTTTGGAATGCGGTCTAAAATTAATTGGTAATAATGTTCTATGTGGATCGGTGACAAGCTGAGGATCAAATCTCGTCCGAAATTAATTATTTTTCGTCCGATTTAGCACCATCGTATTTTTTCTTTTAAAAAGGAAAATATTATTGTATGTATGCCTAAAGCAAGGGATATTGGTATGAATATTGTTAAATAAAAAATTAATAATAACAACTCATATCCTTATAAATTTATAACGTTTAAAATAAAATACTATTTACCCTTCCCCCAAAAATGACATCCTAAAAAAAATTCAAATCAAATAATTATTTTGAATTAATTACTCCAAAACAAATTCGTGTAATGTATATAAAACCCGAAGACTATATTCTTTTATATGGAAAAGAATCAGGGAAAAGACATTTCATATCAGCTAGGAAAATACTTATTCATAAAAAGAATTTTTAATTACCTTTGGCATTTTCAAGTGTGTATTGGAATAACTATTATTTGAGGATTGATCCATTTCATTTATTGCATATGTATAGCCATAGGGATGAAGTATTTAGATTTTGAATTTTAAAGAAATTTAAAAAATTGTGACTGTTTAGTTGTGATTTTTTTTAACGTTTATAGAACGAATTTTTGGGCAATTAGTTGTGATATTTTAAAAGATATATATCTACCCCCACATTATGCGGGTATAACACATACTAATTTTAATAATTGAATTCGCATTACCGTATCAAGAAGACTCTCAAATAAAATGTCGATTACAAAAAGCAAAATTAAATAATTGATGTGTCAAATTTTGGGCGCCATTTAGATTTTTTTGTAATTAATAAATTTTGAACTTGAAAGAAATTTATAGTATTAATAAGTGAGGCTATAATCACTTGATTTAAATTATCTTATTGCTAGATAAAACTTATCTTTTATCTTCCATGGAACGAGGTAATAAAAAATAGAACTAAATGACTGTTACCTCCACACCAGTCTGATCTTTTAACTGACTAAAGTAGTGCAAATAAACCCTATGAAAAGTTACAAGCATCAAATGTTTTAAAAATACAAAACGGCATTTTAAAAAATAGACTCTGATAAGATACATCTATTATTCTTGTCTTATTATTTTAGTACATAAAAAAAACCCAAACAATCATTTTTGTAACATGCGAGCATAATTTACTCATTGATATCGATATTATGCAGAAATGATTGGCTTGCTATAGTAATTGAAGGAGAAACAACAACAACAAGAGCGATCAGTAAAATTATCAAAATAGTCTATTACTAGTATTTATAGAATATGATGATGTGTCGTGTATTATATATTTCTTCGGTCTAAAAAAAAAAGAAAAAATTTAGATTGATTTTTAATTTGTATTAAAAATAATATAAATTTAAAAAATCAATTTAGACGATTTTTTTTCCGAATAAGTACTATCCTTGATGGAAATCTTTTGTTCAGTGTATTCACTTACTAAGTCGGGTTCCATTGAATCTGCAAGAAGATAACATGGAAATTTATTAATATTAGTTGGTTGAAAATGACCAAGAAACACGATTTTGTTTGTTGATGAACAACAGATAAACAATTCAGCCACTCACGTTTCTCATAATGCCCATTATTATTAATTCTTGATAATTTCAAAGTAAGCACTCTTTCCTTTTGCCAGGTACTCTGATTTTTAGTGGTAATGATACAGTAGTAGGCCCAATATATTGACAGGAATATGGAAATTTTGATTACACCAATCGAAAAGGAGAGCAATTTTTGTGGAAAAAAGAAGATTATATGGAGATTAATTTATTTGTCTCTGTGGAAGTCTGTACTAAATGATGTGATCAGGAAACTCTTTTTTTTTTTTTGAAATTTCAAAATCACAAAAAAAAGAGTTAAAATAAAATTCGACCATTGTGACTGGATTTTTTTTTTTTTTTGAAGTTAATGGGTCGTGACTGCAATCTACAGTTTGTAAAGTGAACCTTTTGTGCTATTTATTTTTCTCGTCAATAGAAATGAGGATTGAAAATAAAGTGAAATACGAAGCGAAATGAGATAAAAATGTAATAAAAAAAAAAAGAAAATATGCCAAAAAAAGAGGAACACCCCAGTGGGCCTCCTCATCAGGTATTCAGCCCAATGTATCAGTTGGTAGCCCAGTTTTAATGGGTCGGTTACTCTGTCTTGAACTCAATAATGGTACAATGGAAAAGGAAAATTAAGTCTGAGGTTCAATCTCCATATCCTCATAGCTAAGATCTTCGTAGTTAAACATCAAACTATCATGTCCAAGAGATTATGGAGACGAACTTGTTACATTCGCTATTCTGGAGTATAAAACCTGTAGATCTCTTCCACATTCCCATCCTTATGCCAAATCAAATCTAAATCTTTTGGCACTAAATTGGCATTAGGGAAACGAACTGGTTCCAAATCGTCAGTTAGTTAAGCCTCAACGTTAGGGAGAACATAAACCGTAATCGTATTACAATGTTGATAATTTCTTACTTCAATGGTACAAAGTGCCTACTCTCAGAACTCCCAATGACATGCAACAAAGTATTTACTCCTTGAAAAAATGGGATCATACATCACCTCTGCAATTACAGCTAAACTGGTACAAATTAAATGGTCAACTGATACAAACATGTACAAAGGAATACTAACTGGAAAGATAAAACACACGACTCACCTAGTTTGCAGGGGCCTACACCGTATATCTAACCTGGAAAAGGTTAAAGAAATACCCTCCTCAAAGAATGCACACACAAAATTTCCTGGGAAAACCTCATGATAAAGCACGACACCTGTCAATTAACTTTCGCAGACTTCTCCTTGCTTAGCATATGCCATTCCTGTATTACAGCCACTTGTAATGCCCGATGCTCCACTTCCTCTGGTGTTAATTTAAACAATGTTGTTGGACCCTTTGTCTTCTTGCCTCCTTCCTCCCCAGTTTTCTCCTCATCTTCTTTCTCATTTTCTTTCTCCACCTCACTTTCTTGCTCTTCCTCATCATCAGACTTGGGAGATTTTGGACGAGGCCGTGCTGCCTTTAATAAAGCAATCCGCTCCATTGAGATTCTCAGTCTCTCTGCAGCTGCTACCTTCACCTCATCTTCAGGCATGTACTCGACTCCCCCATCTGTAAGGTCATCCATCCATCCTTGAAGATCTGAGCCAATCTCTTTTGTAATTGATGAATCTGAAGCTCGGACAACAAATTTGCATATCATTGTGGTTGTCTCATCACCCAGGTCCACGTTTCTGCTTACCTCACTAGCACCAAAGATCATCATACCGACAAAGCCTCCATACCAGGTTTTTGCAGCAAAGCAGAGCTGTTTTGTATGCAAAAACTATAAGATGCTAGAAATCTTTAAGAACTATATACATTGTTTCTTTTTTTAAAATACTTTCCATCTTGAAGACTAGAATCACGAATATGCTTGGAACAATCAATATATCATATCAAAATCTACAGTTCAGATTAACATGTGGTTAGCTAATGTTAATAGATGCCGTTCGCCATATTGCATATTCCCTTTGAGCTAAACAGAAGATTCATCCATCAAAGCATGGAAAAAAGGACTTATAGTTGAGCTAGCCAACAGAACACAAACAAATTACCAGGCTGTTGAAAATTTAAAAGCTAACTTCTCGTCATCATAACATGTGAATATGACAATTTAAAAGAAGAATGAATGTAAAAGCGAACCTGAAATCCTGCAACAGTCCGAATGATGTGCGAGCACACTCTATGGAAAGGCTTTGAAGATAGAGATTTCAGACCACTGAGGAAAGGAGACTCCCCGTACTGCTGTGCAGCTGTTGCCTTAAATCCACTACCTTCGTATGTGTATGTACCAGTATACTCCACAATAGCAGGCAAACTAGGCCATAACCGGAAATATTCAACTGGAGAAATTTTATGTGGCAATAGCAGCTCTGTCAGGGGAATCCTGTAGGGTTGACATCTCAAAATAACAGGATCTCCTAATTCAGGCCGTAGACTTCTCTTTTGCCTAACGATTTGCGGATCGTCTTCACTGTAATCCCCTTCATAATCAGCCAGCGCACCACTGCCGAAGAATGGGTAGTATAAGACTTGAACCCAGAGGGCACATTGCTCAAAATGGGAAACACCTACAGTTACACTGCTTAGCACCGGCTCCTGAAATGAGGCAAGTTAGTGGTACATATTTAATGGTAGAACATTGAAACAGTATATTAAAAGAGCCACAAGCGGAAATAGTTTCATACATATGGTGGATCCATACTTTGCACAAGGTACCTGTGAATTAAGATCACGTAACTGTCGGACTGCTTGAGGAGATCCATCCATAAAATACAGTCCACCTGATAGGCCAACTCTAATGTCCACTCGATTCAGTTCAATTTCTGTCAAATTTAAAACCTACAAGCAATTCTAGAGTTAGAATAGACAAAATAAAATGCAAATACCAAATGGAAAAAGGAAAAGCATGTTATCCTCCCATCACTATCTAATTTAGCTCCACATGAAGGAATACTGAGCAACATATGAAAGAATTAAAAAAACCTTTAAATGCAGAGTTATCCTTCCGTCATTTGGATCTGACAAATGATACGCTTCCACATAACAAGGATCACTGCTGCCAGTCAGAGTATATGCCCTCGGAGGCACTTTGAGTAAAGTAGAACCAACTCCTTTAGACAACAATAGAGTCAATTCATTAGGATCGGGCCTCCAAAGCTCCAAAATAGCCTTGTGAACAAGTCCTTCCAATTTCCGGTCCTGAGCAGCTGATGCTTCATAAAATTGAACTGTCAATTTGTGATGACTAAATGGATAATCTCCACTGGCTTCGCTAACACCTGCCCACCTTCAAACATTTTGCATGGATTTCAGAAAATTGAAAAAATAAAAGAAACAACAATTATTCTAGAGTCCACTCATGTCCAGCATCCACCAATATTTGTACTTGAAATAACAGGGAGAAAAGGTCACTTTGGGCACATGTTTAAAAAGATATAAAAAGAAATGAAACTTGTACTAGTAATGAAGCTAAGCAAGCTACAGCATACATTATATCAAACCAGGACCTGCTCCTTTCAACCCATTATATATAGCCAAATGCTTAAACAAAATTCCAAAAGGTAGTTGTTCCCTAGATTGCAACACTTTACACAATATATTAATGTAAAATTAGTGATGATTTACTTACTTGTCATCTGGGTGACTTAAAACATATCTAATCCTCTGCAATATCAAGCGGGATTGATGTTTATTAACAGAATCGGCTAAAGTATTGGTCCTGAACTCTTCAAGCTCTTTAATTATCAATTGTCCAGCCCTGGCATTCCGTGATCCTAATCTTTGAGCACATAAAAGAACTGCTTGAACATCTTGAAGCCGATTTGTTGTGTTTGCAGATGAATCCATGTTGAACAGTACTTTATGAATATTGGATATAATAATGTTTAGTTGATCCTCTGGATCATCAGCCAAAAGTGGATCCAAACCTTCAAGATCTATGTGCTCTGAAATCGCCCAAATAACACGGGCCAACACTCTCGGGGTATTTACCTGCGAAATGCATTGTCGCATTCAATAAAAACACTGAAAAATTACATTACATCTAGAAAGTAAGATAATACAAACCTCACGAAGATCTCTGACAAGTTCCCGTTGCAAGTTTTGTAACCGTGTCTCATTGAGAATTTGGTCCTGAGATGCTCCATCTTTGACTCTTTTAACTCCTCCTCTAGTATCATAGATATGGCAAAGTCTAACCAACAACTTCAAGTAACAATCAATTGCATATGTTCGTCCTTCACAATCCCATCTTATACAAGGCCTACACACTTCAACAACTTCCAAAGCTGGTTCAGTCCAATTTAATGCACCATAACCAGTTCCATAAGCTAAAGCCCCAATAACTCTGCTTTCCATGCCTGAATTCTTCTGTTCAGGCAATGGTAAAGACAACTGAAAGCAACTCTCGACCAACATGGCAACCAGTTCTTCTCTAAATAAACTTTTACTTACGACACTATTAAGGTCATCCCTTATTCTTGCATCTTCAAAAAGTGACGCAATATCGGTTCCTGGAAGAGGTTTTTGACCTCGTCGAACACTTTCCTTTGCGAAAAGATCAACACAAAGAGCAGTCCTGCAGATGCATGCCAAAGCATGCATACGATCAGATTCTGCTCTCAAGTTTCTGACCATGAGAAGTAGCCTCTTAAATAAAGAGACCTGCAACAGACAACATAATCAAGGTAACTATATAAACAGCACAATGGATAGAGCACAAAAGTAACATATAATCAATGTAACAGATTAATGCTGACTTCCTAAGGCTGCTTGAGACAATTGTACTCTTTTGTGATGGGAACAACATATGCAAACACCAGAAACAATATTGAAATTAGTCATGCGGAGAAGAAGAAATAATGGTTCATTTTCAGAAACTTGAAAAAAAGAGGACAAAAGGCTCTATCTTGATAGAAAGCATCCACGGTTTTTCTTTGGTTCCCTCATTATTTACGAGGTGTGGTTCATAAAGGTTGGTGATACTTATATTACCTCAACTTCATATTCATTTAACATTTTACAAGATTCTTTGATTTCCAACGTTTGGTACTGGTCCAAGCATAACGACGTCAAATTCATTTGTATAATAATAGATTTCAACCCATCAATGACGGAAATATAATGAACTAAATTGAACTCATAACAGTGATGTCAAACTTGATCATTTTCAGTAAATACCTGCATACTCAGGTCAAGCAGATGCAGATTAGTAACCACAGCTCTGACAATGCTTTCCCTAGCAGAAGAAAACTCTTGCCTATCCCACAGGGTTAGAATCGCAATGGTAGAAGTGGAAGCCCACTCAGGCTTGCCTCCCGGAACATCAGCCAAGTACAACATGTTAATTCCCACCTCATAAATCAATGCCGGCTCCAAGGACGAAGCCAAGAATGGCGCCAAATGCGACACCACATCCGAAACTCCCACAAACCTCTCTGCATTATTTCCAGAATCCAAATCCCCAGGTGCATTATTTCCACTTTTGGAAAGCTTCTTGATCACTTGTAACGAGCCAGAAGCCACCGCTTTAACTGCATACACGAGCGGGTAAACTGTGGCCCTGAAGCTCTCCACGGGCAAAATTAATGACCTTGCCATTAAGGCATTACGCTTCTTCCAGACAAATTCCACCATGGATGAAACCCAATTGGACCGAATGGCCACTGAGTTTTCGCTGTCCACGAGTTTATCCCCAGCTAGCCTACTCATCCGCTTGGATTCGAATTCCTGAAAGAGTCTCCCCACGGATTCAAATGCTACTTTGGAGACGGCGTCCGATTTGTCGAGCATGTTCCTCCCGATCCGTACCCACCAGTCGGAGACCCGATCCAACAAGTTGATGTTGTTTTCGCAGAGAGTGACGAGATCATCACGAGCGAGGATGCAGCCAAGGGTTTCGGTGATGGCAAAGCGGAGGTTGTCACTGGTGGAGTCGAAGCAGCTGGAAATCTCCTTGTTGCAATCGGTGATGAGCTTGCCGAGGCGGTAGGAGGGGATGGCGGCAAGGATGGACACGGCGGCGGCGGTGACGTCAGGGTCGGGGAAGTCGAGATCGGTGCGGATTCCGGTGCAGACAGTCTCCCACAGGTCAGCAGTGAGGCGGGTGGAGCGAATTAGGTCGAATGCAAGCTTTTTGGAGATGGCGGAGGCTGGGGAAGCGACGATCTCCTCGACGGCTGATTTGGCGAGGACGGAAATGTCCCTGCCGGCGGCGGATTGCTGGAGAGCTTGGAGAAGGGCGCTGGATTGGCGGAGGGCATCGTTGGACCGGAGGTCCGCTTGGATCTGAGCGAACAATATGTCCATAACAAATGTCCCTTTTGACGGCCGGAGGAAAAAGGTTTTTATTGAACCGTTGAAGTGATTAATGCTCGGTTTTGGCTAACGAAATACCGATTGCATGGCTCCTTCTGTTGCTTCCATGAACATGGAATTTTGCCCAGAGAGTTGCTGTGCTTTAGCCTTTTTGATCACTTGAACACACACAGGAGTCTAATTACTAATGAGACTATTTAATTGAAACTGATAATTATTCTACTACTATAGTAATAAAAAAGTAAAATTAGAGACACCTCTCTTCCATTTCTACTTTTACTTCCTCCCCTTTATAATTGTGTATTTTCGTAGAAATACGAAGATTTAATTGCTCCTCTGTTCGAATTTCATTTTTTTTTCCCTTCTTTTGGTTAACTCTATTTTTATTTTCATAAATATAAAATGTGTTTGCTTCTTGTCCCAATCAACAAGAAATCCCCATTGATTCACATCGTTATGGCGTAGGCATTAAATTAATTAATGCTACAAAAGCATAATATTTAACAGTAATCAAATGATCAAACAATGCGGGCCAAAGAGTTAAACTATATGGACTCCCAGCTTTCAAAGTTTTAACTCAGATGAAGCTTTTGCAAAATGCTTCCTTCTACAAATTCCTAATGCATCTCAAGTCTCAAGATTAATTACAACCAAAGAGTCAGGTCAGTGCAAGCAAATTTAGCTACATTTGCGAGGTCACGCCATAAGTTGACTAGAATTAAAGTAAATAATAATTTGCAGAAGATAAAAGGGAAACAAATGACTGAAGTTTTGCCATTGATTTCTAAGATCCCAAGGTATCACCAGTCGCCCCTAAAATTTTCTCATATATTGAACTTTTGAGGAACACCTTCGAAATCATCAAAGTCGAATCTGTGTCTTTCTCTACCAACCTGTAACCAACATGAGAGATGTAACATGTGTTAAGGGCTTCATTTCAAGGAGAGGCAGATAAATGTATATAGCAAGAGGGAAGATGAAGAACATGTTTACCCTCCCAAGGTACATAGGATCACAGGACATTTGCTCATCCATTGCAGTCAGCTTCTTTGACAAGCCCATTATTCTGTGACACCACAAGAATATATCACATTATGCACAGGGAAATCACAAACTCTCTATTTTCCAACTCAACGGTTAGTTCAAATACAGTAATTCTTCCCAAGTTCCCATATCCTCAATTGAAAGTCCAATTTCCAAAACTCTCTTGGTCACGTAAAGAGATCCTTTGGTATGCTCCAACAACTGATCTTTCGAGAAGGAAAAAAAAAAAGACAGAGAAAAAAGCTAAAAAATTACCTTCGAATTGACGAATCAATGTGTTCAATCATCTGACAGGTTTTGTACTGCTCTGGATCCTCCAAGAATCTAACCATTCCATCCTTTTGATTGATCGTTGCATATATCTCACCATCTTGTATCTAATATAAACAAAATTGTTAAAGATCATTGTAGTCCCATTTACAGCAGTCAGAAAGCAACAGAAGTTATTTCAACTCATACCATTTGAAGCACATTCATTTCAGCCTCCTTAGAGCTCTTCAAGTTGACACTGCTAGCAATGTCTTGGAGAGACAGAGTCAAGTATGTTTGAGTCAATCTCTGAATGTTGCGCTTATACATAGAAGAGACAACTTGCTTTACCAGTCCAAGATTATTGTCCTATAAGAATGAAGATTAGACATACAAAATAAGACACACCCCAGTGCATGAGACAAATAAAATGACCTTTTTGGGCAATGCAGAGTCTACATGCCAAATGGAAACTCACACTTTCAAACTTCTCTTTGTTTGCTTGAACGATGGACTCCAACTCCGAAATTTTTCCTGTTGCATAACTAGTAGCAAGTTCTTGATATGCCTGCAAGGAATCAAACAGTAACCAAAAAAGGGAAAAGAAAAGCTGAGTCTAAGTCAAATGCTGCCTTCTGGTATGTTCGCACATACCTGAGTTAAGTTCTTCATACTCCTTTGAGCCACTGAAGAAGCATACTTGGGAAGGCCGGTAGAGAACTGCAGCAGCATGAGAACAGTGAATGTAAGAAAAGTAAGTTAGACGAAGGCCAAACATAAACATGAATAAGTGGTTCTTTTTCCCCCCTTTTCTTTCCTTTTTTTTCCCGTGAATCGTTTACCCATGTTTTGCTTACAAATTGAGGTGCAATAAGTGGTAGATTAAACGAATGAGAACGAGCGTGAAAAGCAAAACCTGTCCAGAGTGAATCAGCGAGACCAGAATGTACTTTTTGTATGCTTCAAGGGCTATGGCATTTAAGCTTGTCATGGGTGCAGTAACAACCTGTAAGTGAAACAAACTAGAGAAATCAAACTAGAGAAACCCATCAATGCATATTAAAAGTAGAACAACATAATGCAAATCACCATAGTTGGTTGTAATGTTGTTTCACCAAGCTTGATGATAACTTTACTAAAAAACAGGGCACATAGCCAACCTAACTTTGCGACAGATTTGTTTCCAGTTAAAGACACATGACAAAGGACTGATTTAGGAACTAAGTGAAAGCTCAACGAGATTTACATCGACACTAATGAAGAATATGTAATATATTTCTTTTTTTAACATTTAGCCTAGTCATCAAGGCTTTGAGGGAGAACTTTCTCCTGGCTTTTGTTCTAATAAATCCAACATTCCTGGTTATTCTTAACATTCCAAAAGAAGAAGCTAACAAAGATATTACAAGAGATAACATCCATCTGTAAGACGCAGACATACATTGTGGAGTAGCTCCGAAGCTTTACGAAACTGCTTTTGTCCAATGCAAATCATCCCACTGAAGAAGGAAAAAAAGACATGTGAAGTTGGTCAAAGAGGAGCAAAGTCAAGATACGAATCTAGGTTCACTATTAATATGCAGTTAATTCAAACATATTTTGAATAAAATTCGCAGGTAACTAGAAACTGAAGGTTAGTGGCAAAGCTATTTGAGAGATAACAGCAAAATAAACTACTTCTACTTCTCAATGAAAGCAGCCAGAATTACAAATGTAGGGGAAAAACCAAAAGCACAACAGCTCCATTCTAAAAAGTATAATGCCCATGACTCGAACAACTCACCCATAATAACAGTAAAGGAAAAAGTCTCTTGGCTGATCAATTTCGAATAAGTCGTCTTCAAGAAGAGAGAGCCCAGTTTTGTAACACTTGGCCAGCAGACACAGTTTAAGGAAATCTGGATGCAAAGTCGTCAGTTGTTCTGGGGATGATTGAAGTTTTCTCACAGCTGTCATCATAGGGGCCACACCTCGTATCGGGGCTTGAATAGATATTACATAATCCTCAAACCTTCTACAAACTGATATAACTGCACATCAAATATGACAAATGTCAATAACTTAAATACAAAAGCCTTTTGGCAATGTGAAAGTAAATCTCGAAAGTTAATCAATACATTTCTCAGCAGCTAAACGGATCTGATTGCCTGTGCATGCATCAATGAATCTGGAAACCAAAAGAGCTAATTCACCACATCGCTCCTTTGTCACACATGCATCCCTGTCAAGAAAATTGAAACAAACAATTAAAATCCACAGTAAAACAGTATTTTCAGTATCTATACACTCCAAAGGTTATAGCAAACAATGTTATTCAAGAGATCATAAAGTAAATTGTGGAGAGTGGTTGAACCACCATTACAGAAGTGAAGTCTCAATTGATTGCCAACAGCAACAAAAGCAAGTCGCTGCGTCAACACTTAATGTCACTTTAGGTTTACATAAATCATGTCTTCTTTACTGAAGAAAATGTCAGGAGAAAAAAAAACAAAGCACAGCCCCATCAATCCTAGCAAAACAAGTAATCAAATACATGGAACAAGCCAAACAACTAACTACTACAGCAACAACAACAACAAAGGCTTTCCGCAATTCACTTACGAACAATAAAAGAAAGCTGTGTTTTCCGGTAAGTTCAAGAGCTTTGTCTATTTATTAATATGATCTTCCAAATTTTGTTGAGTTATTCTCGTTAGAACATAATATCACCCAATAATTTTCTAACTTCTACAAGCCCAACTAGCTGCAATGCCAAATAACACAGGAAACCAAAACCCTAGGGTTCAGCCTAAGCAATTAAGTACCTTGAAAATAACCTATAACCGGGTATTAGGGTTCAGCGTAAACATAGAAAAAAAGAATTGAAACGAATACTAACCCATAAAAAAAAAAAAAGAAAGACAAAAAAGAGAGAAAAAGCAGATGAGAGTACTCACAGGAGGTAGAGGTAACCGAGGGAGTATTTGGCGGGGTCAAGTTGGTGGAGAAGCGGAAGCAGGCGACCGGAATCGGATTTGAACAACTCCTCCGACTGCTTCAAAGCGGCGTTGAGTTTAGCCAAGTTTTTGTCCGCTCCTTTTGATAACGATTCGATTTGGGCTATCACAGAGTCTATTGTGTTAGCTTCCATATTCAAGTTCATCTCTCCTTCCGACGATGATGATGTTATATGTACTGAAGAGAAGCGAAGCGAAGCGATTCTCTCTTCCCTTGGTGGCACTTTCCGGAGAAGAAAGGTGATCGAAATAATTTCGTTTAAAATAAAGAAAATACTACTTTGGGTTCGTTTAGTGGGCTTGAGCTTGGGCTTGAGAGGAGTTGGGCTGTTGAGTTCGGAATTTAAAGTTGATATACTTTCTTTCCGTTTATTTTTAGTCATTGAGAAGGAAAATAGAAATTTTTTAGTTATTGAAATTTATATATTTTTGACCTCTAAATTGACGAGGATAAGGTCCTTCACTCCTAATTTATTTCGATAAATAGTACTGATATTTCCATTCATCTCAAACAAAAGAAAGATTGTGTACTATTTGAAGCTTAACCTCGACGGCTACGAGCCAACAATGGAGTATATTATTTTCTAAATTGAACATATTTTAGTAGGCAATAAAAGCCTCAAAACCTATCCATCCAGATAACAACAATAATACAAATATTGTAAAAACCAACTTAAATTCAAAGCTGACATTGAGCATATTCAGATTAAGATTACATCTGTTGTGCACTCCAAGTGCATCAAAATCCAAAAGAGGAGTCTGAAGGAGTTATGCTTCTACTTCTCCATCTTTTGCATCTCTCTTCTTGCCCTTGCTTATGTAAGTGATTCCTTCTTTTTGCTGCTCAGCCTTCTTTTGAGCTCGAATCATCGCACGTCTAGCCTGTGGGCGCATTTCACGTACTTGCCTAGGAGGCATGACAAATGGTTCCAGAGGCCTATCACCAAAGGGATGCTCACTGCCTGTGAATATTCTTAGTTTTCTATCTCTATCCTGCACAACACAGAAATTCAACAAACATATATCATCTTACTTGAGACAAACACGAAAAGCAGACTCTGAATACAACCTTTTGCCCAATACATTCTGGAAAAGTGACGGCCACAAATTCCACTGCAGCTTCAAATATCTTAGAATACCAATAAGGTTTCAACTTTCAAGTAAATCTTAATAAGTACACACAACAAAAACACGGCATGGTCCGTCCAGCTTAAAAAACAAGTATTCCACCAGATTAATAATATGGTGTTCATCTCTTCCTCCAGAATTGCAATGAAGAGGAAAATAGCAAATAGTTCTAAGGCATATAGTCTTAGGCTGACGGAGAGGGAGGGATATCATTAAACACAACTCACATCACGCAGTTTGTTTCTTGGTAGCATCCTTAAGACAGCCTTCCGAATAACTTCAGTGGGATCCTTAGCCATCTGATCCTTCAAGCTCCTTTCCTTCAGGTGGCCTACATATCTACAGGGCAAAAAATCCATGTCAAATACTGAAAAAATTTCACATGGTTACTGAGGGGAAACAAGGGACTGAATTGAACTATAGGAACGAGAAGAACCAACCCTAGCTGTAGGGATTAAAAGACAAAGCCTTTGAAAGCTACCAAAGCATAATAAAAATATATCAATCTGACAATAATAAAAACTTCTGCAGAACCTTTCAATTGATAGAGGTGTCTTGTTTATCCAAAAACTACAAAAATTACCACTACCCTAAACTAGCAGACTGAAAACTAACGTAATTATAGCTAAAACAATAATCTAGAATAAACGAAAACTAAATTCTTAAAAAGATTCTAGTTATATCCTAAAACCTAACATGAAGCTACATCTACTTTCCTGCATAAATTAAAGCCAGACAGTTGTCTGCATTCAGTAGATTTTATGCATTAACAGAAAAATTAAACAGGAATGCCACTCACCCGGTATGCCACCGATAAAACTTATCGGTATATTTTCTCCCAGTGAAACAAACATCCTTTGCATTGATTACAATGCACATATCTCCTTCATCGCGATTAGGTGTGTAGGTTGGCTTGTCTTTTCCCTGAACTACAGTTGAAATTTGTGAAGCCAATCTTCCAAGGACCTGAATGAGAGAAAAGTGCTTATTCTTCTCTTATAGCGATTCATTTCTCTTTTTTTTTGTGTCCATAACATCAAACCGGAGATATAACGAATACAACCTAAACATCCCATGCATGTATTCTACAATAACCATTCTCGGTGAATAAAAGAATTTAAGCATATAATCAACCTGTCCTTTTGCATCAAACACTCTCCATCTTAGACCTTCCAAATTGATGCGTCTTAGCCCTGCCAATGCTTTCTGCAGAAATGAACAAACTACCAAATTATATCTCCAACAAGGATACATTTCGAAACATAATTCTGAGGTAGGGATAAACTCCGCACTATGAAAATCAAAAGAATGTACCCTAGGATTCGGGTTAAAGAACTTAATTAGCCTTGCGAATCACTAGCACACCAACTAACTTTCTTCACTTAGTGGGATTGTTGATCGAACAGTTCCAGTCATCTTCCATTATGAAAACTCAGTCTCAAATAACTTTAATAATCAAATGTCCTTTTAGAAAGGGTTTTTCCGCTCCAAGACCTTTAAAATCTTCTCATTGTCCTTTCAGTATGATTGGAGCTAAGCTTTTACTGGGAATGCTTTTACTTAATATTGATATTTCATATAAGTGATTCCCTGGTTTTGACAGAAACAATAGCCAAAACTCTCACTATAGCAATACTACGCGGGTGATTTATGGAGGACATTTCACAAACACTTAGCTCGCTTCAATTAACAGTTCAAAAGGCCAATACACGAGTTCAGGAAATCAGAAAATCTAAGTACCTCTTTCCTATTGATTTATCAAAAAAATACCCAAATACGAAAAGAAACACCAAAAAATTGGGAGAAACAGAAAAGTAAAAAGAAATGAAATTTTTGGCTTACCTTTAAGTTGCCATTGAAAGACTGAGCCGTCGCGGCCATTAACTAACTCAGACTGCAATTACCACGACAACGTTTTCCGTTTTCCGTTTTCCTTAAGTCGCTCCCTACCACCGTCGTCGATGGCTCCAACGTCGAGAAACTGATGCCAGCAAGAAGAGTGACGGAGGGGTGCAGTTATGTGAATACGAACGACGACGACGATGAATTAATTTTGCGTAGTCGCTAACTGGGCCTTGGTAACGAGGACATTTTATGATTGCAAAGATAGTGGGCTTATTTTGTAGCTCACGGGCCGACGGGTTACACTCCAGAATAGTTTGGTATTTGTTAAAAAAACTGGACAAATAAAAATTGGTTTGTGTACATATTTTTTACGTAATTTAGAAATCAACCAAAGGGGTTGTGCTGAAGTGATAAGAATTCTTCCATTCTTAACTATAGCTCTTCCATGAAAAGAATACCTTCGGTTCCCCAAACGCGAGGGTCTACTGATTATCTGATCATCATTGATGGATCATATAACTATCAAACAAGGAAAGCAACAGCTGCTTGGAAGATTATTTCTCCGCATGGCATGGTACTGCAGCTCAAGGTGGTAGATATTATCGTCATGTCCCCACTACATGCAGAAGTAATGACTTGCTTGCTAGCCATGAAAGACACTTTGAGTTTAAGCTTAACAAGAGTACAAGTCTATACTGATTGTTAAACTCTTACGTCGGATACCCAACTACTCTTATCCCCACTGAGACTCAGGAAATTATTTCCTCGCTTCGGTCTACTAGATTAGTCTTTGAGTTATGCTCACTGATTAAAATTAGCAGATTAGAGGTGAGCGAAGTGCATAATTTAGTTTTTGTAAAAATGCATTATAATAGCATAAGTGCCGGTTTGAACTAATATACAGGTACCATTTCAAAAAAAAAAAAATCATAGGTGCAGGGTTCGAACCTCGTCATGAGCACGAAGCAACCTTGATCCTTTGACCAGCTCTCACACCCTCAATATACAAAAAAAAAAAAAAAAACATTCCTATCATGAGGGGATTAGTCACTCTTCAGTCGATGCTCACACTCAATATACAAAAAAAAAAAAAAAATGTTTATTATGACGGGATTAGTCACTGTTATCGACAATGAACACTCACACTCAATATGCCAAAAAAAAATAAAATTATTGTCAACAGTGGACACTCACACTCAATATACATAAAAAAAATGCATATCATGAGAAAATTAGTCACTGTTGTCGACGGTGGACACTCACACTCAATATACAAAAAAAAAAAAGTCACACTCAATATACATAAAAAAAAATGCATATCATGAGAAAATTAGTCACTGTTGTCGACGGTGGACACTCACACTCAATATACCAAAAAAAAAAGTCTATAAATCATGGGCATAAAGCAACCTTAAATTATTTCGCTAGCTTTCCCACCATCGAGGTGCCTATCACGAGCGAGTGGATTAGTCATCCTTTGGTCAGCTCTCCCACCCATCGAAGTGTCTATCATGAGCGAGTGGATTAATCATTGTTGTCGACGGTGGACATACACAATATGCTAAAAAAAAACATAGTCTAAAAGTCTAGAACAGATTATGGGAGAGTTTGATTATATTACCTCTTCACTAAATTTTTAAGATTTTATTTTTAATTAGAAAAATCTTGGTTAGATTGTCGTCCTTCCTGGTAATAGATTAGGGTTCAATTCTTATCAGGGTTTTACCCACATTTAAGTGGGTCCATCAGAGTGGATATTTTTTTAAAAAAAAAAATAAAATAAATACAATATAACAAAGACTAAGATTTTATTTTCAATTAGAAAAATATATTGAATGCAATTATGGGTAGAACTCCTGGTAGGAAGGAGATAAGACCCTTAAATGATGTTTGAAATGATGTTTTGTAACTATGGGCTTCCTAAGTGTGTATAACAAGAAAATAATAATAAAAATTAAAAAAAAATAAAAGCCCATTTTTAAAAAATAAAAATAAAATTGCAAGTCAATTCATTCATCCAAAGCTTGGGTACTACTGTAGTTAGTAGCGGTCATATTTGTTCGATTAAAATGAGATCTGAACCACTTTAGCCACAATTTTGAAGCATCAAATAGATGTAATTTGATTAACCAAAAACATAGATGTGATTGAAAAAATCTCAAATGAATTACATTGATACTAAGTCGATGATAGACAATAATGCACTTAACCTCTAATTCCCTTTCACTGTATTTTGTTTTGTTACGGGCTATGAAATACTCGGTTCGATTTAAAATGCACAAAACAAACCGTAGGATGCTGGCCCAACAACAGTTTTGTTTACATCAGCACACATGGCAAGAGGCTATCAACCATTGCCAATAAGCAGTCCGGAGATTTGACGCTAAAGAAGTTGCTGAAAGAATGTGGTTTTTAATGGCTCTTTATGACTGTCGTAGCTGAAAAGGAAGACAAAGATTCGCCGGGCAAGCCACCCAAGGGAGGAAAAAGACAAAAAATTATGTTGAATGACCGACTGATATTAGACTATGTAGGTACCTCTGTGCAGGTGAGGCTCTTATTCGCCGAAACAGTTCTAAAATCGGAGAAAGGCAACCCCCCAAGAGACAATGATACATACAATTTGCAACAGCTATATGGTATTAAAAAGAAAATTAACACTAGTGCTAACAAGTTCACTTGCTTCTTAAGCAAGACGGCAACATAAACCTAACTGACTAAAAGGTTAAAACAGTTCAGCATTCCTATCCTACTGCTTTCAAAAAAAACTTGGTGCATATTACCAAGATTTTGGAACTAACGGAAATATGCCCTGCCCTACCTAACCTAGTAACCTGCATTTGTGCGCATAAGTATGTACACCTGATTTATGGTGAAAGCTTTATAAGCACTGGAAGAAACATTTCTTAACCTTTTGACTAAAACACCTTCTTCATCTTTCAATGGCAATTTTTCAACTTGGAAGACTCCTTTACAAGGATGTCGCCGAAGCTATGTTCCTGCCTCACATCTATGCTATCTCCTGTCTTCAGGACCTGCAGCAAACGCACCATGCGTAAAAAGAAAAATCAAGTTAGCTTCTAAAGTTGCTACTGTTTGGGCTTTTGTTCTCAGCTGAAAATGTTTAAATCGAGTTATTAGTAGCTTGTGTTGATCTATCAAATTCGAGATAGTATCACTCTTGGGGAACCAATACTCCAAACTGCTACTCCTTCATTTTTAAAATCACATAACTTTGATCCCATTCATCAGCAATATAAAGCAAATAGAGCAGTCGACCAATCGAATAAAATTTAAGAGGCCGAGGTCCCAAGATGAGGAACCAAACCTGATGTTAATCAGAAAAGCATTTTTTCCTAATTGCTAGCAAGCCTAAGTTTCTTTTAGCAGTGATCACTCCATTCCTGAAATTCTGCTATGGAATGTGATATGTTGTTATAACAGCTTCTCCAGAAAGCTTCAAACTAATGAATCATCATTCTAGCATTATTGGAACAAATAGTCGAAAAGATGAATAAGAACAAACTGGGGCTTGGGAGAAAACGTACCAGAATTTCGTAAAATAGCCGTGCGCTTTCTTTCCTCGTCTTTCCATGCAGAACATGTGTTAAATTCAAGAATGTTCCCCCTGTTTGTTTCTTCTCATGTTGTAATTTCGCGTGCAGATATTTTGCAACTTTCCTGGGACGAAAAAAGGTGTGTCTAGAGTCAAGAAAGAAGCAAATGCTCAACAGAGATAATAAAACATTGAGAGAGAGTGTATATGTCTGACATACCTAGTCCTTAAAGACAATTTCTCTGCAATGAGGACAACAGAAACTACGAATTAAACACTGAAGTGGAAACGAGGACACAACATTACAAAATATTAATTGAACTTACGTTTTCCATGGGCAACTCCTGCACTTGAATTGATCTCCTGATCGAATGAATAAAGATGGAGAAAAGTTAACCTCCAAATGCAAAGCCATATATAGTAGAACATGGATAAATTAATAACATCGATAAATTAATAATTTTTTCCACTTGGGAGCAGTACAAAAAACAAAGATAATCGATAAAATAATAAGATAATAATTTTTTTAAAACCCTATGTAAATATAGGTCCCGACAATATCATAAATTAATATGACTTGAAAAAAAAAAACACTATGAGCTTGAGAATCAAAGTATTGTAGATGTTATGAATTTTTTGCATGATGTATCCAGCCACTGATGGGAGTTTAAAGATTTCCCAGAAAAATATCTATTAAATATCTCTTTTAATAGAGGCATGTTACATAGATTAGGTAGATGATAAAATTTAAGATGATGATGGAGTCTAAACTCTAATGCCTATGGGATATAAGGAATAAAGGAATATAAATCTTTTATAGCTAAGCTTAAAAGATTAGTAGGATTCTTTGGTATTTTCTTTAAATTTATATTATTAATTAATCGATAAATTAATAAATTACTATCGATAAATTAATAATTTTTTGGGGTCCTATAGTATTAATTTATAGATGTTTAAGTGTATGAACCTAGAGAAATATAATGTCTAATAACAACATAGCCCTTCCGGACGGTAATACTCCAAATAAAAATTATAATGTCTAACAACATAACCCTTTCAGATAATAATACTCCAAATAAAAGTTATGCAGGGAACAATCAAAGGCGAAAAATCCTCTTTGTATCCCAATTTGGCAAACATTAGTATGCAGAATTTCATTTCTAAGTCAAGTCTAACGAACATAAATCTCAAAGAAATGAAGTTATATACAAAAGCAGTATACTGTATGGGAAAAGGTGAGTTTACCTCGTCATCCATCAAACCAGTAATTAAATCAGGACCCTCATCTGGAGCCGCGATCTCTGTTTCCACACTTTCGGATCTACTAGGACGTTCAGGTGTGTCGGGTCTAAAAAACACTCGGGCCTCATGTGATCTCAAGGAGGCTGGTTGAGTAACAGGTGTTGCGGGAGCTATTGGAGTTTGTTCTCGAGATTTCTCTTTGATGGGAGATTCCTCTACAGTTATTTCATCTAGAGGAGTTTCAGTATTCAGTTCAGACGTCTGTACCCGAGATTTCTCCATTATAGGAGATTCTTCTACCATTATTTCGTCTGAAGGAGTTTGCTTGATCACTTTAGTCAAACGAACAGCAACCGGTTCTACAGGCTCTCGAGTTTTAAAGTTCTTCTCTGCAACCGGAGATTTAAGCATAACGCATTCACCTAAAGGTTACCACAGAAACGTCACACAGCTGCTTTTCGCACACTTTATAGATTATGCTACCATTATTATAACAGTAAAAAGTTTGAAGATTGAACTCACAGGGAATTAAAGGCTCAAGAAAACTCCGGGGGAGATTGGAAATCTTCCGAGCCTGCCAAGTATGGAAGTTGGTAACAGGAGCTTTCCTTCTCTTACATACCAAGTCACCTGAGTAGCCAATCCAATGCTTGATTACACTATAAAAGGATTTCACAAATTACTAGGTTAGCCATTTGCAACTTTTAGAAAAAGAAAATGTGTTAGCCTTCAGCAAACATGAACATTAAGAGTAAATCATCACATTCGTCACTAACTTATTAGGGAGAACGACTGCCTCATCAAATAAACACTTCCGCTTCTTAACTCTACTGCACTCCTTAATTGATGGGGTAGGAACAGCCATATGATCTGCATAAATAGCACCTTCGTAATGGAGCGCATAACGGGCACAGTTTCTTTCCATAATATGTACTCGTAAATGTATTAAAAAGAGAGAAATTCCCAGAGTGTAATAGAAAGGAACATCAAAAAGTGATATATTTAACATGTCACAAAAAAAAAATGGAATTAAAAAGAAAAGCACTTGGACAACACCGAAAAAAGGAGAAGCACACACCTCGAGAGTTAGAAACGGGAGGAGTTACATCTACCGTCATGGATATAGAATGATGCTTTGCCGCTATCTGATCCGGCAAAGGACTCATTTCCGAAACCCTTGTCATCTTGTTCAATTCGACATTAAGCTCTTCATCTAATAGTCTATCCATTTCCGGTTTTCTTGAACTTCTCCCAGCAGATTCAACATCAGATGGCAAATGAAGGGTGTGAGACTCTTTGCCCGTCTCACAAAATGACTCTGGTTCCGGCGTCCCTTCTATGACAGGAATGGGCCCCAAATGTTTCTCAGTAATTTTCTCCTTATCAACCAAATCTACCAAACTTGTCAGTCCTACAACAAATGGTGTGTCACTACCGGGCTGTTTCTCAGGTTCATGATTCCCAGACTGCATTTCATCATCAAGCAATATTGGAAGTTCTGCAGATTTTTTCCCAGCATCAAGATCTGGTATCTGCTCTGCAGTAAAATCATCCGCTTCAACAGATGGCATAAAGAAACCAGAATCCTTGTCTGCCTCACCAAAAATCATAGGTTCCAAGTGGTCTTCGAGAGAAAATGAGAATTTGATTCCACGAAATTTGTCCATGCCTGACTCTTCCAAATTGCTTGTGGCATGTGACAATGTTGTCAAATCCGTATCAATATCCATTGAGTGAGGGGAAAAGACGCTGCCAATTGTATATCATATATTTGGGGCGATGAGAATTGTATCTTCAAATTAATGGGAAAATATAACAAACTTACTTACTCTCTGGTGGGAGTGTGAATCGAGGAATAAGCTTCCAAAGAAGACTCTTCATGATGATGACACTGCAAGAGTTCAAAATCAGTTAAGGACACAAATCAAATGATTTCCCACTGAAAACAACACTAATTTTCCGGTGCCATTATTGATGTGTTTGTGGATATAATCTGACAACCAAAAACTGTAACTTTCTCCAATTTGAATCCTCCAAAACAAAATTGTCTCTATACTAAACCTAGGGTACTTAATCACAATACTTGAAAGTAATTATCAATAACATTCAGCAAAGATCACCGTCTACCTTATTGTACATGTAAGCAACTCCCTCTTTTGACGTACCTGACAATAAACATAGACCAAGTCACAAAAGAAACAATACATGTGATTAAATCCAAGAGAAGGATTCACCAAAGTATTACCGGCAAGCATGATTTCTTCTCGAGGCATAACATGACGACTGCAAAAACAAATAATTGCATGAACAAGATGAACAAGCTTTAGCCCGCCAATGCACGCAAGCAAAGCAAAAGTTTTAAAAGAAAGTTTTACTCTTTTTCTTTTGGATAAAATCATACAAATCACTCACCGGATGTCTTCTTCTTCATCTCCAGAAGCCTCCAAATCAAAGGCATCAAGTTCAAATCTCTTTGGTCGAGAGATAGAATAATAATGCGCGGACGTTGCCTGCTTAGGTTTACTAGTTTCACCTCCTACTTTGACACCAGCTAAGTAACTCATGCCATCCCGAGCACTAAAACAATCGTTAAGCAGGAATTCAACTTTCTTCGAGAATATTCTCACAACACCCAGAAGAAGGTAGGCTATTATTCTATATGTGACTTCAGGAACAGCATCTTGCAGGATTTGATCTGATAATCAGAGAAGAATGTAAAATGTATCAGATATAGACAATACACTTGAGGAGTGTGAAAAGACGGCTTTTAAATCCTTGAAAATTTTTGTAAAACACTTAACCATGTAAGGCCAGCCTCTAGAGATAACCAAGATAACATGCATTATCTGACTTGAATTTTATCAAGTTGCATAATCAAACTCACATATGAAAATATGAAGGGTCAATGGATGAACTCACGAAACAGTCTCTCGAAGAAGTGTAATGTAAGACTGGATACACATCATCTTAATGTCACAACCTTTCCCCAGAAACCATACATGCAACGCAGAGCTTATTGAACTGCTTCCTACATTAGTTACAGCAGTTCTCAGGGACTGCACAAGCGGAACCTTAACAACTACAGTACAAGATATTGAAGGTGGAAAATGGGAAATTCATTTCCTGGCCCCCTTAAGTGCCTGTATGTGTTCATGTGGCTTCTTGCCAGGAAGGGAAGTATTTACTAGTTACCATAACACTTGGGCAGGGGAATATCAACTCAATAAAATAGCAACCGCGCCAACAGCTAAAATATCCCACTATCTCATGATATGTCACCATTCTGCTGGGTTAAGTTTGAATGAACTAGAATCAACTTTTTTACAAAAACTATGCTCTCATTTTTTAGGGATGCCTTTTAGCCTTCACTTTTCATGGTCCAGTTAATGATTCTATACATAGTACTGACACAATATGAGGAACCAGTACTGTGCAGATGTTTAGAGGTGTCCAAAGCAAATAATTTGCAAGTCAATTGGGGTCTAACCTAAGCAAAATAACCACCTGATTACTCTGCCAAACCCCCGTAAGAAGGGGAATAAACAAAAAGGGCAATGCCTGTTAAAAAATAAATATATACAACTGAACTTACCCTTACTTCCCAAGTTCATGAAACAAAACACGCTCATTCTCAAAAATCAAAACGTTCTTAAACATCAAAAAGGGTACAAACATCAAGTTTAAATCCCCTTTTTTTTTTCCTTTTCGTTTTATGCAAAACAATTAACTTCAAAAATATCAGGGTTAAAAAGAGAGAGAGGTTGAGGGGTGAAAGTGAAACTGACCCACAGAAGAAGAAATATCAGTCTGGTGAATTTGATCTTTCTTGAGCCTCTTGTGACAATGAGCAGCAACCCATATTGTCCCAAGAGGCCCCTTCTTTGAAAGAAGGAAGCGCGAGTAAAACATCGACTTCTTAACCTTCTCTTCCGCTGTGTTACCTATATTTGCCTCCTTAAAAAAAACAACAGTTAATCAATTATTTTTTGGGTGAGTTTAAAATTTAAGAGTATTGAAGAAGAAGAAGAAGAAGAAGGAGGAGGAGGAGGAGTCTAGCGAAGTAAGAAGAAGAAACGGTCGAAGACAGGTGGAGAGTGTACTATGTATGTATGAACTGGAAAATAATTAAAAATGGTAAATCGGTAAATTTTGTTTTGTTTTGATTTTCAAAAAACAGCAGAAATGGAAACTTATATCTTGTACAGTTTACGAAAATACAGTCGGTGTACAAGGAAACATGAATTGACCATTGACCGATAAGTTTAACCTACATTGAAAGAGATAACGACAATATTATTAGGGTTAGTATCAAAAACACCCCCCAAATTTTAGTTGATCATCTAAACTATCATTACTGTTTGAAAAAATATTAAAAGCATCCCTTAATCGACAAGTCAAGTATTAAAAGAATCGTTACGATCGAAAGTTGATATATACATCTTAAATCAACTTTAAAAAATACCTAAAAAAAAGATGTTTGTAACCCGAGAAATCTTTCATAAATTCTTTTTCAATATATGATATGATCAAATATTCACTTCTAAATTTAAATTTATTTTTTCATAAATCCCCCTAAAACAGCTATCCTTAGAGTTTCGAATGCTTGTGAAAGTTGAATTTTGAATTTAGAAGTGGATATTTAATTTTGGTAAAGCTTTGGAAAAAAAATTAATGAAGGATTTATGATGGTACAAACGTCTTTTTGATTTATTTATTTTTAGCTAATTTCATATGTAACATTAATTCTTGGTCATCACAGGACCCTTTTAATAATTGACTTGCCAATTTATAGATTTTTTTCTTATATATTTCAAATTAGTAAGAGTGTTTTAGACAATCAAATAAAGCTTGAGAGTGTTTTTGATATTAACTCATAGTAATATAATACTCCGTATTACATACTCCTCAATTTGATTTATTTAAAATGATAGACTCTTTACCAAATCTGTTGTTACATCGCTCTACAATAATTATCCTGTTTGAATTTTTAATTTTTTTCATATCAATAATAGCGGAGGGAGTAATTTGTTTTTTTTTTCCCGGTGATATTTCAAAGAATATGTAACTAGAGTTTGTCCAAATACATTAGCTTTTAATAATCATTTTTGTAAATTAAAATATACTACTAATGAAATAAATACTTGTGGGACTAATTTAAAAAAATTACTTGGGGCACCTGAAAGGCATTCTGGGCCAGCTTGATTTTTAGAGAGACAAATATGGGCTATAGGCTTCGTATCTGATGGTGTGGTCCAATGATACCAAAAGCCCAAAGCATAAATATTAGAGAGGGTTCTACTAAAACCTTTGCAGAAAGAAAGAACAGAGGTTTGGGACTTTGGGGCTCTTTTCATGGAAGTTTGCCCTTCTCCTCTTCGCCAGTGATTTCGTTACTTCGTAAACGTCAAAAAACCAGCTATTGAAACCTTTCGATGTTGTTAACAAGAACAACAAGAAGTATCCAATCCAAGAAAAACATCTGAAATTACACAGTCGGGAAATGGCGTCGATTTCAGTCCGCCGGTCCCTAAGGTCCTTCCGTCGCATTTCTCTCCTTGTCCGGCCCACTTCCACGACCTCCGCCCCCTTCCAGTCTCGTCCTGTGTCCTCCTCCGCCACTTCCTCCGCTTATCTCAGCCGCCCTGCCGCTGATCATGTCTCTCTCGGGCTCAATTTTATTAATGAAACTCGCAGGGGCTATGCCAAAGGAAGGAGACAAGCCTGTATTATTCCTATCCCTTTTTTGCGTGTCTCTGTGTGTGTGTTTTTTAATGAATAATGTTTCTAAACATATTTCGGTTCTTATATACTCCACTTGCATTTTTGTATAAAAAATTACTTTGCAGATTCTTAAAACAAAGCTTAAGAAATAAGTCTTTAAACAAAGGAATGTGATTATCTGCTGGAGAAATGAAATTGTTTTGATTGCACAATAGCTGCTGTATATAATTTGAATTATCATAGTTGTTGCTACAAGTTCGGAAACACTTTAAATAGGTATGCAAGTTGCATTCACCAGCATAGCCAATGAGCCCATATCACTTGCACATGACTCTTAGATTTGCTAATAATTTGAATTTACATTTTTGAATATGCTGTCACCTTTGGGATTTAGGTGACCAGGTCACCAAGTAGGGGCTTAATTCAATTGTTGCTCTTCTAGTGTTATTTCTCTATGTATATGGATACAGATGATGATGATGAAGAGGACTTTGAGGAGGACAACAGAGGGGCACATACACTGGATATTGGACCTACTGTAAAATCCGCTGCTTCCTCACAAATGGAGGCGGCAATTGATGCATTGTCACGAGAATTGTTGAAATTACGTACTGGAAGGGCATCCGCAGGTAATGGACTTCTTGTTGGTCTATGTCTGATAGTGCTTGATAGTTGATAATACTGCTTTCTAATTGTTTGGAAAAGTTTGGTTTTTGTAGGGATGCTTGACCATATTATAGTTGAATCTGTCAGTGTGAAGAGTCCTTTAAACCGGATGGCTGTTGTTTCAGTGATTGATCCCAAAACTCTGTCAATCACTCCTTTTGATCCAAATGTATGTAAATTTCTCATGCTTATTTAATTAAAAGGACATCTTTACTATATCGTATGAAATGTATGTAAATTTCTCATGTTTGCTTAATGAAAAGGACATCTTTACTATACATCTTGTTTCTGCCTGTCTGCTTCGTACATATAGAATTATGACGTGCTGCCTCCATCCAGAATAAGAGTGCAGTCCTGAAAATGTATTCCTCATTACGAGTTTTAAAGTTAAATTTTATAATATTGGTAATTAAAGTATCATAAGAAAAAAAATTAGTTTTAGCTAACTTGGTTCAGTTTTAATTGTTTGAATCTTTATGATGTTAGGTCAAATGGAGAAAGTCAACCATGCATGCTTTATTGTTAGAAAAGCACATTACCCTTAGGCTTTTGTAAAATTAGAATTTAAATGATGTAATTGGCTGGTGGCAAATATTATGCAGACCTTAAAAGAGTTGGAGAAGGCAATCGTCTCATCTCCGTTGGGTTTGAATCCAAGATCAGATGGCCAAAGATTAATTGCTTCAATCCCTCCGTAAGAATTCCATTCAATTCTCGTTTTCACCAGTGAAGTTATATTTTAATGTTCCATCCCATCTAATAACCACAATAAGAGAATACGTTATGCAGAAGTTCCTTTACACATAGTTAACATGTATCTGCTTTTGTTTAAATTAGGTGATTATTAACATTTTCCATTGATTGCAATAAGCAGGTTGACAAAGGAACACATGCAGGTGTGTCCTCTTGGTCCTCTGCTCTTTTGGTTGTGCTTGGAAAGTTTCCGATACCAATGATATTGTTTATATCTTATGCAGGCTGTGTGTAAGGTGGTAGCTAAATCATCCGAAGATGCGAAACAAAGTATACGAAGAGCTCGCCAGAAGGTAGAAACAATTGACTCTGCTGTCGATCTTTGCAGTAAGAATGTTTTTCGCTAGTTAAGCTGCACTCTGGTGTTTAATGTGATATAATATAAGATCTAAGCCGAAAAGAATGATTTCACCCAAGAAGTCAAATGCATTTGATTTCTGAATGGTTGATTTAAATATCTCTTTGCTGATACAGGCATTAGACACTATAAAGAAAGCTGTGCCGAAGAAGGGGAAAGATGACTCGAAAAAGAAGGGCAAAGATAAAGAAACATCAGATTCAAAAAAGAAAGCCAAAGATAATAAAACAGGACCAAGTTTTTCCGAAGATGATGCAAAGCGATTAGAGAAAGAAGTAAGTTTTAATGTCAAAGTAGATGCTCATTCTCTAAGAAAGCTGTGTAGTTTGTTGATCTGACCTATTTTTCCTGCACCAAACAGATCGATGAAATCACTAAGAAGTACATAAAGTCGGCAGAGGATATGTGCAAGGCTAAGGAAAAGGAAATTACTGCCAGCTGAACTGCTTTGGAGGTCCGGATTGTTTGTACTGATTACAGAATATCAAGCGTTCTAGAATTGGTCTAATGAATGAAGGTGATGACAAATTCGTTAGGATAACCGGTATGAGGTTCCTGTAAACACGACAATAGGAGAGATCTTTCCTATTACTTTGGCGGAGTATTGTTGTATACTATAATTAACCTTTCTGTTTAGTTGGAGTTAAAGGATTTGAGTTTGGAATTGTCTCTGAAATTTGGATAGAGCATGGCATCCATATTTTTTCATGTCTGGTTTTGAAAATATCATTCATAGTCTTCCCTTTAAATTTGTACAAGTCCCTTTGGAATTTGGATAGTTTGTACTAAAAGCGAAAATTCAAATTGGATAATCATTTTAGGATAGGAGGAGTAGTATCCCATTATATTTCAAGGTCCTCCAACAAAACACACAATGAAATTGTAATGATATGATTTTTTATTTTTTACTTTTAAATATTTCATCAGTTCCTGAACTTGCACTGAATCCTATATTCTCCCTCCTATCGAGATCATAAAGCCTAATAAGTAACTTCATGACGGCCTCCTTCAAGAAATGAAGTCAGGCTTAAGTTATGAAAAAGCAGCAGAACTTTGAGGGAAAATGTGAATTGAATAGGTGTGATCGTGTTGTAATTGCAATCGAAACAGCAGGGCACCAACGCAAGAGAAAAAGTGAATGCAAAAATCTAACAAGTGCAACCAAAATTTCCGATTTTGTCACCGCAATTTGCATTTACAATGGAGACTATAAGGCCGGAGAGGTTAAATTTTCAAGTACTTCGAGATGGAGTACTTGCTTAACAAAAAAACGTTTTATATACACGAAAGCAAACAGCTAACAATGCACAATATCACCTCACTAACCAGAATTAGTCCCTCCTCTAGTGACAAGTTTAATTCCTCTCACCCATAACTCAGCCATTTCAATCCCACCTTCACAAACAAAGTGAACTTCCTTGTTCTTGGTTCTCACTCGAAACAGTCCAGCTTCTCCAGCGCAATGATCACCTCTCTTTTGCCGAATCGTTTCAAAGCTTGAACTTGGTCCTAAAGCTGCTTCTAGACACACAACGTTCCTTCTTTTCGAGTTACCCCATCTCAGTACTACTCCAGCAGGTCCCCCCTCCATTTTAAGAACTTTCATATGAGGCGACCCTTTTCCTCCTTTAGTGTGCTTCAGAACACGTGTGCCATTCAGTACCAACTCCCGAGCTAATCCATCCAGTATCGTGTTCTCTGTACTTCCTGATCCACTCTTCCTTGCGAGTGACAGGGCTGTTTCGCCGTTGGCGTTTTTGAGTTTGCATTGTGCTCCAGAACCAATCAAGAGTTGACAGACGTGTGCATGGCCTTCCTTAGCCGCCAGCATGAGTGGAGTGTAGCCATTTGTGTCTGGGCTGTTTATGTTGTTGTAACCTCTACTAATCAACAGCTTCACTGCATCTAACTCACCATGACGAGCAGCAAAATGTAAGGCCTGGAATGGATATCCTCCAGCGAATATGCAGTTGCCCTTTTCGATGGCGAATTCCAGCATCACCTTCTCAAAATGTTCACGTTTTTCATTTACTTGAGAAAGAAATATGGCATTCTCCCCGGACTTGTTCCTGAGTTTCAAGTCAGCTCCGGCATAAACTAGCAGGCGAAATGCTTCAACATGACCTTCCACTGCAGTAATCATAAGTGCTGAGAAACCTCTGCTATCCTGAGCATCGAGATTGATACTGCCCTGTGCAATCACTGCTTGTAGAGCTAGGACATCTCCTACATGTGCTACAAACATCAAAGGAGAAAAGATTGATATGCAGCTTGATTTCGGAACTGTTCCATTTCGAATTACATCTATCATTGCTTCTTGAAAACCAAGATGCCAACGGTTGGCCTTGGCCACAGTCATCACAGATTCACCACCTAAATTGACCAATCCAAAATCAGCACCAGCTTTCGCCAAAGTTGTCAAGCATTCTTCCCTCCTATACTTAACACAAAGCATCAAAGCTGTCTCGCCTGATTTCGTGGTAGAATTAACATCACAGCCTGACTCAATCAGGCATTGAAGAGCAGCTGATAATCCTAGTCGTGCAGCAATATGTATCGAGCGAAATTCAGCTTTGTTCATGGTTTCCGCAACAGTTTCTACATCAGCACCACATTTCAAGAGCATCTTGACTGCCAGTGTGTTGCCACAAAGAACAGCATGGTGAAGTATGGCCCTCCCAAGGTGTGTAGTGCTAAGGGGCAAATCATGTTGTTGGAGAAGTATATGCAAAATAGAACCTGTTGCTTCAAAATACTCCACAGCACACCAGGAAATTGGATAGGGCTCTGCTAGTCCTGCACCAACTCTACCTTCTTCACCAGAAACTGTGTCCCACGACCATGCTCCTAGTTGTACCTTGATATCGGTTCTGGCACCAGCCTAGTATAGTCCATTTCAAAGAGAGACAAAAATTTTGTACCATAAGTAATCCAAGATAAATCCCAAACTAATGTATGTCGATGTTTAATGTTAATGTCAGATGAAACAAATGAGACTTAAGTCTTAATGACTTGTCTCCTAACTGTAGATTATTTCTTAAGTAGGATCTTTATCTTAAAAACTGCTGCAGATAATGTCCTATGAATTGGAAACTTGTAGATCTATTTCTCTACATTCATAAAGGTTTAATGCCTCACCTCAAGCAGACGGCGGACAGCAGAAACCTGCCTACTAACAACAGCTGCCACAAGAGGGACACAGTCAACGTTGGCATGCAGGGGAGGCTTTTTTGATTGGAGCAGCAGCCGAGTATTTGCATTCACATCCACTCCGCACTGCCATCATCAAGTACTGTAAACTTATTAACATTGGTAGGTCAAACCAGGTTGGAAGTAATAGCAGGAGCTTAATTAGAACATTTGTTTTCTTAATTTGCCATATTTTAATCCTCTAAGATGTTCAACGGTTTGGTAAGTATTCTCAAAGTATCCATTCTTAACATTCTTCCATCTTCATTTCCATAGATCTTATTTGTTAGTGCAACACTCTAATCCATAAAGCATGCCAACATATTAGGAGTAAACGGTGATTTATCTGAATTTCACCTCAACAAGGACATTGATTAAATCCACATATCCTCTGCAGCAGGCTGTGACAAGGGCTTGTACAGCTATCTGTGGCCTAATCATATCAGATGCCATAAGTCTCTCTGCTATCTTTGAGTGCCCGTGACAGCTAGCTTCTATCAAAGCTTCCTCACAAGCTGGTTGAGATGCTCCAGCTCGGAGTAAAATCTCAGACATCTCGAGGTTTCCTTCCCTCACCGCAGCAGTCAGTACATACCCTTTGAATACTTTCTGGTTAACATCAGCTCCAACACTCTGCCATTTAATACAAAAGCATTACAACCATTTGGTAGCAAAAGCATTATATGGTAGACAATGTTTATGCATATGCTGAAAATTGAATGTTTCTATCATAAATGTATATAATTCATTCTAATATGAATCCACCACACGTGAAGTGTACTAAAAGAAAAAATCTTGTAGTTCAAAATAAACTGATCCTCCTCATTCTTTGAATGAATCAAATCAAGTTATCCAATATGAAAATCAACATGATCCCCCTCCCTCCGGAACTAGCGAAAAGAGGTTTGAGGGAAAGTGTAAATTGAGTATGTGTAACAATTGCAATGAAACAAACGGACAGGACAGCAATGTTGAACTTCTTAATAACGCGCACAAACACCTTTATTGGTGGAAAAAGTAACACTCAGCGGTTCTGTACAGGGGATAAAAGGTGTTGAGTGTGAGATAAAGATTTTGAGGCACTATTTCAAATTTCAAACACAAATACCACAAAATGCGAAACACCCAATATCCAAAGTCCAACCAACCAAACACAGAGAAATAACTATGACAGAAAATCCAAAAGAACATTCTGAAATCTTATTTTTATAAAATGCAAATGCGCAGCAATTAATGTGAGATCACATAGCGGTATCGACCCATGTATGCCAAGTTTATCAAAGTAAACTCATCAAAATTCATAGAGAGAAGAAGAACTGGGATCTCAAGCTCAGTCACCCAGATTTGTGAATTTAATTAGCGCTATAGAGAATTTTCTCAAAACATTTTTGTTTTCTGAAGTTCAACATATAAGAATATGAAATTTTCACAGGATTCGGAACTTCTGACTGAGATGTCAAGCCTAATGTACCATTCGATTACGTTAACAGCACTTTTCATTGATTTTGCAATTATAATAAGCAATAAAAAGTTGATGTTTAGGACGGTAAATAGTTTTTACTTTTAAAGAGTGACTGACATCGATTCGAAAAAAACGGATCTCACACAAGTTTAACGAGGGAGGAATAAAAGTGACTACACAGGAGTTTAAATTTTGAAACAGCAATTACCAGTAGCTTCCGGACAAGCGGAACGTTTCCGTTATGAACGGCGAGGAACAACGCAGTGACGTCAGTCCTCAACTCCTCAGAGGCCACCCGAATTTCGCAAGGGAGTTGCTCTCGGAGCACCAGCTCGGACTTCCGGAGCTTCAAGCAGACGGCGCCGACGTAATTGACGTGGACAGACGGATCAGCGATGCATTCGGAGGCGGAACTCAGATCGTCGAGGAGCGAAGCCTCGAGGAGTCTCTGCGACACCTCTGCTTCTTCATCCAAGGGAAAGACCTGCCTTCCTCCGCCGCGAAAACCACCGCCGCCTGAGTGGCCGAACACCGTCATTTGCGGTAGAGTTGATGAGTTCACTACTGAGGAGGACTGAACTCGTGGTTTCCCTGTGTCTCCCTCTCCCTTGTTTCATGTGTATTTAAATGCGTGAAGAGTGTAACTTTTTTTTTATAACACTCCCTCCCCTCGTTAGTCATTTTAATTTTGTTATAAGTTTCACTTAAAATATATTCTTAATTGGAAAAAGAAAAATTTAAACATATATTTTCACATTCTTTAAATATAACTATTAGAAAATATTTTCAAGGTTTTTATATTTCAATTAAAAAAACGTCATAAACGAAATTTAGGACAAATCAAAATATCTTATAATAAGGACGGGAGGGAGTAATATAGTAATATATTTTATTTGTCTCAAAACTTATTATCCAATTTAAAATTTTAATTTTAATATAATTTATACTAAAAATGAAAATCCAAACTAGATAATGTAGGAGGGATTACATATTTCAGGACTAATGATTTCTTTTTACAAGTAATTTTCCTCCGTTGTTCCTTAAATTCCAAAAAGCAGTTTTGCGGGTTTCCATTTTACAATTTACTAGCGAGCAAATCAGCTCAAAATCAGAAAACCTCATACTTTTTAACCCAAAAGATTCTTCTTATTCTTTAATTCGGGAACTAATTTGCATTTTACTATTTACCAGGGTGAAAATGAGCTCAAAATCTCAAACTTGTAAAACCAGATGATTCTTCTTATTCTTTAATTCATGATCTAAAATTTTAATGTTAGATTGAATAGATTATACTAGTAATGTTTTAATTATTACCACTATCTGCAGTAGCTAGGCAGCAGCTACTGTGGGCATTGAATAGAGAGGGAAGGAGACGGCAAGTGGTAAATAAATTTTAAAAAATAAAAATAAAAGGTAAAAAAGAAAAACTTTGAAAGGCGTGAGCGCCAGTGAGTCGAATTGCCAGGAAGAGAAACTCAGAAAGAAAGAGACAAAAGCAGACACTTTGGTTAATAACAAGAAGCACCTCTGATAATGATATTATTCGGATTCAGTTCTGTACTACAAGACCAATAAGATAAATACCCCTAGCCTCAATTTGACAATTCAACCACTGTTTCGCAAAATCAATTCAGCCATAACTAAAGAAAGAAAGTGACTGATACAAAAAATATATGCGTGCCTATACATTATTGTCTACTGTTAAAACTCAAAATGGCAAAAAGATGAGGGAAAATATTGTGGGTATATAAAAAGTCTTTTGAGTCTTGACAGTGGCGTCAACGAGTCTTCTTCGTCTTCTAAGCTGTAGGACCCATGTAAATGAGCTTTTCTTTTTTCGAGTTTTTGGGGTTTTGGAGATTTGGAGATACAGCTTGTGCAGTCTGTGTTTGGTGGATAAAAGTAGGAAATGTGGGGACATCATTATTTCCGTCCTATGTTGGGAGTGGATCGTCCAATTTCCAACAAACTAATAATGATGAACAAAATTGCGCTGCTATATAATCTGTTGCAGTATTAGTATTTTTTTTTTTTTTTTGGTGAGTGTTGCAGTAGTATTTGAGTATAATTGAAGATGAACTGAGTACGACGTTATGGTGTAATTGAGTGTCTAATTATTTGACATGGATTGAAATGTCTTATTGATGACTCCTAACCAATTACGTCAAAGCTGTTAATTTTGTTATGACTTGTAGATGCATCATCTGTAATGCAGGTTTATACACTATGCAGATCGGAGACTGTTAAATTTTTTTTTTATTACTCAAAAAGATGGTTAGATTTAAATTTATTTGTAGTAATTAATTAGGAAATCAAAGTAAACAAAATAGGGGATTATGTTATACTGTACTCCGACGTCCATAGTATCGTTGTTACACATTCATTCGTTTAGATTAGATCCAGTGAACCAGGCCAACCTTCTTTGGATTGGCCGACATTTTAATCTCCAGTCCCATGCAAAAAGAAAAAACATACACATATGGGATGTACCCGCATTGCGTCAAAAAATCACAGGTCAAAATTCAACCCCCGGGTTAGGTCGGTGAGTGATATGCTTGGTCATCTTCTCGCGCCTTCGTCACTTTTCCTTCCCATTCATTCATTTCCAATCCAAGTTACTACTACTACATATATATATTCAAAAACCAAAAATGGAAATTACTGTATTATTTGTAGTCGTAATCTGGCCATGAATGTTTCCACAAAAAAAAATTAAAAAAAGACCATAAAAATTCTGACCATGAATAGCTGCTTTTCGCCCAATAAAATTGTTTTTTTTTTTGTTTTTTTGCTTTTAAATTTTGAGCACCGAGATCAATTAGTATGATTAATAAATAAATGAGTGACAAATGAGTCAGGGATTACCATTCCCCAAATGCACGCTACATACAACCCATCCATGCCAATGCCATGAGAGGAGGGAACAAAAGCCATTGACTTTTCCACGTACTCACAATTCCACACCCCCTCCTTCTTTATTGTCGCTAAATTAAACAAGTACTCTTTTTGCAATACATTACATTTACAAATATTGCTAATTTGCTATATTTCCTTCAATCTTGGTTTACTTTGTACTGCCTTACAGTTTCTACGTGAGGAGTATTCTATAGGGTAAAGTAAGTATTGTGGAGCTTTCAATATTTGGCACAAACCCCAAGAAGTAATACCTTACTGGCTTACTCCTGCTCATGAAATCATATTTATTTAATTATAAGAGGAATACCTTACTCCTCAATCCAAAATAGGAGGGGGGAAATATATACATATATTTATAAAATCAGTACATGCAACAAAAGGTCCCCTCCAATCCCCCAAAAAAAAAAAAAACTAACAGCGGTATCAGAATCTTTACGTAAGTGTCAATATGTTAACTATGTATTAGTCCCTTAATTTTGAAATGATTGTCTAATTACTGTTCACTTATATAACAATTTCTACTAACTTGTAAATCTAAACTAAAAAAACGTTTTTAAGATTAAAAAAAAATGATGAATATGTAATTATTGTCCTATTGTGATATTCTTGTTTAGTTAATACTTATCTCCAATACTTATCTTGTAGTGTAATTGCTTTATAGTTGTTACTTGTTACTACATACTATTGTGACTATCATCTGAGATCATCGAATATAAAAATTATTATTAAGTGTAACTATTTGTTTTTCCTTTAGTGTTGGTGGACAGTTGAAGTGTTGAACAACTTGGAATGTAGATCAAATTTTCGAGTATGAGTGTGACCAAACATTCCAACATATTGTTAAACTACCTTGATTAATTGGGGAAAGAAGTAAACAAAAGAAAATTAAATAATAACCCTCCCACGATTGGTATCAAAAATCAATAGTCTACCTTATTAAATTGAAGCAATCCAACAAAATAGAATATTTTCCTAAGACGGAGGAAGTAACATCGGTAGCCAACTCTATCTTTCTAGGAAAACATGGTCTCATCCGGATATATAATCACAACAATACTCCCTTTCTATAGCCAACAATGAATAAAACGATGATAGATCTGAGACTTAATAGACGCAAAAGGTCTAAGACTCTGAGCCATATCAGTAGTTTATCCTAGTTTGATTTTAATCGGATTGTTCCTTCTTACATTTGGTACTCATTGTCTCTGTATTAACTGTAGTATATATTCTATGTATTCAGTGATGTTACTACTGTAAAAGTCAAATTAGTTTAGGCCAATTTTGTACACATAATTGAATTATTTCATTTATTGTGGTTAGATATAACTCGGAAGAAATCGTAGGTTGTAGTAAACCAACCTCTGTTGTTGCTTATTTTTTTCTTTGATATAATGACTTTCATTTCTGAAAAAATAAAATAAAAATTAAGGGCTTCATTTTATGCATGTACAGTAGACAAGCAAGACAGCAAGAGACAATAGCCAACTTTTTAAAAACGGTTGTCTGGATTTTCTTTTCATAATGTTTGGTTAATTAATCATCATATCATTAAATAGAAGTTAGTGCATCTTCCTTTTTGCCCGGGATGATTGAGGGAGTTCGCTTTATCAATTTGAACTTTGAACTTTGAAATTCCTACGTAATGTCGATTGAGAATTTTGAACGACGCTGCCGCCTTTCCTCTGATCTGTTTTCAGCTTCATTTTGGTTATAAAAATCAAGAGTGGATATACTGTACGTTATGTTCCAAAAAAGAAGAAGCATTTGTCGATTTCTTTATCAATACCCTCCTCGACTGTAACTGACAATGACTTGACTTAACAGCAAAATTAGTTTGATTACGGACAGGGGTTTCCCTCTAATTACGTCTGTTAATTCAAATGAACGCATGCATATTACTACTAAAAGTGTAAATTTGTGATTTGGAGCAGTTGTCCACTTAAAGCAAAGCTGGTTGGTAGGAATTAGGATGACAATTTGTATCACAAGTCAAGTAACTAATCCAAATTGGATTTTGTTTATGCATGGGTTTGCTTCTAGCTGAAATCTCCCACACAAACACACACACACACACACACATACTTAAGCAAATTTGATAATTATTTTGGTAAAAGCTAACGATTTGAATTTAAATCACATTCGTCCATTAGCTCATTATAGTTTGCAAGAATTTACAAATATAAAATTTGTATAATGGTTGTAGCAAATAGTCAATCAGATACAATGCGTCAAACCGATCTGTACTGAAGGCCTTTATTTTATTGGGTCTAAACCCATATCTATTTTTACAGATACCATTCCCAAACAAATATTACAAGCCCACCATCAATTTCCAGAGTAGATCTCATTTCTACTTATAGGCCTGACCCGGATTAAGTAGAAAAAACGATCCATGTGGCCCATCTAAACAATATCCAAAAGAGGAAAATTGCAGGTAAGCACTCCGCTAGCAAGAGAGAAGCGAAGAAGAAGAAGAAAGAAGGAGAAAAGATCAAAGAATGGGTTCAGCCGCTGCTGCTGACAAAGAAAAACAAGAGAAAAGCCACAAACCAAGTCCTCATTTTATTCTTTCTTTCGAAACTCGCTTAATTTCGACTGATGTTACTGTCTTCTGTAATTAGCAATACTTGTAGTAGCACAATTATGGTAGCTGCTGCTAGCAAAGAGTATGATGATTTCGCATTTTCAGGTGCCTCTGCCGCCAAGTCGCACAGAGTTGCTGTTGTTGGTGCCGGCGTCAGGTACTCTTCCTGGGAACTAGAATTCAGCTTATGTGATTTGTTATGATTTCCGAATTTTGGATTCCCCCGGGGCTTTTCTGGGTGTTTTTCCTGGGAAAATTTGCTTCTCCAACTGCGAATTCCAGTAGAATCGGGTATATTGATACGTGGATTTTGTGGCTTGAGTTTCTACTCTGATGGTTTTTGTTTTTACATTTCGTTGGCAGTTTGTCTTATCGTGACATACTACACATGTCTATTCAATTATAATGTGACATTTTTTTCAATCACCTTCAGTTGATGCTGTGTTTTTCTTGAAATTCAACGCCCCAACGGAAAACTGAGCTCGAGTTGATGATGGTCAATTGTAAACGGGCATAACCTTAATATCAATGATTGTTATTAGTATTATCCCGTTTTTTGGCCGTTAGGTTGTATCGGAAATTTCATCTGCTAGATTTTAAAGCAGAAGTTTGATTATGATTTGTGTTGTGTTGGAAAAAATCTTGTGAAGATGAGAATATTTCTAATTCGCTGAATAATCATACTGCACTTTCTATCCTCTTTTTCCTTCTCTTTTGGGATGCTATTATAACTCATCAAGCGGGCTTGCGGCTGCATACAAGTTGAAATTGCATGGTTTAAATGTAACTGTATTTGAAGCCGAAAGTAGAGCTGGAGGGAAGCTTAAATCGGTCTGCCAAGATGGTTTGATATGGGATGAAGGTGCAAATACCATGGTACTCTCCTTTCTTTTTCGCTTTTCTCAGAATGGTTGCTCCCTTCTGTCTAGTATTGAGAGACTTTGTGGAGCTTTTGCCCTAAATGATTATCCGGTACCCATATCTGTGTATGATTTATTTCATATGGCATTGTGGCAGACTGAAAGTGATGCAGAAGTGGGTGTTTTGCTTGATAACCTTGGCCTCAGAGAGAAGCAACAATATGTAAGGAGATTCTTCTTTGGTTTTACTAAATGTTGTTACGGGTTAAATCTTTGAATTTGTTTTGGTGTTAAGCATGGTTCACGCATAATAGCTCTTACACCTGTGTTTTCCACCCTGAGCTTTGTTCCCACCTTCAAGCTTGATGTATTTCTCTTGTTTCCCAGATTTAAATTCTGATTGCTGAAGTCTTACTTTTACAGCCAATTTCCCAAACCAAGCGCTATGTTGCAAGAAATGGAGCACCGGTACTGGTATGATGATAACCTTGCTCCTATCCTTGGGTGCCCTCTTTGTTTTGCATGATTCTTAGGTTTTATTGTCTGTCTCTGATGTAATTCGCTTATTTTCTTCAGTTACCTTCAGATCCCATTGCGCTAGTCGGAAGTAACTTTCTTTCGATGCAATCAAAGGTACACACGGAATCTGTCCAATGGTATGGTTCAGCTGTGTAGGATAACTAATGTGGTTATTGTGATTGCAGCTTCAAATATTACTGGAGCCATTGCTTTGGAAGAAGAATCCATCTAAGGGATCAAATGAACAAGAGAGGTAATTTTACCTCTCTATTGATGCTTATTCTAGTTGTCTTTCTTCCCTCTCTCACATGATGGTTATTTTACTTGCTTTCACTTTCAAAGGAAACTAAGAAGGTTGCTTAACCTTAAGTGCTTAATAATTTCTGTAGTGTACAACAGTTAAACACATTTGGAAGCATTATGGAACTTTTTCTCCTTAAGTTGTTTTGATAGATTTCTCTTTCCAATCGACCTTTTTGCGAGTGTTTTGTCTGATGGCAACCACAATCATCTAACATGATTCCTGTGTTATGAAAAAACTAAATCATTTTCTGTTTCTGTGTAGTGTTGGGGGATTCTTTGAACGCCATTTTGGAAAGGAGGTTTGTCGATTTACTACATCTCTTCGATTTTCTTTCATGAGAAGTTCAGCTTTTTCCTGCTGTACTTATGTCCTGTAAACTGGACCTCCTTTCTTATTGAGCTTCTCATCTGATATTTTTTTTATCTTCTTTTCAAATTTCCACTAGGTTGTTGATTATCTTATTGATCCCTTTGTTGCTGGTACAAGTGGAGGAGATCCGGAGTCACTCTCTGTATGTATCTACTTAGAACTTCTTTTGCATTTTTCTGTATTTACTGTGCACTAGATTCTAATAGTTGGGGAGATTTATGATCTTTGTTTATGTGCACTAATGCTTTTGGCATGTTACAACCTTCAACAGATGCGGTACTCATTTCCTGAGCTATGGAGTCTTGAACAAAGGTTAGACTGATGCAGCTCTTTTTCTGAGAAACTCATTATCAAGTCTCTAGTTTTGACCCGAGAATTTTCTTAACAAGCGTGCACCCATTGCATATTGAAGACTTATCCCCTCTTCTTTCATAGGTTTGGCTCTATTATAGCTGGGGCAATACAATCTAAATTATCTACCAAAAAGGGAAATAAAGGAGGAAGAAAAATCTCAAATGATAAGCAACGTCGTGGGTCTTTTTCATTTATAGGCGGAATGCAGGTAAAGTAATAAACATACATTTCCTGTATACGACTGGTTTAAGTGTATGAAGACAACAGTTTTTTTTTAAACTCCCTACCTTTCCATAGAGTTAAACTGCAGGAGCCATGGATTATACAAGCAGGTTCTGTTTTCTAGATATTAGGTAATACATATTTTTCTTCAACCGATACTTCCCATTTCCTTATATCCAGCAATTTGCAGACCCTCACTAATGCACTTTGCCAAGAGCTCGGTGAAAAGGATATTAATCTCCAGTGTAAAGTTTTGGAACTGTCGTCTGGAAGCCACAAAGGATGGCCAGCAAATGATTGGACTGTTAGTTGGACATCACCTCAAAAGAAGATATATGAGGAGAAACCTTTTGATGCTGTGGTAGTTACGGTGGGTACATCTATGTTCAAAACTTAATTTGAGCTTAATAATCTTCTGCTTCTACTCTGGGGCTTTGGCATTTCATTTGAAGTTTACTGAACAAATTCATTTCTTGTGCGTTACTCCTTAGGCACCGCTTAACAGCTTGAAAGAGATGAAGATTAAAAAAGGAGGAAGTCCTTTTCGGCTTGACTTTATTCCACAGGTGTGACTTGTGAGTATGATTTTCTGGCCTGAGGCATGAATTTTGGAATATCTTAACTCTTCAAAATTTAAAATCGTTCATGGTTGGAGACTAGGTGATAGGATGGTCATGTTTGTTGGCTATGAAAATGTGAGATAAATTTTCTGAAATAATCCGACATTGCTGGTAACAAGAATGATCATTAAATATATCTTGATGGACTTTATGGACTCAATATGGGTCAAGGCCTCATGGCATGCTTGCCATACATTTTACATGAACTGCAACTGTATTCTTGGAAGTTTCTTATCAGGGAACCATTTTCTTGTCTTAATCACAAGGCAGGTTGTTTGCTTACCCGTATCTGTTGTAATTACCACTTTCAAGAAAGAGCGTGTAAAGTGTCCCCTGGAGGGTTTTGGAGTTCTTGTACCTACAAAAGAGCAACAAAATGGTTTAAAGACCCTTGGTAATAAATAGCCTTTGATATTAGTCATATGATAGGCAATAAAAATCGTACTCCTCATCTGTTGAGTTTCTACAAAATAGGTACCCTTTTTTCTTCGGCAATGTTCCCTGACCGTGCACCTGATGATGTTCATCTTTATACAACCTTTGTTGGTGGAAGCCGAAATAAAGAACTAGCTAAAGCCTCAAGGTACTGGATCTTTTAGCGTCTTGGTTTTCCTTTGGCTGCTATACCACTTCATAAGGTTCTGTCGGTAAGTATCTTATGTTGATCCCTGATGTCACTGCATGACAGGGATGAGCTGAAGGACATCGTAACTTCTGACCTTAGAAAGTTGCTGGGCGCAGAAGGAGATCCAGCATTTTTTAAGTAAGTCAAGTGTTGATTAAATATCATCTCTTTAAGGGATTTTCTTTCAGATGCACTTAACTTCCATTCATTTCAGTCACTACTACTGGAGTAAGGCATTTCCGCTGTATGGGAAAGACTATAAATCAGTGATTGATGCTATTGATAAGTTGGAGAAAGACCTTCCCGGATTTTTCTATGCTGGTAAATTTCTAGATTCATTGTCTAACTTATATGTTGTACTTTAACAAGTAAGTTAGATATCAACGATCTTGCATGGTTACGAGTAGTGAGTGCTACTATTGAACAGAAATGTTAAGGTCATGAAAAAGTACTTCTATGGTTAACTCCCATAGTCCCATGTAAAGGTAGGATTAGTATTCACCGGAAATGTGTTTGGGCAATGCATGGAAGGGACATGAGATCCACATTCCACAATATAATCAATCTTGCTCAGTGGCATAAAGAATCAGTTGTATAGTTAAATTCTGTTTTGGTTCATCCGAAAACTTGTACTGATGACATGTGAGGGCTGGGTGAAACATGATTGGTAGGTAACCACAAGGAAGGACTGTCTGTGGGTAAAGCCATAACATCAGGATGCAAAGCAGCTGATCTAGTCATCTCATATCTGGATTCTTCTGCTGTAAATAAGATGGAGGAAAGCTCTCACTGAAGTTTGATTCTGGGGAGGAATATTTTAACTGCAGCTGTATTTTAGGGCAACCTTATTTAGAAGTCATTAAGAAGGGTTTTTTAATCAAATTATTTTTTGGAGAATGTAATTTTGTACATTCTGATAGCAAATAGCAATTGTTTTTAAATACTAGTAAAGTGAAAGAATGTTCAACAGTTATGGAAGCTTGAAGAAAAGTTGTAGCAGGTTCACCATATATCTTTCTTTGTTAGGCCTAGAAAGGTGTACCTTACTGTACTGTGTAGTGTGACTTGATTTAATTTAGTGGCAGAGCCCAACAGAGAGATACATTTCCCATGATGCAGAAAGCAGAATATCATCAAAGTAGTAGATCTGTTGAAATTATAGTACTACTAGAAAGCATGCGGGACTCTTGAGGGTCTCAATCTTTATTAAACAACAAGGAGAGAAAAAGAAAGGGTAAGGATTTTGTTTGACTGAATGATGAATTGATGAAGAAAGTTAAAGAAATTGGGGTCCCCATGAAGAACACACCTCATTGTCTGCACTCTGCTGTGACTGCACTGATTATATGGAAATCGGGAATTGCAGAGACAGAAAGAGACAGAAAACAAATTGGTTGGATTAAACAGATTGGGCTTTTTTTTTTCTTGGAATCTCAACCATTCTTTACTGCTGGTGGATGTTGAAATTTTACTAGTACTAGTTGCTTTTTGGGCTGGTGAGATTATTCTCTGCACCACAACAAACCGAATGCAAGAATTGACAGTAAAAGCCCAAACAGTTAAAATGAAAATGAATTTCTTTTGATTTATATATATAATCACAGAGGGGCAGATTTAGACGATTGTTTTTGGACGTAGTAGTAAATAGACTTTTCAGCAACATGGGGGGTATCATGCTAATACAGTTAACAGCCTGTACCACAATCAGTAGGCCCTGTTAGAAAGAATAGCTCCAGCCTCTAGCTGCCAATAATATGCTGACGTCACTAAATACTGGAAAGTTAATCTTTGAACAGGAGCAGCTTATTGCACTTCCTTTCAGTACAAAATATAAATCGAGCTTAGGGTATATTTAGATTTTTTTATTTTTTTTGTGTGTTTTCATATTACCTAAACTCAAATCCATACTTGAAAACCAAATCAATTCAAATCATTTGAAGCAGCAAGAAAAAGATCATCATGTGGGAAGGTGTTATCATGTACCCCCTTCTTCCTCATGGCCAACTTAGCAGCCATTATTAATATTATGATTGCCACAATAATACTACCTTGTCAAAGGAATGTAGGAAATTCTATTAACAAAAAGTAAGGGGCAATCATTCCCTCATCCTAAACTACCCTCTCATGCAAATTATCAAACAATCAAAATCCCAACTTTTATAACTACTAATTGAGAAAGGGAGTCCTAATTCTTAGATATCAAATCCATTTCCATTCCATTCTGGGTCCCATCCTAATTCCCCCAAGATCCCCAACCGATAAAGATAATGCCAATTACTAGTATCAAAGTTGTATCAAAGAAAGATAAAAGAATGATGAAAATGCACAGAAGAGCACAAGACCAAGACCTTGGTTTGTTGCTTTTGGGGATGCTGCCAGTTCAGTACTGAAGACAGTACAACCCAACTTCCTCCGGGTCTTTTTCTCTGTGCTGCCATTAATTTTCCTTGGATTCAATTCAAATGGCGGTCTCCTTCTCCTTCTCCTCTCTTCCAACTTGCGGCCGTATTTTTACTCCCTGTTCTTGACTTCTTCTCATAAATGCCTGACAACTCCAGAACCATTATTCACTGCCCTCCCTTACCAATCAGTGGTGTCTCTCTATTAAATTCTGCTTCCTTTTCTTCAACTGCCTCCCAACAACAAAATCTTGTTCCCATCTAACTGATTCCCACAACCCACATTTTCGGTACCGTTTCTTTATCTGAGACTTGCTCCAATTGTTTTTCTGAGAGGCGAAAGAAGGCCATTTTCTTCTTTCTTAATTTGGGTAATTCCTTTTGTTTCTCTACTCTTTCGCCCTTTCTCCTTCTCGGTTTTTCTCTTCCCTTCAAATGCGACTCAATTAAACTGCTCATCAAAGAAAAAGAAGCTTCTTTTGGAGGCTACCTTGTCAATTCTTGAAACCGGAGAAGTCGGCGAAAATGGGATGGCTGAATGGATTGTTTATAGTGCTGTTTTGGTGGGGTTTTCTGGTCCCAACTACCTATGAGTTGCAATCCTATGAGACCCAAATTCTTCTCCAGTTGAGGAAGCATTTGGAGTACCCAATGCCTCTGGATATTTGGCAGAATTTTGATGGTGATTTGTGTTTTTTGTCTCCCACCCCAAGAATGAGCATTTCGTGCCAGGGCAACTCTGTCACTGAGCTCAAAATAATGGGGGATAAGCTTCCTTCTGCTCAGGTCAGTGATGGTTATTCAGGGTTCCCTGTGCATAACCAGACTTTGTCCGACAGTTTCTCCATGGATTCTTTTGTTACTACACTCACTAGGCTCACCAACTTGAGAGTTCTTAGCTTGGTTTCTTTGGGTATTTGGGGACCTCTCCCCGATAAGATCCATAGGCTTTACTCACTCGAAGTTTTGGATATGAGTTCCAATTTCATGTTTGGTTCAATTCCTGCTCAGATTTCCAGGATGGTTAGAGTTCATACTATGGTATTTGATGGCAATTTCTTCAATGACACCGTGCCTGATTGGTTGGATTCTTTGAGTAATTTGACCGTATTGAGCGTAAAGAACAACAGGTTGAAGGGTTCATTTCCTCATTCACTTTCCAGGGTTACTTCTCTCACTGATGTTGTTCTGTCCCACAATGCCATTTCTGGCGAATTGCCTGATTTGAGTGCTTTATCAAATTTGCATTTGTTGGATTTGAGGGAAAACCGTCTAGACTCTGAACTGCCTGCATTGCCTAGTGGACTAACAACACTTCTGCTCAGTAATAACTCTTTTTCGGGTGCTGTCCCGTCACAATTGGGGAAGCTAAACCAGCTTCAACATCTTGATCTTTCGAGAAATTCTCTGAGCGGGATGCCCCCAAGTGAGTTGTTCTCCCTGCCCAATATCAGTTACCTGAATCTAGCTTCTAACATGCTCAGTGGCTCACTTCCCAGGAGCATGAACTGTGGGGAGGCTCTTGGATTTGTTGATATTTCGAGTAACAGATTGGTTGGAAGCCTTCCCTCTTGTTTGGACAGCACTTCTGGGAAGAGGATTGTGAAGTATGGAATGAATTGCTTGTCCATAGATACCAAGAACCAGCATTCTAAATCATTTTGCCAAGAAGCCTCCACTTCGCAGAGGAAGCATTTCCCCGGAAAAGCAATAGCTTTGCTTGTTGGTGTTGTTGGAGGAATTATGATTATAGTCGTGCTCCTGGCGGTTGGGCTATTCATATTCTGTAGGAAGACAGCCTCTCGAGGACCAGTAAATCTGCACTCTGCACCAAAGGTTGTGCTTGATAACTCGGCATCTACAATGTCTTCGGAACTCCTTGCCAATGCCAGTAAGTACAGCTGAAACCCCTGCATCAACCTATATTTCTTGAGATGTTCGTTTTGACTACATAGAGATATGCTGATGCAAGTTGTTAACTGGACCTGAATGTTTGCTCTATTTCACCTGCAGGGATAATATCTCAGGCAGCAAAGATGGGGACACAAGGAAATCTCGTGTACAGGTTGTTCTCAATGGAAGAGCTGGCTGAAGCCACCCATCGTTTTGATCCTTCAGTGCTTCTTGGCGAAGGCTCAATTGGGAAGGTAATGATGGATGTTCTTGGTACTTGAAATTCAGTCTCTTATGCTCCCTTGCAAGCATGCTTTACTAAGCATACTGCTAGATAAGAAAGCATATAAAAGTCTTCACCAAATGAGGATAAACTTTTTAAGAAAGAAGGCATTCATATTTCTGCTAAGTTAAAAAATCAGAAGTAACTTTTGGCAAGGTGGGTACTGCGTTAAAGATTAGTAGTGTCTAAATAAGATGTACTTAGTTTCTGACTACACTATGCAGTTATACTTGTGATACATTATGGGGATCAATCTTAAAATGCAGCTATAATACATTTTGTCTTTCTTTCATTGAGATAATTCTTTCTTATCTCTAAGTTTTCTATCTTCAGATCTACAAGGGGAAGTTAGAGAATGGGAGTTATGTGGCAATCAGATCTCTGATTCTGCATAAAAAGTTCCTAATTCGGAACCTCAAGCTCCGGTTGGATTTGCTATCGAAGCTTCGACACCCCCATTTGGTTAACCTGTTAGGTCATTGCATTGATGGTGGCATGCAGGATGATTCAGCTGTTAACAGAGTATTCCTTGTGTACGAATTCGTACCTAATGGGAATTTCCGTGCTTATCTTTCTGGTCAGTCTACTATATGCTTTGTATTGAGTGTCATATGATCATTCATTCACACACTTGCATCGCCTGATTTGCTGATGTTAATTCATCCGACAGTAGTATGCGACGCTAAACAAATCTGCAGTATGGAGTTATGAATACTTTTGTTGATAAATGTTAAGTTGAGGGTTATGATTTTTTAATCAAACTTCATAAACATGTGCAGAGACCAGCCCTGAGAAGGTCCTTAAGTGGTCTGACAGATTAGCAGTCCTAATTGGTGTTGCCAAGGCCGTGCACTTTCTGCACACAGGGGTTATTCCCCCTTCTACCTCTAACCGGTTGAAGACAAAGAACATACTTCTTGATGAGCATCTGATTGCAAAGCTCAGTGACTATGGTATGTCCATTATCACCGAAGAAACTGATAAGTCAGAGGTAAGTTCCCTTGATGTTCATGAATTTATCATTTTTGGTGGCAAAGGGCTTCAACTGATATCTACCTTTTATTTTTCAGGCAAAGGGAGATAGCTCTAAGCAACGGTAAGCAAAGTTATCTTTATTAATTTTGTTTGTAATAAATTTTGGATATAAGCTCTACTCAAATGCTGAACCAGATTACTATAAGTTGACCATAGAGCTGCTTTCATGGATGTAATCTCCTAGTCCATAGCAAACAAATTTACAATTAATTGGATGGTGGCAGAAGAAACCAGAATTCAAACATAACAGGAACTACTATGTTCACTTAAATTGTTTATGTGTTACTTGATTCAATCCTCTTGAGTGATGATTCATGGAACTAAAACTAACCTTCTGGTTATCTTTATAATTTTCTACCAGTGGAATGTTTAGCCTCAAAGTTCTAGAATTTAGATCTTAAGGTAAATGGCTGTTTGAAAGATATAATGTATTTGGATCCTTGCTTTCAGGAACGTGACTAAGTTGGGGGATGACGTATATAACTTTGGATTCATACTGCTCGAGTCTCTGGTTGGCCCAGTAGTAAGGGATAAAGGAGAAGCTTTTCTGCTAGACGAAATGGTAAGCATAGCAAAGTCAGAGTCTATTCTGTTCTACTAATGTGAACTCTATTTTCCTCTTGGATATGCGCCGAAAAGGCCCTAGTATTGCACTCTTTTTTACTGCTTCGGGTTCAGCCTTAGGCCTGAAAAGATGTTATTAAATGGTTGCATTCTCGCCTTCTTTTTCCAAAAAAACAGACATCTTTTGGCAGCCAGGATGGTCGGAGAAAAATGGTTGATCCCATCGTGCTAACGACTTCCTCACAAGAGTCATTATCCATCGTCGTTTCCATCACTAACAAATGCATATCTCCAGAAGCAAGTCGCCCCTCATTCGAGGATGTTCTTTGGAACTTGCAATACGCAGCTCAAGTCCAGGCTGCAGCTGATTCAGATCAGAGATCGGATGCTCCGTCACTGTCACAAGATTCATGACCCTAATGCTACTTGTCAATGATGAAACTCGCCTGCTTCAGCGTGATGGCCAGTTAACTAGGACTCCCCTTCCCCGGGTATGGAACTAGTATTCTGCAGCAAGTCTTGTTGATGCTGTAAATGTCGTCTTTTTTTGACCTCAATCCTTTGGTTGTGAAATAGGTGATCCATAGATTAGGCTTTAGAGCCTTTCCTGATAGGGGATGCGGTTAGTGTGCATCTTTCATGTTCACATTCTCTTCATTTCTTGGGACAGCTTATGTCATCACAGATCGACGGGTATTAAAGTGTACAGCGTATGAGTGTAAAGCTTTACTAGTAGGTTCACTTTTTTAAAAAAAGAAAAAGCATAGCTTGCAAACTGTTGAGAAATGGTTATATCATTTACTTAGGTAAATTTAGATTGACATGCAATCAGTGAATTTGACTGTGGTCCTGTTGATAACATATGGCGCTCATAGGATTTTATCAAACCCAAGAAGCTGCAAATTGGACAAATAATCATTGGTGAGCATGGTGGAAATTGCAAACTAAAGGGATGCAAACCATAAATGAGTACGTTCTAAGATAGTCTGAATTTCTGGGTAGGTCAAAATTTGTTAGTTGAAAGATGGGACAAGATACCTCTTTTCCCCACTAATGCTCTTAACTTAAAAGCACAAATATAGACTATATTCCTCCTGATGAAGCACCGTCCAGATTCAGGTATTGCTGTAATGCTTTTTGTGAGGTCGTGACTAAAGAAAGAAGAGTTGATTCTCAAAGTGGGGAACATAACTTCTGCTCCTTACCCTCCGTCCCATAATTATTGTCCAGTTTAGATTTTCATTTTTATTTTAAATTATATTAAAAGTGAAATCTCAAACTGGACAATAATTTTGGGACGGAGGGAGTATATAGTAACAACAACAAAGCCACCGTGGTTCATGAAGGCGAGTCGAGTGAGTTGAAGCTGGTTTGGTACAATCGACCTATATAATAGTAGTATGATTTGTTTCCCGTAGGAATGGAACGGAATGATCTCATTTTAGTTTTAGGTGCTGATGGGTTTTGAACGAAAATGAGGCTGACAGTTCAACCTCGTCATACACCTTCCTTTTAAGTGACTTCATTTGTCCTGAAAATTACTAGTAATGAATTGTGGGATTTTAGCAAGTTTTGGTAAAGGTGAAATCCGGTTCAACATCTCCAGAATATTATTCGCGCAACTCCGTATTTGGTAGGGGAAAAAACCAGGAGCAAATTACACTACAAGCAAACCGCTGACATCAACTTTCACCTGTTGTCCAAATTACCATATTAACACTAAAATTAAAATAAAATAAAAAAAACAATATGGAACACACTAGAGGACGCGCAAGTGAATGCGTGAGATGGAAATCCTACGGTGGAGGAATGCTCCACGTGAGCATCAGTCTGGTCGGTTTTGTTTTACTAGATGTCCTACCATGTGAGTCTGACTGACGTTGGACGCGCGTGGTTCAAGGAAGCGCGGTGGGGGAAGTGGTTTACAGTGAGAAGGTCACACACACACACACACACACATAAAATCAACTCTTAATTAATTAAACCCAGTGCCATCTCAAGAATCAGTGTCAGAAAATGTCACATTACCCCTTTTTTACCATTTTATATACTCAACCGAATTATAGTATGTTTTTTTCCACTTGTATTAAAGAACTACTAGTACTAACCTTTTATTTTATTTATTTTTCTTGCCCTTTTATCATTCTTCATGTAGTAGTAGTAGTATATTATGAGATTGGATCAGAACCCATCATCATCCTGCCTTTGCTAGATTTTGAGGGATTAGATTCTTTCCCTTAATTAAGTTTATTTATTTTAGCATCAATTATTGTTTATTCCTCCAGCCCTCAAGTCTTTGTCGGCCCTCCTCCTACTCGGTTGGTACTTCTTCTTGCTTCAGGTTATATTTCTTTTTTAACTCTATTCTTACTACCAGACTGCAACCCCTGCCAAACATTTTGTTGTTAAAAACTTACTTAAAATTAGTTCCTGAGATTTTCTTTCTTTTTTTTTTAAGGGGGGTTAAAGACATTCTTTACTTTCTTCCCTCTTCTCTAATCACAAACTTGCAACCTCATTTTTAGCGGCATTATTATTATTCTGTAAATATCTCTGTCTTTGCCTCTTTAATACCCCCCAAGAAAGAGCTCTTGAAAACCCAGAGCTTCATCATGGTATTGCTTCCTCCTGGTTTTTTGTGATCTTTTTGGGCTAAAAACTGTAACAATGTTCTTAGCTGCGGAGTGCTAATGCTGCTATACTGTTGCAGTACCTGTTTTGCAATTGATTGGTTGAGACTTTGATGCTTCACTGGAGCCTGGATCTGATACAGTTTTTAAGGTAATCTTTACACTTCTCAATGGTTTTGATTGTCTCATTGTTTTTATTGTAGCATGTTGAAGTAGTAGTTATCAATGTCCCAGCTGCTTATTTTAGCTTTGGAGACAACAAAACCCTTAGCTGCAAATTATATGGACCTCCCTTGCTGTTCCTTTTTCTTTCATTCTTGTGGAAGTTTATAAGTTCTGAATATAACAAATGTGATTGATTTGCTGATGTGGTTTTGAGGGAAATGGATTCTTATTTCTGGAAAGAAAAAAAAAAAGAGATAGAAATGGAAGCAACCTATTGAGTTTCCTTTTGTTATCGGTTTGTTGATCAGATTAAAAAAGAAGCATATTTGGCAAATGCTATACTGTCTGTTTGGCTCTCCTGCACATTCTTCCGTCTGGGATTTTCCCATCTTGGTCTGAATACCTCTCATTAAGTTGCTCCAGGCTCAGTAGATTGAAGAGTATCCATTTTTCCTGTGACCATGGTTCTGGGGTTGAAGGCAACAAAGAGCCGCAGAAATCCCTCTTTCCATGTTGATTATTTGATCCACATTCAGGAGATCAAGCCCTGGCCTCCATCTCAATCTCTAAGGACAGTTCGTGCGGTTCTGATTCAGTGGGAACATGGGGATAGGAATTCCGGCTCCACTAAACAAGTTGCGCCTTCACTGGGGTCAGGTTCAGGTGTTGGAGATGGGAGAATCGAAATCAATGATTCTTTTAGGCTTCCTGTGACACTGGCGAGAGAACAACTGTCTGCCAGAGGCGGGAATGGTGGAGACACCTTTCTGAAGAATTGCATTGAGTTCAGTCTTTACGAGCAGCGGAGGGATAAGACGGTGAAAGGATTGCTCGGTTCTGCTGTTGTAGACTTGGCTGAATATGGTGTTCTTAGAGAATCTATAAGCATAAGCGTGCCTATTAATTGTAAGCGCACGTATGGAAATGCTTCCCAGCCAGTCCTTTATTTGAGAATCCAGTCTGTAGGGAAGAGTCGAATGATCTCATCGTCAAGGGATTCCCTGATGCGAGAAGCTTCTATGGACAGAAACGGTGTGGACTCGGTTTCAGCATTGATGAGTGAAGAGTATGCAGAGGAAGCAGAGACTGCATCACTTACGGATGACGATATTTCTTCCCACTCATCACTGGTTGTTTCTTCTTCAACACTAGAATCACATGGAGGTTCGCCATTTCAAAACAAAGAGGTATATTCTCATTCTAGTTTCGGTACTTTGTTCAAGATCAGGATTCTCCTAATGGGTAGCGAAATGATTGTTTTAGCTTTGCATTTTGTTGCATATATATCTCTACATTTTCAGCACGCATCATGAATGGTATGAACTGGACGTAAATATTGATTATTCAGTTTCCGCCAAAACCCGATGAAAATTAATGTAAAAAGACTAGTTATCATTTTGGTCTTGTAATTCATTTTCTTAACATAAAGTCTATGACAGCCTTTAAAAGTAGTAAACAACCTATGCAGAAAGAATCAGAAGAAATGAAGACCAGCGCAGAACAGGCAGAAGATGTATGTAGTCCTGTTTTGGAGAAACAGCTTCTCAAACCAGATGACCAATTCACTACTTCAAACTCAAGCTCCAAAGGGACTTCCTCTCGATCTTCATCGATAGATTTAACGTCTGATTTGGCATGGATTACAAAGAAGATCGGTGGTCAGGGAAGTAAGTTCTCGTCATCAACGCATGAAGTTGCAGAAAAAGAAAACTCTGAGATGAGGACTACTTTCACTGATGGACCTTGTGATATTGGGGAAAATTTATTAAACAATGGAAGCAATGACACCCTTAATCGTGCGAGAGAGAGCAGTGAGGTCTTAGTGACCAGTTCAGTTTCAAATCTCAACGGAGATGATTCTTTGGGATCTGCAAACTTGTTCCATGCTCAGATCAGCGGAGATGATGAAGATAATGCCGCGGTTCCTAACATGAAAGGAATGCACGGGTCTGACTTTACCAGGAATGGTTCTCTTGATGGTGGAAAATATGAGAAGTACCAAGAAACTGGAAAACAAAGAGAAGTTGTGGATGAGATGGGTCAATGCACAGAAGATGATCCAATATATAGTTCATTTGGATTTGATTCAACAACCCAGGCTTCCTTGGACAGTGATGCTTTTTTGGCTAGTAGGAACAGTATAGCTATGCAGAGTAGTTCTCAGAACAATGATAAGCATAGTAACAAACAAGTGAAGTCAGTTCGGTCGCCAATAGAGTCACATAGGAGCAATGGTTTGGGCCGAGCTAACGCATCAACTTCGGGTGAGGTCCAAACCCCCTTTCAAGGATTTACTAGCAATGGGAAAAAGGATAACAAATTTCATCCAAAAGAGACAAGAAACCTAATTTCAGAAACTCAAATCAAGCAATTGGAACAAAGAATGAAGAATCTAGAAACTGAGCTTCGTGAGGCTGCTGCCATTGAGGTTGGTCTATATGCTGTGGTTGCTGAGCATGGGAGCTCTGCAAATAAGGTCCACGCACCAGCTCGACGACTGTCTAGGTTTTATCTTCATGCAAGAAAAGCAAAACCTCAATCACAGAGTGCAAGTGCAGCTAAAAGTGCTATATCTGGATTGGTTTTAGTTGCAAAAGCTTGTGGCAATGATGTCCCTAGGTACATTGCAGATAATTTTTTTCCCTGCAGTTTTATATCCTAAGCCTGGTACACTCCATGTCTTGCGGTCTTAGGAACTCTTAGGTTGCATGTGAGTAAGGTCCGCTTTCAAGTGGACATAACCTGATAGGAAACTTCTAAAGGATATTTTTTCTGCACTGCACTGAACTTAACCACATGTGTTTACAGATTGACGTTTTGGTTATCAAATGCCATTGTGCTGAGAGCAATTATTAGCGAATCTCTTGGGGAACACCGATCACCTAATGGGATGAGGAATCGGAGCAAGATTTCTTCTCCACTTAAGTGGCAATCCCTTGGAACCAAGGGCATTAAAAGTAATCTTCATGAAATTGCAAATGATTGGGACAACCCTTATACATTTCAAACTGCTCTTGTAAAAGTTGAGTCTTGGATATTTTCGCGTATCATTGAGTCCATTTGGTGGCAGGTACTTATTTCCTTTTCTTTTTCTTTTTGTTTTGTTTTTCTATCAGTCTTCTGCTTCATTTGCACTCAACCTGAGTAGGATCTTAAATCCTTGATATGATTGATTTTGGTTGTCCTTCTCCAGACACTCACTCCATGTATGCAGTCCGGTGCTGCAAATGTAATCCATAAGGGTCCTATTATTGGCTCCCACAAAACATTTCAAAGGACTTCCAGCTCATTTGATGAAGAACTAGGAACTTTTTCTTTGGAACTCTGGAAAGAAGCTTTTAGGGATGCCTGTGAGAGAATTTGTCCTGTTCGTGCTGAAGGACACGAGTGTGGGTGCTTGCCTGTGCTTTCTAGATTGGTAAGCTCAGGCGCATTTGATTCTCTGACTAGAGTGTATATTATTTTTGTGGCTTATCTTCCTTGTCATTGTATCTTAATATAAACCAATTATCAGCTGGATGGCTACATAAGATGGCAGAGATAATTTTTTCTGTTCAACAAATTTCAAACTGATGAACATCTTGTGTGGTCTCAATATATTTAACTGAATCAATATGTGGTATCATCTTGTGTGTCAACATCTCTAGGATCACAATCAATGTGACAAAGTAATTGAACTTTCTCTTGTAACTAGGTTATGGAGCAATGTGTAGCTAGATTGGATGTGGCAATGTTCAACGCTATTCTTCGTGAATCCGTTGACGATATTCCAACCGACCCTGTGTCTGACCCTATCAGTGATGCCAAAGTTCTCCCAATTCCGGTTGGGAAGGCCAGCTTTGGCGCCGGGGCTCAACTGAAAAATGCTGTAAGATTTCTTCTCCGCCTAAAACATATGGATTGCTTTTTTGTGGAAATGTAAATGTACATACAAATCACAGGTCTTAGTTACTGCTCTTTCAAACTTCTGTCTTTTCATCTTAAGCTCTATATACCCTACTTTACTGTACACCACAGCATCACTAGTTAATCAACCAAAAAGTGTAATAATAAATAAATAAGATGCCATTACTAGCAGTGAATAAACACATAGATTTTAATTGGGATCCTCTGTTCCCCGTGTATTTTTGGTGTGGCAGATTGGGAATTGGTCAAGGTGGCTGACTGACCTCTTTGGTATTGATGATGATGATGTGGATGGTACATATGAACATAGTGATGATGAGAGTAGTGGCCAAGATTCATCCTTGAAATCTTTTAACCTTCTCAATGCACTGAGTGATCTCATGATGCTACCGAAAGATATGCTTTTAAGTAGGACGATCCGAAAGGAGGTTTGGCCTTGCCTGCTATCTTCAAAACTTTCCTACTTTTTTAAATTTTTTTCCATCAGAATTGAATCTGCACAGGCAGTAAAGCGTTCATGTTTCTGGTAGGTATGTCCAACATTTGGCACGTCACTTATTAGAAGGGTTCTAAACTCTTTCGTGCCAGATGAGTTTTGTCCGGAACCAGTTCCTAAAGTTGTGCTTGAAGCTCTAAACTCAGAGGTCAGTGGATTACAAAGACAATGAAACTGCCTGTGTTCAGTTATGATAAAATGCTGTCTCTTTCTCAAGCTGAATGGCCAGACAAGTTTTTGATGTTTTATACTATTTGTTGATGCCTTAATGCGTGACTGGTATGTACCTTTTCCTCCTTGGATGTTGTATGTAGGATTCTAATGATTCCGGAGAAGAAAATTCCATCGTAGACTACCCTTGCAGTGCTGCTCCAATAGTTTATCTTCCACCTTCAGCAGCTTCAGTAAATGGCATCTTAGGAGGAGATGCTGGTGGTAGTAGCCATTATCGACTGACAAGAAAAGGGTCTTTGTTACTCACAGAATCATATGCCAGTGATGACGAACTTGATGAATTGGCTTCGCCTTTGAGCTCTATCTTCGCTGACGGCATCCAGAGTTCGTCATCTCAAGCAAAGACGATAACATGGACACCAGGAGAAGGTGGTGCCGTGAGGTATCAACTCCTTAGAGAGGTGTGGAAGAACAGCAATCCCTTATAACAAAGCTTGACTATATTGCTTTCCCTAAATGCAAGATCACAGAGCCGAGAAGGGGTTCTGAAGCTGTAATCTACAGTTTTCTTGGGCTTTGTAAGTGAGGTTCCATTTTTGAGCTGTAAATATGAAACCTTATTTTGCTGTACTAATAAAGACAGTAGTAATTCTCGTCGGATTCATTTTTGCCTCAGTAAAGTCCTCACAAAAAGCAAGCATTGGCCGAAATTCGAGATACTCAAGCTTCAGTGCAATCACTTTTGAAAGGTGTTTAATTTAGCTTTGCATGATTGTAAGTTGTGAAGCGAAAATTTCCATGGGTTAGAAGGTATCTTCAGTTTCGTTAAATGGGAGTTCACACTTCTGTCTCCACATCTCCCTGCAACAATACCCGCAACAATACCCAATAGGCTTAGAACACTGCAAAATGACATCAAACTCATCCGCTCGGGATTCACACAATAAAAGAACAAGGAAAATACCACGACAAGAAGAAAAAAGAAACGAATGCCAAGAATTTTCTGAAGACAGAATTGGAGAATAGTCTGCCACAAAAATCTCTTCTAACTCCTTTAAACCTGTAGTACTCATAATCTGTATTTACGAATCGATCCACCCCCATAAGTTTGTGCAACAACAATAAGGGTTAAACTGTATTACCATAGTAGGTATATACTAATGTTTTACAACACCGCAAAATGATATCAAAATGATGTGTTCCAGATCTCCGGAATTAAATCAACACAAGGGAAACACCACAACAAGAAGAAAAAAGAAACAAATGCTGAGAACTTCACTGGAGACAAAACTGGAGAATAGTCAACACAAAAATCTCCTCAACTCCTTTAAACTATAGTACTCATATTCTGTATTTACTACTTGATCCGCCCCCATGAGATTGAAAATATATAAGCAGCCAATCTCATGCAGTCAACTTCTGTGAAGAACTGATAGCATTATTCACATGCTGAAGATGCAACGCAGCCAATAATCCCTGCCACGTCTCTGCAGATGCGCCTGACACTGGACAATCAAGAAGCTTCTTCTGCTTCCGATAGTACTCTTCCACAGGTTTGCTCTGTGGATAACAAAACGCTTTTACTTAGTACTAAGAGAAGATCCTTTTTCTATTAAACAAACATTATTCACTAACACTTGGCAATATTTAAAATGGTCCATGGGAACCATATAATTATATAACATAGCAAGATTCTGTTTCCTCCAGGTTAAAACTAACTGAGTTTTAACCTCTATGAGCATGGTTTCTCCAAAACATGTCAAGAATAAGCAAGGGTTTTTTATATTACATTCAACACTCAGTGAATATCATTTTTATATTTCAATAATTCAACAAAATTTGGTACCTGTTCAGCATAGATGCGTAGTTTCTCCTTCCACACATTCTCTACATCAAAACAAGAGGACTTCAAACTGCCATCCTGTAACCGTAGACTTAAGTTGAATCTGGATCTCCCCATCCTGAAGAACTCTCGAGAAGGAGAATAAATTCCATTGCAGAGATCATTGTTAACAAAGCAATCATCTGTGCTCTTGAGATTAACAACCAAGTCTATATCGGCAATTTGGTCAAGGATTTCCTGAAACAATCCAACAAAAAAAATGTTACCTTCATCCAAAACCATCGTACATTCTGTAATATCACCAACTCGAAGAATATTAGTTAGGTTACACTATGACAGCAAGAAAACTAATTACTACTAACAAGTTCTGGTTTCTTACCCATCAAAAAGTTTTACAACGTAATTACCAACAAAAATCAACTCTCGGGGGGACAGAAGTAAGACATGGCCAAAAGTATGCAAGTCATATAAGGAACGGAAACATAAGTGTAGATAAACATTTCTTCTACCATTCAAAATTGCAGGTGGGCAAATAATTTATAGAATAGTTAAAGCATCTGCATACGGCTTTGAATGCATGTTTGGCGAATTAGACATACTGTTCAAGAACTAGGCTCTATATTCTGAAGATTATTACTTGTCATGGGTATTGAAACAGAAAGCTCGGCAGTAAAATCAATGAGTAATTAAAGATTTGGGGATCTTACAGCTTGAGCTCTGGTCCTAGGTATCCCATCCAAAATGAAACCACTTTCTCCCCTCAACTGCCCTTCTTCAAGCCTCTTCGACAAAAGGCCAAAGATCACATCCTCTGGAACCAGCTTCCCTTGATTTAAAGAATCGGCAATCTGCATATGTAGCAAAAGTCAAACCCACCCCCAAGAACAAAAGGAAGAAGGCTTCGACCATAGCCATGTCTTAGCTAAAAAAACAATGTGTTCCTACTATCATGCACGACTTTCAGCCCAAGAAAGAAACCCCAAAATCAAAATCAAAAACAAAAACAGAGATTGAGGCTGGAGTGGCCAATTAACAAATTTCTCACATTTTTTTTCGAGTCTTCTCATCGCGTAGACAATTTTTTTACACTACAAATTGAAAACTTTAAAGTAAAATTCAAGACAAAAAATAAAACGAAAACGTTGTCTTTAGTTTTTCACCCATTCCTCCTTCATAGGAAAGGAAAGAAATAAGGAAAGTATTTCTAGCCAATAAGTAAAAAACTTTTTAAAAGAACAGCAAGGAAATCAGGAAGTGTTACCTGTTTGTAGATAGAAGAATGCGGGTGGAGCTCTTGACGAACGAGGGAGCCCATGGAAATGTGGGGAACGGATAGAAGCTTGGAAAGCCTCTCGGCGTACACGTGTCTCTTGGCCATTGGGTCACCCATGATCACCCACTGTACTCCTCTCTCTGATACCCAACCTTCCGATTTCGATTCCAAATCACTGCACCTGCAGACGTAATCGTCGTCGTAGTCATAGTCATCATAATCCAGCTGTACGGCAGCTGCTGATCCGTATGCCCGACGTCCGGCCCCGGGCCTAACGAAAGCGCGGCGGATTGGTTGCGCGGCAGCTGAGGCTAAGCGGCTTAAAACCGGCATTTTACCGGGCGGCGGAGGAGTAAAATTCGGGGGTTTTAGCGAGAGCGCTTCTGAAGAAAGGGTGCGGCGGAGAGCGAAAGGGTTGAGTTTCTAAAAAAAGGGGGGGGTTTTGGGGATGTGAATGGACCAAATTACCATTCCAAGTTCTGCGGGTTGCATACGTGGCGAATACTTATTGGATGACCTTGAAGTCGAGGAAATGCGTGGACCTTGTAAAAATTCAAAAAAGAAAAAAAAAAATACTATTACTAATAAAATATTTCCGGCTGGAAAAAGGGAGATGGAGATGGGGGGGAATCAGGTGCGGAACGGTAGAATAGGCAGCTGCCACTCGCCTGGGAGAAATGTGGTTCCATGGACGACACGTGGCATTCCTGTTTCTCCGAGTTAGAAAAAAGTGCCAATTTCTTGGTTTTTTGGGCTTTTAGTTCATTAATACTATATAAACGAAAGGAACGTACAATCTGAGCACAAGTTTTTGGTCCTTCCTCTTATTCAGTCATGAGGAAAGCAGATCCAACAAACATCAATTTGGAACGTATTGGATTGTTACCCTTTGTTTTATGGTGATCCTGGTTCCATATAGATTCAAACACATGAAGTTTCAGCACCTGAAAGATTAAGCTAAGCAAGCAAGCCCATTAATTAACTTATTACTGAATTAAAATATACTATATTTTTTCTTTTTTGGTTTACCATTACATATTTACCTAATACTAATAATCATAAGTAATCTTCCTGCCTGTGATAATATGTGGAGTTCAGCCACTAGAAATTCTTCATCTCAGCAAAATGAGTGTTTCTCCATGACTGACTTCATTTCCTCCTCTCTCATTTACACCGCAAAACTCAACCCATGTCATGTGTTTCCTTCTCATTCCCACCAGTATTTTAGTTATTTACCTCTTCTTCTTTTCGCTAAAGCTACGCAACCTTGGAAGACAACATTGAGCTGCTGACTTCCCTGATCTCTCAACAGGTGGTTTGATACTGCCATTCGGGGTTCTCTGAGCCGACCCCACATAGTAAGATAAAGTCTTTGTTGTTGCTGTCGATGCGGTTCCCTGGCTACTGCCTGAATTCAGATGAGAGACACTAGGAGTGCTGTTGCCCGATTTCAAAGGGCCAGAAATCAACCCCACCTTTTGGTGTTGTTTGTCAGATTCATTTTCTTGATTATTTTCATCTTGTTGGCCGTCCTCATCATCTCCGAGGGAATCTTTGAAGAGTTCGGATAGTCTCTGCTTCTTCTTCTCTGTAGTTGGTGATGGCTCAGGCATTGTCTTCGAATTCGAGCTTCGGCTTGTAGTAAGAAGTTGCCCATTGCTCCTACCGGGCGTTGTTCTCACTGAGAAGCTGTTGTGAACTGGTGTATTCCCACGAGACGGGGTGAAATCTGCAATTCAAGAGAGAGGTTCAGCAAACTATGATGAATACGGGCATAATAATGTTGAGGAATCAGAAGTCAAACTTTCAGTTAATAACTCTCAATAAAGCTATATGGCAAATGATTTCATGCACGAATGTTCTTAGAGCTAAATAGCTTCAAACCTGCTTTAGAGCCATTTGAATAATCAGTGAAATGGTCAGATCCGCTGTGAAATTCGTAACTACTGTATCAACAAAATAATTCTAACATCTGCGAAACAATGATACGTGGTAATTAACATGCAAAAGTAGCCTAAATAAGCCACCCAAAAAACCTATTCCCTCTCCCCAACCTAGCAAATTTGTAAACCTGTCCATGACATAAGTGGTAATAAAAATACAGTAGGAGGCCACCAAAAAGAGTCATTCATGCACTTTAACCAAGCATAAGAAATGAATTGAGTACATCAGGGAACTAGTCCTAGCCTCTTTAATTTGTTCATTTTTATCTCCAGAAATGACAATCTCTCAATGCAAAAACACATAACTTCTACCTCATGGACAATTGCACATACAAGCAGAAAACGGGAAAGCATAACATACCACCATTAACACTGAAAAAGTCGTCTTCACAATCAGATTCCAACCAAGCCTGTGAATCAAAAAAGGTCTCCTCTTTGCTACCTGCACACACAACACACATTGCATCAAAACGTCAATTAAAGAACCTAGAAGTTGATTGATTTGATGAATATTCTGTTAAATGAGGTTAACAAAAATTCCTAATTTGCTGCCCTGGAGACATACAATCAGAATAAAAGACCCCATTGGCATATTTGTTTTCCTTCACAAAGAAAAATATTGCTGATATGTTATCATTATGGCCCTACATTTTATCACTACTTCAAACAGAGCATGATCCCCATATGGAGCAATCATCAAACAAAATAATGATCAGAACAATAATTGCAGAAGACTAAAGCTAGCTGTCTACTCATCTCAAGCTGTTAGAATTGCTGCTTGACTGGGCAGAAACTAGAGATCCATCATGATCACATTCAGATCAAAGCATGATAACATGCTCATTTTGCCAGGTGTTTCCATGTCAAATTCAGAACAATTGCACTCTGTAAAAACACATTCGGATTATAATTCTTGTTATCCATTTCTTGTGCCTGACCCCTTCACCAGCGTTTCTTGTGCCTGACCCCTTCACCTTCATACCCCATTTCTATTTTTTAGCAGTCATTAGAGGATGCAAAGAGCAAACAACTTGTGGATTGACACTTTAATTGATGACCATCTCCCCTGGTTCAGGGAGGTCCCGCAAATAATACAGACTTCACCCAGAAAAAAAAAAAATTGTAGATGTATAAATAAAAATAAAAATAAAAAGTCAGATTGAGGCAATTAGGAAATCTTCTTTAAGCCAACAACATTATAAAATAAGAAAATAGGAATCTTAACAATGAATTCATCATGATTATAAAGTTGTGGTTATAATAATAGTTTCTCTTGTTTTTCTTTTTGTTCTCAATTAGCTTTTGTTGCTTTCAAGACTGAGGCTTTCTGTCATTGTATAATTACCTAATTCAATCTAACTTTCTAACTAATATTAACTAACTAAAGATGACTAGCAAGGACTCAAAATAAATTAAGCCATTATTAACAAATATCATCAGCTGAACATCACACCTTTTTCTGCAATTGTCCATCATTTTTTCCTCAGAGCAGCTGTTGACAAGTCTATATGCCAATTCCTTAATGAAAGATAACAACCATTTTGGACATATAACAAGACAACTGATCATTAAATATGTACAATTGTTTTAATCTTTCGTTCCTAACTTTTACTATATCACAAGTTTCAAAACTGCTACCTAAACCACCATCACAAAACGGTTACTAAACCAGTCTTTTACCTATCCACAGATTAACAGGAGGGTTATTGTCCAACCGATGACAACTTTCTCATCAAAGTCAAAAAAGGGACGCAGAATGAAATTAAGGGGATAAATTATTTAGTTTTTCAATTTTTAAATTCAATTATTAAAAAAAAACAAAAACCAACAAAAAAATAATAATTAAATAATTAATACAGTACCAAAGTCGAGAGCAGCAGGAGGAGACCAGTGAGACTTGAAAACCCCATCGGTGGCAGCCACCACCTTAGGCGGCGGAGGAGGATCGTTCTTCGGGTTGTCCGCAGTTTGGGACCCGAAATCCAAACGAACTTTCAGGGCAGAGTCGCCCTTATGCAAGGAAACGCAGGAGCCCATGATTGTGTTCAAAATTTACCCAAAAAGGAAAACAAAAAGGGGGTTAAAAAAAAGCTTCCCTTTTTCTGTAGTTTTTTAAACACTGCAAAACTGATAAAAACCAGCTGATCAAATCATATCATCCCAAATTCACCAACCCCCGGTGATGAAGTGAAGTAGAAGATGGAGCATGGGACGGGACCCCTGAGTTAAATATGGGCGTTACACAAAAAAAAAAAAAAGGTTTGATCTTTCTTTGAGTATGAGTGTCTGCTACTGATTTTGGGATTTTTGTTTTAAGTATGAAAATGAAAGCCAGGAAAAGAAGGGGCGGAAAAAAAGAAAAACAGGTACTATTGGAATATTTTGGAATGGAGGGAGGCAGCCATGGCTATGGTCTATGGGAAGAAGGGGGGTGGTGGGGGTCTTAAACTGAAAGCCAAGTTATGTTATTTTACGTTTCGTTGGGAAAAGGGGGTGGTGGGGCCTACCATCAGACAAAAAGTTGAAATAATTGCAAAAAATTTTGTGATGCCCCCTATTTGCTTGTTTGCCCACTTTTTGTTTTGTTGTGAGACGGGAGATATTTTTTTATTAGTCCCAATAGCAATTTTTTAATTACGGTATCACTCCCGCAATTATAAATTGTTATTCTTTTTTTCTTTTTTTGGGACAAACTGATTTGAGTATCATCTCAAAAAATAAGAACAAATGTATGTGTTCTTCATTTCAAAATGACAGCATTATATTTATTTTATTATTTTTCCAGGGATTAACATTACTTTATTATTTTATTTAATCGTTAAAATATCTAATTTTTAAGAGGAAAGAATAAAAATGCTACTACTACTCAAGAGTCAGGGACTAGAATGCATGACAGTGGAGTTGGAGCACATTGTTACGCCTCAATTTTCAAAGCTTTCATAATGTAAACAGATACTGTGCATAAATGATTAAACTCATTCATGGTCAGAAACTCATTGCTAGGCCATTTAGTACAATATCAATATCACTATGTTCTTCTTCTTCTTCGTTGTTTTTTTTTTTTTTTTTGGGGGTGTTGTTTGTTTGTGGCAATCATATTAAGGTTGTTAGATTAATGTGTTGGAATATACATATATGTTCATGTGAGGTCACCGCTGCATCGAATGTGCTAAGTTACGTTTTCAAAAAAAAAAAAAATGTGCTAAGTTGACGAGACGACCTGTAGTTATGATGACGAGAATCAGAATATTTACTCTTAACTAAATTTAAGGTTTGCATCAAATGCAATTAATGACTGTACTATAGGTGTGTATGTGAGTTTGTGATCTCCCAATTAATTAATACTACCCAGAATGTTACAAGAAATTATTACTATATACATACATCAATTGTATTATTACCACTAATAACTATGATATGATATACTCCGTACTGGTTGTTTCTGATTTTAATAAGAAATGTAAATATACGACATATGCACCACCATTTGGAAGGAATCGTGATTTAGATACTACGCTTTACTTAAAAGTTTTGTCACATTTAAATGGTCGTACGATAATTAACTTTAAAATGGCTTCTTCTTCTTTTTTTTCTTTCTTTTTGCCTTTCTCCTTGCTAGTCTACAGGATGTAGTTGTAAGTTTTAACCCCTAGTGCGGATCAGTTCATATATACGAGCACCAAAGATTACACTACAAATAGGAATGAGGGATGATAAATGACACTAGATGCTTTGGATGGTCCTGAATGTCAACTGATCCATTCATCCATCATCATCTACACAAATCTAATAACCCACTCGGGATTACCATGTTGTTCACACGCGTAGTAGTTTCTTAGGCCTAGACCTTGTAGGTCCAAATATATTCAGATTAATGAACATCATACAAAATTAATGTTTTGTACTCCTTCCGATTCTTAATATAAAATATTTTGATTTGTCATAGGTTTAACCTAATACATATTTTTAATTAACAAAAAAATCTTAAAAATAAATCATAATAATCAAGAAAATATATGTTTAAGATTTTTCCGTTAATTAAAAATGCGTATTAGATGAAACCTATGATAAAATCAAAATGACTTATCTTAAGAATCGGAGGGAGGATATTTTCTCTACTCCTTAAAATCTATTTAAACGTCATCAAGAGTACCCAATACTATTAAATTTGCTACGTAGACATTATTAGGAGGATCATCGTCAAACATACAAATCGGGAGAAGGCAATTGTCACACAAACTGATTGCTTCCTGCATATTTCATTTTCGTTTTGACTAGTTGGTTGGCTATATAGCCTATCTGAATTCCGGAGCTTATGGATCCTCCAAGTGTACCATTCTCGTGTTTCATCAAATAGTATTCTTTCATGCTCTTAATATAAGGCATTTTGATTTCGTTATAAGTGAACCTCAAAATAAGTCATCAACTTTTAATATATTTTCACTCTAAGTCATCAATTAAATTTATTTGTAACATAAGTTACCTTACTAAAGTTTTAATCCATTTCAGATTATTCTGTTAATTTTGGCCGTTAAATAGTGACGGAAATCCATTTTTTACACGCTTTTGGGTTCAGGAGTATTTTTGTCATTTTTTTTAATTTTTTTATCTTTAATTTTTATTTTTTTTATAATTCTTCTTCTTATACTTCCTAACTTGCATACACTGGTAGTATAATTCTAAATTTTAAAAATTTATTTTCCTTTTGTATTTTAGCTTCTAGATTATAAAATTTTTTTAAAAAAATTTAAGAAATGAAGAAGAGAAATTCGAGTTAAAGTAAACATGAAAATTAATAATTTACCATTTTAAACAAAAATAAAAACTAAAAGAATTAACTAAGACAAGTTTTTTTTTCTAGGTTATTTAATTTTTTTCAACTCGATTGAATTATTTAATTATTAATTTTCACGTTTCTTCTTTTTTTTTTAATAATCTAGAAGTTAAGATACAAATGACAAACAAATTCATTTTTAAAAATTAATTTGTTATTTTTTTTATTAACTTGTAGATTATTAAAAAAAAAGAATAAGAAACGTGAAAATTAATAATTAAATCATTCAATCGAGTTGGAAAAAATTAAATAACCTAGAAGAAACAACTTGTCTTAGTTAATTATTTTAATTTTTATTTTTTTTGAAATGGTAAATTATTTATTTTCATGTTTACTTTAACTTGATTTTTTATTCTTCATTTCTGAATTTTTTTTAAAAAAAATTATAATCTAGAAGTTAAAATACAAAAGGAAAATAAATTTTTAAAATTTAGAATTATACTACCAGTATATACAAGTTAGGAAGTATAGGAAGGAGAATTGTAAAAGAAAAAATTAAAAGATTAAAAAATAAAAATTAAAAAAAAAAAGAAAATGACAAAAGTACCCCTGAATCCAAAAAAATATGAAAAATGGATTTCCGTCACTATTTAACGGCCAAAATTAACAGAATAATCTGAAATGGATTAAAACTTTAGTAAGGTAACCTGTGTTACAAATAAATTTAATTTATGACCTAGAGTGGAAATATATTAAAGGTTGATGACTTGTTTTGAGGTTCACTCTTTTTAATTGACAAAACAACCTTAAAAATATTTCATATAACAATCAAGAGAATACAACGAATGTGAAAATATATTTTTAAGGTTTTTTCGTCAATAAAAAATGATTACGAGGTGAAATCTAAAACGAAATCAAAATGCCTTATATTAATGACGAGTATTAAGATTTGGGCGTTTTCTAGCTAAATCCAAGTATATATACTCAAAAAAATAAAAAATAAAGAAAGACACTTGTAATTAAGACGACGTGGGAATCACCCTAATTGCGATAAAGAATCCATATTTTGGCGTTTTAATGACGCTCACATAAAATCTTCCACTAGCTATTACCATTATTATGAATAATACAGCAGTATATTTCACTTTCATTGTCAATTTTTCCTCCTTTCCGACTCCGATTTTCAACCACATCTTTCCAGATTTGTCATCTACGACTGAAAGTGAACATTAATAGTATCATTAATGATATGACACTACTGGGATTGGGATCAAATCAATCATTTTACAGTACTCTGCTTTTAGTTTCATTTCTTCCATCTTTGCTACTCCCATATGTCTCAATTCTTATATGTGCTTCCGTTTCGTTGGCTAATTGTTCGTTGATTTTTTCCTACAATTTAATTAGATCACACACACCCTTCCTTGTATTATACTCCCTCCGTCTCATAATTATTGTCCATTTTACCCAAAAAATTTGTCCCAAAATTATTGTCCAATTTGACTTTTTATGGATCAAGTTACACATTTGTCCTTAGTAAAAAACATTATCCATAAAATCTTAGTGGTTAAACAATTACTTATGTAGGGGTATATCCGGTTATTTAAGATAAAATATAGTTAAGTTTGACCAAAAATAAAATCTTTCATTTTAGTAAAACTGGATAATAATTATAGGACAGAGAGAGTATTTTATAACCCATCCATCATCACTCTACAATGGATGCATCATGCATGCATTTCACTAGCGGCTTCTAATAACCCATCCCTTTTGATTCTTTTTTATAAATCAAAATTCCACTAGTACTTTTATACTTTTTTCTTATGGTTTGTTATATTCTTCTTCATTTCTAGAAGAAACAATCCAAGTATAGAAATACAAGGCTGCATACACACATTATTAATATAGATAATATATATATATATATATATATACATAATACTCCACATGTCCTAAAATAATTATCTTGTTTAAATTTTTACTTTTAATAAAGTCTCTATTAGAAATGAAAATCCAAACTTGACAATCATTTCTAGAACAGAGAGTAACTTGTGTTATATGTGCATGTTTTATTGATTATATACTCTCTCCGGTCCTTAATATAAGATATTTTAATTTGTTTTAGGTTTTACCTAAGATGTCTTTTTAATTGTGACAGCAATCTTAAAAATATTTCTTTAATAGTTAGGAGAATACAAGGAATGTGAAAATATATTTTTAAAGTTTTTTTTTCCAATTAAAAATACATGCGAAGGGAGTATAATACAGTATGTAGATACGAATGGTGCTTCTAAAATAATAATCTTATGAAAATTTATCCAATATTTTTTATCTCCTTAAAAAGAGAGATGTAGAACTAGAACTTCTTTTACCCTCACCCCCAAAGCGCGGTAAAGAACACGCCTTTGATTCCAACAAATACAATGGTCAATGCAGTTCCAAACGAAGCCTAAGCCGAAACCGCGGGTATATTCCAACTGTCATAAATGCCACGTGACGCAAATTAGGTAGAAAAAACCGATCACCGGCCGGTGGCGGACTTTTTCGGCGACCCAACAACAGCCCACCAAGATTATTCAAAAACCTAATAATGAATTGATTTGAAAAAAAAAAAAGGAAATTCATTTCCCTGTGGTTGGTAAAGTCAGAAAAGCATTTTTGCAGTCAATTATTGGAAAATTGGAATAAACCCGAGCCTGTTTTGGTACTCCTTTCACCCTTGCTGACCCCGCCGCCGTGCCTTTCTATCTAATTGATTCCTCTTCATTTCCACTTTGCCTCCACCGCTATTTGCAGTTTTTCCGTCGTACCCACCGGAGCTTGAATCTCCATCATAGACAATTTGGCAGGTAGGAGTAATCCGAGTTACAGTCGTCAGGATTCTTCTTGTCCCAGGTGCATATTTCGTCGTGGATATCCAATTATTTATCGGTTTATGTTGTTGCCTATTTGGGTTCTTTTTATAGGAAAATTACGATTGAGTAGGTGATAATTGATCGATTGTGGTTTATACATTTTGGGCTTCTATGTCAGTTCAAATTGCTTAATGGTGGTGTTTGTTAGGTGTTTGATTTTTTGTCTGAAAGCAACATCTTTTATACTTTCTGTTTGAACCAAAGTTACTTGAGCTAAGGGACGAGTATCAATTCAAGCTCCCACATTTTTGACTGCTTATTGTTGAATGAATATGCGTCCCTTGTCCCTCATGGATGGAAGGAAAAACTTAAACCCAACATATATACCCCATGTGCTATTCCCCTCATCACCAATTGGTTTTGAGGTGGAACTACATGTGGGCCTATATTTGAGCCTTCAAGACTTATGTAGATTTCTTCATAGAACTGCTTTGCTACTACTGAAATCAATCTTATGGGGTGTGATCTTGCTGCTTAAGATACAGTCACCAAATCCCGGATCTCTGGTTCTTGCATTTCAGCTATCAGTAGCACGTTCTTCGTTTACATTGCTGTTTGTGTTGGTTGCTTACTTGCTTTTTTGGTTATCTTCATACTGGTGTTATCGCAAATTAGATAGATGCTGGTTTTGTTGTTGAATCATATTTGTTTCATTTAAAGTCACTAAGGATGATTTGGCGTTCGAATTTACATCCTTTAATCAGAGGAATAGGAACCATGCTCCGAAAAGGCAAACAAAGTGTTCCCAAATTAATACAGAATGAGAAGTTTCTGGATATAACAAAAGAAAATGCACTTCTTTAGTGACATGTTTCACTTGATTTTAACACCAGAGCCTGTTGTGTGCGGAATCATAGAATAACATTTACTTTCGCTTAAAATTGTTTTGCTAAAAATCATGGAAGAAAAAAATATTGAATATAAAGTGGAGCCAAATTGATCTGGATCATTCTCTGGGGTGTAGAAATAGTTTGTTTTCCTTTATATTTTTTGGTTTTTTGATATTCTAAGTCAATGGGTACTTCAAAATTTCAGACATATTTAACCCCCAAAAAAAAAAATCACACATAAAACATCCAGACTTTATATTGTGGCATTGGGTGCTTTGTAGATTCTTTCTTTAGTTCCATGTTTGATTAATCACTTGGATAAGTCGTCATATCAGCTCTATGAACTCCTGAAACATAGGTTCCCAGGTTGCAGGTTCTAAAAGTGGTTGGAACTGTGTTTGATTCTCAGTTACCTTCTGTTTCATATTCTTAGAGTTTGTAAACCGAACTGGAGCTTTGGAGCCTTAGAATCCTTCGAAGTTTGTAGATACAGTTGAACTTGTATCACTAGTAGGTCTCATTGGTCAAACTTGTATGCTGCGAAGATACATTGATTGCAGTGGATTCAGTTACATCTCAATATGAATTTTTAGTAGAAGTACTTTGCTAATATTCAGTTATTCTCACAGCCATGACTTGCGCTTTAGGTTATATTATTTGGCATATACTCATGCTTGAAACAGTTAAAACAGATAATTCTTTGAATCGTGCTTATGGAAATACTAAACCTCACTTTTTGCAGTCCACTCGAGCGAGTAGATTTCCAAAGAAAAAACCAAGAAGAAAGTTGGAAACATGGTGAAGCCCAAGATTGCACCGTCGATGTTATCATCAGATTTCGCGAATTTGGCTTCCGAGGCAGAGCGGATGCTCAGATACGGGGCCGACTGGCTCCACATGGACATCATGGTATGCTGTTACAAAACTGTGTGATGCATTCATCAATGAGCTCTGTCTTTTAGCGCTTTACTTTTATGTGATAAACCTAGTACTTACTGGAAATTCTGCCTATTCTATTTTGCAGGATGGGTAGGTTTGTTGGACCAGGACCATTTCCATATGATTGGGAATACAAAATTTTGTAGTTTTTGCCATGCCATGTTATTTAGCCAGTTACGATTGGAAGGTTATTGACTCTTTTTTGCTTTTTTCTTTCTTTTTTTTTTGTTTTTTGTTTTGTTTTCTGGCACCTGAAGTCATTTTGTTCCAAATCTTACAATCGGAGCGCCGGTCATTGAGAGTTTGAGGAAGCATACGAGGTAGAACTGAGTTATCACATACTGGGTTTGAATCAGCCGAAGGAACATGGGTTTTTTTTTTTTTTTTTCCCCCTTGGGTGGTATAGGGACTGAATTTAAAAAATGTTGCTTGCAGTGCGTATCTGGATTGCCACCTCATGGTCACCAATCCTCTTGATTATGTTGAACCAATGGCGAAAGCTGGTGCTTCTGGATTTACTTTTCATGTCGAGGCATCCCAAGGTAAATCGGCGAAGTTCATTCTTCGAAATGTAATTACTATCTTTTGTTCATTATTTCAAAGTTAAACACAGATGATTTTTTGGAGGGCAGATAATTGGAAGGAATTGATTAAGAGCATAAAATCCAAAGGCATGAGACCTGGTGTTGCTTTGAAGCCGAAAACACCTATTGAACAAGTTTATCCCCTGGTATTCATTTTTTTACTCTATTGATCTTGGTATTGATTTTCATGTTTTTAGGTCTCTTAGGACGTCATCTCTTTCAATATCAGTTTTTTGATAATTCTGCTGTTTGAGTTCAACATGCTTCTGTTTCCATTTTCTGTTGTGAAAGGTTGAGTATGAAACACCAGTGGAAATGGTTCTCGTAATGACTGTTGAACCTGGATTTGGGGGGCAAAAATTTATGCCAGAAACAATGGAGAAGGTTATTTGCACTGACTATTATCCCAAACTTCAGGTTTTTATTTGTTACGTCCTTTTAATTCTATTGATTCCATTTGTCACTTACCATTTTAGGTCCGTGAGTTGAGGAAAAAGTTTCCAAACCTTGATATAGAGGTGAGTAGTGTCCTCTTTTCCATTTGTATTGTTGCGGTTATATTAGCATATCTATTAGCTGCTTCCATCGTCCCAACTTGAGTGAAATGCATATTTGTTCGATATTCTCCTGTCAACAAACATCTTGGAAGTTATTTTTCCTCTACATTTAGTTTGACATCTACAGCAGTCTCAAGGTTGAGAAAAGTCCAATTATCCCTTCGTGTACCTCTATGAGAGCTCAGTGGCTTGGAAATATTCTGTTCAGAAAAGTCATCCAAAATTTAAGTCTAATGTACTGCATTTGTACGTTGGAAGGAATGTTATATAAGTAACTACGCCCATCAAAATGGCATCTTAAAGTGTGAAATTAATCTAGATAATTGGCATTCAGTTGTGATTTTAAGGTCTTCTCCCCTTCAATAGACCTATATGGAATAAGGGGGCTTACACAAAATTTGTTAACTACAGGCAACTCTGTCTATGGTGAGCTATAAAATAGTGCATTACATCCGAAGTCAGATTTGAATCTTTTGATTAAAATTCACCTCAAGTATAAATGTAATGTGGAAGGTTTTCTAAATAAATATGCAGGTTGATGGTGGCTTAGGACCTTCAACAATCGACATGGCAGCTTCGGCAGGGGCGAATTGCATTGTGGCTGGAAGTTCAGTATTTGGGGCTCCAGAGCCGGCAGAAGTGATATCCCTGATGCGAAATAGTGTGGTCCAAGCTCAATTGGCTAGCTGATAATCTACCAGGGCAGGCAACGAGCGTTTCCTTATACTGATTTATGTACACTGTTATCAATAATGACAGCTTGTGCGGTGCTAATGAAAAGGTAAAATAAACAACACCGACACAAATGTTTCATGATGATTGTATGCGCTGCCTTTATATTTCGGGAGTGAAACACATGAAATTTTCCGATCTTGGGATTTTGCCTTGGCTTGATGCAGTTTAACACATAAATGATGATTGCACCTTGATGTAGGAGTGAATGTTAATTTTCTCTTGAATGGTTCAGTTATGATGCTTATTATTAATGGAGAGTGGAGAGGGGAGTAACAAAGTACTCTACTTATGTGGTGCTGGTGGCAATGGGGGAGCAGCTTGTGTAGATTTTTTCGCTTTTGGGTTTAGTTACCTTATGTAGTAGTAGTAGTAGTAGTAGTAGTAGTAAACTAGTAGTAATAAGGTCGGTCCGGAAAGGGTCCTAGTAGCAGGATGATAATGATGCAAGGATGGAATTCTCGTCAGTCAGCACTGAGTAGTACTAGTAGAATGAGAGAGTCCAAATGCTCGAGTCAGACTCTGCGTAACTGAGTAGATAAACGTGGCGAAGAATATTTGTCCACAGAATTTAGGATGCTTGGTGGCTTGCTTACTAGTTAGAGGTAGTTGTAGCTTCACACACCAAATCTCAATGGAGGGAGATTGTACTTTCCAACTCAGTTCATAACATTAATCTAAGTAATACTCCGTAGAGTACATTTTGTGGATCTCGATGAAGGGGGGAAACTCTTTCAACAGTTCTGAACTCAACAAAAATCCATTAAAAAAAAAGTTGATTTTTCTAGTTACGTAGGAGGGAAAAATTGTAAGAAAAAAAAAAAAAAAAGGATCTTATGAAGAATCCCGGAGGTGGAGAACACGTGATCTCACGTGTGGAAATGCCTCTTTCTTTACAAAGGGGATTGGCTTTTGTTTCCTGTTTTACCCGCATTGTTGATCGAATCCATCCAGTCAAAAAAGGTTTTGGTAAAAATATAAAAATATAGACAATCACCCACACTAGCCAACAATAAAACTTTTTGTGTGTCAGAAAATTGTTTAGAATTATGAGGTAGAAAGTTTGTAGCCAACGGAATAATACCCATCAATCTGTACAATTAAATAATGTCAACCCTCAATTTACCAAAAATGAAAAAAAAAAAGAAAAAAAGAAAAAGAGAGAGAGGCATAATTTAGAACAGTAACATTCACCAGCTATGGATGATGACTGATGAGACGCACAATTTATTTGATGATCTGACCCAAAAGGGAAACCTTCTCCAAATTTCTGAATTGGCAAACAGACCAAATGCGTCACTCCTCCCTTTCAGATTTCCATTCTTTATCTGTTTATCTTTTTTCTCTTAATCTTAATTCTTAGGTCTACTCCTACGGACACCTAATTCAGAAATCAATAGAGTCCAGTCATACATAGTGTTTGGTTTAATCCCGTAGGGACCCTCCCCTGCTCTATATCCATGAATTATGATCCCGTGACACAAAATTACCCTTCCAATTCTGACTCACTTCCCATATCTAATCTCTTCTTCTACTGTCTAAGCTAAAAATATTCTCTACTTTACTCATCATCAACCCAATGAAAAAGAAGTGCCACAAAAACTTCAAAATGAAATACTACCATCACCAATTGCTCGTTGATATCAAAATGACATTGGTTGAGGAGCTTGTGGTACCTCCAAATCTTGCTTGTGTCCATCAAACAAGATTTCTCCCAATCTCAAATCACTAATATCAAGTACTTACTAGGTACTTTAATTATCAAATCACACCACTATCAAATCCATAGCAATTCCCATACTATTCAAGGTCAAATAACAGGATCACATCACTTGCCAATGGCAATCTGGCAATGCTGCATTTGTTGGTTGCTTACAATATAAATGTTAAATCGATCGGTATCTTCTAAGCTCAATGTGCTGATCTTAGAAAATTGAAAGCTACTCTTGTTATATATTCTCGCATTACAAAATGCCATTCCAACAAGCTAGAGGGATGTTGTTTGCCAGAAAAGTTTGCTTGTCCCAACACCCTACAATGGCTGTCCAGGAATCCCAACTTTCCATAAACTAGGTTTCATAGATCCCAAAATACTCAAACCCCCCCCCCCCCCCCCCCCCCTCTTTTTTTTTTTTTTTACTGAGATCAAATAATTCATTTTTTACAACTCACCACCGCCACCATGTGGACGCAGCAGCAGCAACAGCAGCAGCTCCTCCCCAATATCACCACAACAATAACTATGACAATAATTACTGCTATTAATAAGTTCCAAACTAATAAACCCCAGTTAAATGCTTCCATTTTTTACATCTTCTTCCTCTTCTGTGTACTACTATTTTTTTCTGCTGCACAGGAGGACCCCCTGAGCTGCCAGGTTGCTGCATCTCCTTCTTCTTTGTATTATCCTTGTCAAGCTTCCAACAAAGAAGAAAAACAGGATCATCAATCCTGCAAAACTTTTGCAGTTTTTCATACAAACCCTTACTATTCCTCTCTTCAAAATCTTAGCTCACAGTTAGGAATCACTCCATCTGCCATTTCAGAAGCAAATGGCTTCCCACCTGGCACTGAACTCCTCCCAATCAATCAGCTTCTCCTGATTCCACTTGATTGTAACTGCAACAATGGCATCTTCTTTGAAGCTTACTTAACAAAAACCACAACCTCAAAGGAGACTCTATCCGGCATTGCTCGGTCCTTGGAAGGATTAACAACTTGCAGAGCCATTCAAGCCAAGAACCCGACTTTCTCTTTTTCAACAGGAAAGCAGCAGGTTTTGAGGGTTCCTGTGAAATGTGCATGCCCATCTGTTCAGGAAATTGCAGAACAAAAGACTAAGCTTTTGCTGTCTTATCCAGTAAGTGAAGGCGACACCATTGATAAATTGGCTTTGAGATTCAATACTACTCCTAAGAAATTAATATCTGCAAACACTAACAGATCTCTCGGAGCTGAATCTGGTACTTGGTTTCTTCCATTTTCGACAATTTTGATTCCAGCCGAAGAAAAGCCTAAAATTGATTTCCTCCTACCCAATTTTTCAATAAAAAAATTTCCAAGAACCAAAAAAGCCAGAAAAATGAGGATGACCAGAGTCTATATTGCACTTGGGACTATTGCATTTGTGGCAATTATTTCTATTGGAGCAGCTTTCTTTTTCCTCCAATGGAGGAAACGGAAGAATCAGCCCGGTGCAGATTTGGAGCTACAAAAGCTGAGTTTGAGCGTGAGAACCACAAGCGAGAAGAAAGTTTCTTTTGAAGAGGGATCCAACGCTGATGAATCATCTCTCAATGGACAACAGAGTTTTGGAACAGTTGCCTCTACAGCCACCGCCGCCACGGTTGCCACCACCGTCTCCACCACCACAAAGAAGAAGAGACACCATTCGCCACTCGTGGAAACATTCTCACTGGAGGAACTCAGGAAAGCAACAGAAGAGTTCTCATCGGCAAATCTCATAGAGGGCTCTGTTTACCATGGCCGTCTCAACGGGAAGAACCTGGCAATCAAGAAAACGTCTGCAGAAACTATGTCCAAGATTGAATTTGTACTTTTCCAGGAGCCCATTGTTTACCATCAACCCAACATACTCAGGCTTTTAGGGACCTGCAGCTCATCAGATGATTCGTCTTCTTCTTCTTCTTCCCCCTACTTGGTTTTCGAGTATGCTAAAAATGGGTCCTTAAAAGACTGGCTTCATGGTAAACTAGCAGTGAAAAGCCAGTTCATTGAGTCATGCTACTGTTTCTTGAACTGGAATCAGAGATTGAGGATCTGTCTGGATGTAGCCACTGCTTTACAGTTTATGCACCAGGTCATGAATCCACCATACGTCCACATGAACATCAAGAGTAAAAACATATTCCTGGACGAGGAATTCAACGCAAAATTGGGGAATTTCGGGATGGCCAAATGCGCTGAGAGGAACAGGGCAGAGGATGAGCATTATTTGGCACCGGAGTATGTTGGGCAGGGACTGATTTGTCCGGGGATTGATGTGTTTGCATTTGGGATGGTATTGTTGGAGGTTTTGTCGGGGAAAGCGGTGAAGGAAAAGGAGAAGATCAAGGTGATGTTGAAGTCGGAGGAGGCGGCGGAGGAGCTGAGGGAATGGATGGATAAAGCGTTGGGCGATAACTACTCGTTCGATGGGGCCGTGACGTTGGCTAACCTGGCTAGAGCTTGCGTTGAAGATGATCCTTCTTTGAGGCCGAATGCGGGAGAAATCATTGAGAAGTTGTCGAGATTGGTGGAGGAGGAGGGCTGTGGTGATAGTGGAGGAGCGGCGGATGAACTGGGATTCGTTCCCGGAGCGTCTATCTGTGAAAGCTCGTCGAAACCTCTCGTCAAGGCAGCGGCGGAGGAGGCTGCAGCAGCGGCGGGAGGCGGGGGAAGTTAATGCAATGAAATATGTTCGACGAAATTCCCCATAGAAAGAAATGGGGAGGGAAAAAGGTACATTTCAGATAGGATATTGTAACCTACCAGTCTACTACTATATTGTTCATCAAAGAGAAAATTCTGAGAAATTTAGCCAAAAATAAGTGAAATTTTACTTTTTACTAGGTTGTTTAGTGTAACTTTATTTTTTTGCATAAGAAAATAACGAATGTTAGACTTTGCCTGTCTTTTTTTTTTTGTTTCTTTTTTTTTTGGCGTACGACTTGAAGGAAATTAAAAATTAATAGGAACTGGAATCAAACTCCAATGGTTAGTAGTAGTATTATAGAAATCCGAAAGTAGTAGTCAATGTGTCTCAAATGAGCGTTCTTTGTCACACAAGTGGAATGTTCGAATGTTGCAAGAATTAGTAGTTTCTCATACTACATTAGTAGTACCGTACTACCGCGTGCCTGTGCCAACGATAACATTAGTGATACGTAATTATGTATGTATGTCACGCTGTGAATGCAATAGGTTTAGGTTTTTTGTGTGTGTGTGTGTGTGTTTTCTTTTTATTTCTTGTGAGTGAATAATACTTGTATGTTAGGTATGGCAAAATAAATAGTCCAATTTTACTTGGATAGTGCAGTTTCATCACACTTATAGGGAGACAAATTTTGCGGCAGACTGATTCACCGAAATGTAGGAACAATAAGATTGGGGAGGAAGTTCATTAAATACCAGCGATAGTCTTCGCTACGTCACCATCTAATTGAGGTTTTGCAAGTTGTAAGTTGTAATGTTGATATGTAATTAGGCATTCTGCCTTCCTTTTTATTCAAAAATAAAGAAATGAATGGTCAAAACGCGGTCTTGTATTAGTTTTGGTTTTACTACTATCCAGATTCCAGATGGCAGAAAAAGAGTCATGAAACACCTCTCCCAAGCGTAAGTACTACGGAGTCGGAATGGGAATGGGCCGATGTCGGTTCCTTGACATGCTCATCCACTCTTATCCTTCCACGTTTCATGCCCACCTGTTCCATCATTTTCTTTGTTTTTAGTGTCGTTCCGGTCAATGCCCGCCTGAATTAAACTAATTTAATACTTCTATCCCAAAATTATTGTACACTTTGATATTTTAATTTTAGTACAATTTGAATTAGAAATGAAAATTAAAATTGAACAATAATTATGAGACGGAGGGAGTATTTCTAATGTAGCATTAATAAATTACTTGAGGGACTCTAATGTGTACCATTTATAGCAGAACATACTTTTGGACCGGTTCCCGCTACTACTTACCACCCCCCACATTCAAAATATACTTACTGTCAATGTGGAAAACTACAATGACAAACTTCAATTGCTGGCAATTTGATCGTCACACCGTGGCATATATTTTCTAACAAACCTCACGAAAGTACTATTACCAAAATTAGGATCTAACACTTATATACTACTATATTTTGTTTTGTACAATTTAGGTGTGATTGAATAAGCTCTACTGTAATTGCAACACGTGGATCAATTTTATTTTTTTAAAAAAAGGGGGGAAAACATGTGGAACATAATAGTAAAATTAGTGTGGGTTGGCAATTAAGAAAGAGAAACGAAATTGATGGCCACAGCCCACAAACTGCAATGTACGTAAAACCGCCTTTGTAATGTGGCAGGAGTAATGCTGGTAATATATAGTGGCAATACATTGTATTGTAGGCTTGACTTGAATGTTCTAGAATGATCCCAGTAATGAATGAAAAAGCTCTTGTATTTATTTTTTATTTTAAGGAGAAATTCACCAAACGTACTACGACTGATTCCCAAAAGAAAAAGTAAAGTCAATTTCAGCACATTTTCCATATGCATCGTCATCACCGACCACTGACATTCAAATATTTGTATTGCATCTTGATTAACTGAGTCAGAAAATGCGCGCAATATCAAACAAACACATACACACACACACACACACAAATGATAATTGATCACAATACTTTGTACAAGAAGTAAATGACTGAGAGTATTCACAATGGTAAGTACAGTAGCTAGCGGTGAAATAGAAATGATATTTACAGAAGTGAAGTAATTTTCCACCAAATTACATTTATTTACAGTGGGTGGTCACCAAAAGAAGTAGGAAATCCAACAAAATGGAATATACATGTGTTTCACTAAGGAAGGAAGGAAGGAAGGAAGGAAGGAGGCGCAGGAGAATTAATCAAGAGGAGGAGGACATCATGAGCCTGAATTCGTCAAAGCTGAGAACACCATCTCCGTTGAGATCGAATCTGGAAATCATCTTCCGACAATCGGAAATGGTACAGTTGGAGTCCCCCAATCGGGTGAGCATCCGCTGGAGGCTCTTGGGATGAATGTAGCCACACCCTTTCTCCATCTCGTACATCTTGAATGCCTCTCTCAGTTGCTTTGCCTCCTCCTCTTCCCCGCCGCCTTCCGCCATCATCATCTTCACGAATTCCTCCAAGCTCACCGCCCCGTCTCCGTCGGAATCCATCAGCTTCACCGCCGCCTCGCACTCCTCCTTGGACAGCGACAAGAACCACCGTTGCAGCTCCGGGGCTGAGATTCTTCCGTCGTTGTCGCCGTCCAAGTGCTTGAATACCCGCTCGTATTGCCTCCGTATATCCATCTCAACTCAAAGTATATACTTATGTGATGATTAAGAAAAGAAAGACGTTGAAGAAAGAAAGAAATGAGTGTTTTTGGGGTGTGTTTTGGTTCCTTTTTTTGAACTCGGGATGTTTGGAGGGTAAATAGGTTTCAAGTGATACGCTATTTATACACACACACACACAAAAGAAGAAGATTTTTTTTATGGCGGTTTGCCTGTGTCAACACTGAGTAGCCGCGGTTTTATATTTTAATTATTTGTTGTATCATCCATCCATATATGTAATTATTGGTGATTGATGATGACGTGTTCTTCTTCTTCTCCTTCTACTTGTCTCCTATACGTTTTTGTGGTCCGCTTCCAGGAGACTTCGGCCGCCCCTGTTTTGTTTCATTTCTTTTGTGTTGTTATTAACTTATTATATTGAGTATTATTAATCTGCCCTTTCTAGTAAAAATTATAGTCAAACAAACTCATCCTCCACCCATATTACATATTATTATTATTGTTCCAAAAGAGTGATCATCAACACTTGGAGGAGTATTTGACAACTAACCTGTGTTCTATCTATCTATATTACCCTACATGTCTTTCTACCACATATAATACTCCCATCGTCCTAAAATTATTGTCCAGTTTGAGATTCCACTTTTAGTACAATTTGAACTAAAAAACTCAAACTGCACAATAATTATGGGACGGAAGGAGTATAATATTACTACCTTTAAATTTGAGACCTTCCCCCCATTTTCATTAATCATTATTCTCTTTCATAGTATAAATTGGTCCCCTTGTTTTTTTCTTTTTCCCCTTAACCCAAAAACAATAACAAGTATTATTGTATTGGTTGATACCGTTTCATCCCCATGCTACTGGCAGTTAAACAGCAACGTATTTGGCATCATCATCAACATATCGGTAACATTGTGCTACTATTATCTGATAAAGAGGATAGAGATTTCTTGACTGGAAACTTGGCATCATCTCATCCCATTTTTGGACGAATTTATCTGCTCAACAGTCAAAAAACTACCTAATTTTGGTAGTATTAACACTAACATTTTTTTTCCCTTTCTTTTTTTTTTGTCTTCTTTTTAAACTACTAATAAGAAGGGTCTTCTATTGTCGCATAAATACATTTTATTATTATTATTACTAGGTTCGCTCTCGTGCGTTGCACGGAAATTCATTATTGAGTCGATTAATAGTTACGAAAAAAATAGAACCTAAAGAAAAACAGGTACATAATAATTCAACAGTAAAAAGTGAGTTAAAAAAGATGAGGTGAAAATTTAGAGGTATTAATGTTATTATAATTTAAACTTTTTTAACTTTGAATATAAGAAGAGGGTTTTATTTGGATTTTTTTTAATTTTGCCCGTAAGATTTTAACATTTTCTTAATGAAATTAATATTAGAGTATTTGAGTTCGAATATAAGAAGAATATCTTACTTGATTTTTTCTCTCATAATTTCCCCCATAAAATTTTAACATTTATTAATGAGATAAGTATTAGATTTATTGAGTTTAATTGTAAGAAAAATATTTTATTTGTTTTTTTTTTTGTAATTTTACCTATGAAGTTTCAGTAATTATTTTTTCTATAAGCGAAGTTGCTTTTTTTTGGAAGAAAATGTTGAATCAAGGCACAGTAAATAATTAAAATTTGTCTTTCTAGCAATATAATAAACTTATTTTATGTAAATTTGTAATAGAATTATGTTTTTAAGTATATAGTTAATTTTTTTTAATCAAAACGACATAATTTTGATTTAATGTATTTTGGAGGAAAAGCTTTTCATAAGAGTGCGATACCTCATCAGTCTTTCTCACTTGGACTTCTGTTTTAATAGGGTATATTGATGATTTACTACAATCACTGTCTTATATATGTGTTTCTCAAACTCATATTTACAAACCATAAAGTCAATGGTGTAATAATCCTACCGTTAAAGAATGAATGCAGTTTTGTTTTAATTATACCTTGATTGGATTTACTGAAATTGATAGATTGTACTATCACTGTCTGAAAAAAAAAAAATCCACGTTGAATTTTGAGATTTATAAAATTTTTAATAAAATTTTAAAAATTCAACATATACATTTTTGGGGGGATATAAATAGCAACATAAACTATTTTTTTTCTAGAACGGAGAATTAGGGAGTATCTTTTTTATATATGAAGAAGGAGGCCTAAAGCTTACAGTTACAAAACAGACAAAAATTGCGGCCGATGAATTCGGCCTGAGCGGAGTTACTTGTTGGGCCTGCCCCAGAACTTGAAATTTAAATTTCACCATGCCCAGTTATTATCTTTCGTAAGTCATCAATAAAACAAATTCCGACGAAAACTCTTCGGCAGAGGATCTGTTTGCTGTGTGATTGAAATATAGGGAAGGGAGATTCGGATTGGAGAGCTCTTTTTGTGTAATAAATAATAGAGTCCCAACTCCCGATACCTTAAAGCTTGAGAGTAGAAATCGATACAAATAGCATCCCTTTTGTTCGAGTCGTTGGGAAAAAAATTGCCCAAAATTATAAGCATCTGTATAAATTTAAAAAGGGGGAAAAAAAAAAGGTGAAAAGTGGGTTTATATAACTTGAAAGTGTTTGATCGCAAGTTGCATCTGCTATTATTATGAATTGATAGTTTCCTTTCTCTATCACCTCCGCCTCAAGCTGTCCAGGTATGTACTATGTTTCAGCAGTGGTAATAACAGTTCTTATCATCTCTTCTAACTCAATAATGCTTTCGTTCTTTCTTTTCAAAAATTCTTGTAAAGATGGAGTTTTTGTCAATGTTTGTTGGCTTTAATCTTTGTTCCTCAATCTAAGCTTACTGTTGGTTTCAAGGGTTATATAAATGTGTTTAGGTTGATTGTCTGGATTGGCTGAGATTCAATAATTGCTATGTAAAACTCATGTAAAGATTACGTTTTTGTGTTAATGGAGCTCGTCTCGTCCATTTAAAACTTCAAACAAAATCGTGACATATATTAGCTCCTCGCACTTGGTTGACCTCTGTTACCTTGTTTCTTTTCATCTTCTTTAGTTTGCAAAGAATCTCGAGGAACAACTCCAGCTAAGCTGGTTGAAAAGGGGAAGAAAAAAATCATTTTTTGCCGGGACAAAATGGCAGATTTTCAACTGAGAAAGGTGAGTTGACCAGCCTTGACTTACTTTGCAGTACATTGTTAGGTTAGTCTTTTTGCTGATCTATGTGTATAGATTGATTGATATTGTTTCCCCTCTGTGCTTTACTTACCGAATAGTGTGCAAAAAGTGAGCAGACTCATGAAGAGGATCGTATTAGTCTGCTTCCAACTGAGATCCTTCTTTACATTCTCTCATTTCTAAAGCTGAAAGAAGTTGCTAGAGCAAGTCTAGTGTCCAAACGTTGGATGGGATTTTGGATGTTTGCTGTTCAACTTGATTTTGATGCTTCCAAAGTTTTAAAACAATTATCTGCATTGGATGATAATAATGTCCTTAGAGAGAAGAGGCGCTGGTATGTTGAGTGGGTGAATAAAGTACTGCAATCGCACAAAGCCATGGTGATTGACGAGTTTAGGATTTGCTTTGAATTGGACAAATCCTCTCAAGATGATATTGATAAATGGCTCCGCTATGCATTTTCTAGGAGGGTTCAGACGCTAGAATTGAACTTTTTAATGCACGGGCACCCTGAGTTTTTAATTTTCAAGCCTTATCTTTTCCCGTCATGCAGGATCCTTGATCAAAGTTGTGAGAAAAGTTCAGCTGAATCTCCTTCTGCTGACCTTGACAATGGCATCTGTACTCTCCCACTGACTGACTTTAAATCCCTCAAATCATTGACTTTAGCAGGCGTTGATATCACTGAGAAGACTCTTAATTTTTTAATTAACAACTTCCATTGTCTCGAGCGTCTCACCGTGAGTGGCTCACACTCGAGAGATTTGACAAGTGTTGCAGTTTGTCGTTCGTCTCTAAAATATCTTGAATTAACCTATTGTCATTATTTGAAATCCATCATTGTGCGTGATACGTGTCTTGCCTCACTTAAAATTAGTTGGGTGTGTGACTTGGTGCTTGAAAATGTCCCGATGCTTGTGAATGTATGGGTTTCCAGATGGATGATCAGGCAAGTAATCCCACTGCTTTCAAGCCTCCTATCAAGATTGGAGGTTCTTACCTTACTTCTCTTCAATCTTGAGAATAAAGAGGTCAGTCTAAACTTTTTTAGTGACGTTTTGTATGATAGTATTACTATATTTATCTTTCCATCTCATGCCCTCTTTTCTATTCTTTTCTTTTTCCCCCTTTTTTGGATTTGTTTTGTTTTACTATCGTAGGAACGGGGTTTTCATGAGGTTCCCCAACTAACTGGATTGAAGCAATTAATCTTAACCGTTGGGGCATATAAAGATGATAGCCTTATTCGTATAACTTCTTCGTTTGTGCAAGCCTCCCCTAACTTGGAGAAGTTTGTATTGGAGGTATGTTATCTCTTGTATAAAGTAGCTAGTATGATGTCTGATTTTTTCAAGCAATTTGTCAATGGGATCACACGAGTGGCTATCACTCTTCTTCTGTTATCTTAAGACGATCCTTTGCTGTTGGGAAATATTTAATTCTTCAATGGAAGTGGCTTTGTTCCCTAACTGATCCTCAATGCAGGACTGCTTTGTTTTACACCTTTGTGTTGGCTTATAAATGATTGTTGGCTCTTGTTTTGAATGTTGTTGTGCTTTTTTTTTAAAATTATTTTACGACAGTTGCATTGGCACGGTGTCCGTCGAACAGAAAGAAAAATTGAGAAAGTTTCAAGTCCTCCTCTTCAACGACTTAAAGTTGTGGAGATCCTTGGGTATTTTGGTCGTAAAGCAGACGATGAACTTGTCATGTACTTTTTAGAGAACGGCACTGCTCTTGAAAGAATAATCCTTGACCCTCGTTCCCCGGAGATTATGTATCGCAAACGTATCAAGAAACCAAAGGCAGAGAAGATGGCCAGAATTCATGCCGGGGCGCTGTTTAAGGAATTGATGATACCTTCATTTGTTGAATTAGTCATTCTTTAGCGTCCTCTTGTGGGTGGGCTTTTTATTCAAAATTTGCACGTCACTGAACCTTTCTTTTATACGGTATCTCAAAATATAAACTGTTCATCATTGATTTTTTTCCAATTTTATCCTCAGTAATCTATGTCACCCTCTTTTTTATTTAATTTTGTTTATATGTAAAATATATTGGACATACAAACTAATTGTTGATAAATTGTCTCTTTTAATTTACGTGATTAAGTCTAAAGTAATTTGTATGTTGAAATGCAGAGTATCCACAGTACAGAGTTTTGGCCTTTGTTATTTTGTCGGTAATTTTTTGTTTGGGTGCAGACAGGTGTACAAGTTTTCATGTTCTTTTTCCTTCTTTATTAAATTTAAAACTTTTGTTTCTAATATATATCTTCAATTTAAATTTCAAAGTATAAACTACATCATTTGCAAAATCCCTTATCGTTCAAAGTATAAGCTTCTCTGGTGCTTAATTAAGAAGGTGACAAAAGTTCCTTATGGTTACTTAGTAGAAAATGGGTCCAATCCCAAATTTTTGGGCTACAGACCAAAAAATGGGGATGCCGATAAAATTGTCTCCGAAACAAATAGTGTGGATTGGGCCGCTTGATTTGGAGAGCGGTGTCACGTTATTAGAGGAGTAAGTTGGAATTTTAGGAAAGATAGGGTGCATATTATTATGGGCATACAATTTCTGAGCTTATTTTTTTATGTTTCATGCAACAGAAAGTTTTAACGTATAAAAATCAGAAAGACCCGCCAATACAGCATGCATTGTAGTGTAACTATAATCAGCATTACAATTGATCTTATCGATTAACTCTACACAGTATATGTGTATCTTGCTTTATGCAATTCCCTCCCCATTTTTTTTAATAAAAAATTTCTCTATCCCTCTCTTCATATTCTGCAAATCCTCTTCTTGCACATATGTTTGTTTTGTTTTTTTAGTGTGTGTTTTTAGGTGTTTTTTGTATTGAAAATGTAAAAAAATGTGTTGAAAATATCAAAAATTATATTAAGAGGGGACAGTTATTAATAAAATAAACGAAAAAAACCATAAAAAAAAAAAAAATCAAACAAACAGAGCCTAAAATTTTCGTGTTACCATCCATCCAGGTGCAAATTCTCTTCCCCTACTAAATGAGTACACATACTAGAGTAGAAAATACTCAAAACCCACAATTCACAAAGAGTTTCCCAGAAGCCCACAATTCAGTATCATCAAAGTATGCATGCTGGAAATATGTACTTTGATAATAATTTTGATGGATGAAGGAAAGAGAACACAAAGGAGTGTTACACAAAGTCACAAACCATATTCTATGAATTTTAGGAAACTTACCCAAACCAAACACCATTTCATTCGATTGTTAATGAGAGCCTGCATCGATCTCTAAAGCTAAACCCCTAGGCTAGGCCTAATTAATTCATCATATATAATCCTAAATTCTCATTTAATCATCAAACAGGGGAATCGATCTTAGATGATCATACAAGTGTGGTGATGCCAAACCCTTGAGGATGATCTCACCCACCAACAATTTCCTTTCTCCTCCAGCCTCCATTTTCAACGTCCCCATCGTTATCGCCCTTCAAGTTCCACCGCAACTGCTCTCGGACTTCCACATCCAATATTACAGAGTACCACCACCACCCCCCAAGTCCAAAACCACACCCGATATTGAATATCACAAACAAACCAAAAACTACAGCTACTACTAGATGGAATTAATGAATCGTTCGAAAGATATGCGTCTGAAATAACATTCATCATAAGCTAAAATGGAATCCTCTAGAGATCTCATCTCTCCCCTGTCTTAATTTTGTTCCTTCCTATATATCCCTCTATTTTTCTCCCCTGACTTCAGTGTTCCCCAATTTTCTCCCCCCTAAATTAAACCTCTCACTTGCTTGTTCTATTTCCTTGGATTAAAAGTGTCTAAAGGTGACACACACAGATCTATAGACAGAATATCAGAAATCAAAAAGGCCAAGAGCAATTCTATTTATACCAACGACGGAAAATCAAAACCAGAATTTAACAGCGTACATGTAATTTATCGCATCAAAAGATATATGGTTCGGCTTTAAAATTTGCAAGAATACAAACACAATTCAGCCACCATTCTTACTAACATATAGACAGACAGGACAAAAAACAGCCACCCGGCCAATTTTTTCCCCATATTATGTAATACGCTACCATTCTTAATATCGTAGATATGAAGCGGGAAGAACTCGGTGACACAGGGTACAGCACCAAACCAACCTTCACGGGTCGGCGGCGGCCTCATCATCTTCAGTTCCGGCTCCAGATTCATCATCGTCTGCTCCGGCCTCAAAAGCTTCCCCTCCAGTGGTGTTGCCTGGTGTGGATGGAGGTGGAGCCAGAGGCAAATCCAGCGGAATTACGTCGAAATTCTTCCGTGCAGCACGAATTACCTTGCGGTAGTGTTTACTCACGCAAAGATCGGGTTTCCAACCTTTGTTTGGATACTTACTTTGAATTTCAATAACGGCCTTCACATCGGCACAGGAAACCACCTGAAGTTGGGTGAGCTTGACGAGGGCACGCTCGTATGCAAGGCGTTTCTTGAGGCTGCGGCCGGGTTTTGCAGAATTGCGGTACTTGCGAAGAAGTTGGTGGGTGGAGAGTAGAGCAGGGAGATCCATTTTTGGTGGGTGTTCAAATCAGAATGAAAATGCAAATTTCGTGAGTAAGGTGTTTCTAAATGCTGCTGTGTGTTGGGGGGTTTATATAGAGTCCTAATTAAGGTGGATTCTGTTTCATTTTCGAGTATATTTTTATTTTTCCCGGTGGCATGTGGATTGTGGAATTAGCAGCCATTAGGAAGTTCTCTACTCTCTGTCTCCTCTCTTCCCTTTTTATTTTTTACTTTCATTTTAGAAAAAGGTTCAACAAAGTATTAATGAAATCTTTTTGATTAAATAAGAAGAAAGACATGATATTATATATTGTTAAGAAGGACTTAAAAATCAATTTGTGGTTCATTCATTCAATTAAATCGTCAATTCTATATGTATGGGTTTTAGAAACGTCTCTCTAAAAAAAAAAAAAAATACTATATCAGAAAGACCGCTTTTGTCTATGGGAATATTGTAAAGCAATTTCGAATATAAAATGATTCAGACAAACATCTCATTTTCTGAGAATGGGTCGATGATGTTTAATTTTAATTTCATTTAAAAAAAGGGGGTGCCATGGGATGAAAAAAATGTATGAACAATTTATACAGCTATCTTTTCGTTGAACACCCAAAACCAAATTTCAGGCTATAGTGAGTGTAAATGGTTAGTGTGTCTGGGTACTAATACTGACTACTGAGCTAGGCTACGAACGACCTTTGGGTTTTTAGAGTAGGAAGGAGGAGGAGGCAGTTGTTGCATGTCAATGGGCCCCCCCTTCCACTCGGCGATCCGATCACGTGAGAAAGATTGAACATTGTTGGGATCCTCCTTCCTCTACGTCAGCAAACTTTTGTGCCTATGGAACTTCTTCTATAAAAACATCATCCTCATTCTCCATTTTCATCCTTAGTAGGTTATTTTTAGGATTTTCCAGTTACAAGTTTTCGATTTTGACCATTTTATCTATGTCATTTGACAAAACTAAATTGAAGGAGAGAGAGAAAGGGAGGGGGAGAGAGAAAATAAATCACTCAGACCGAATCGGGCAAGTCATCAGGTCCGATTCACGTGAGAATGGACAAATTATTAATTTTTATTTTAATGCTAGTTTATTCGCAATGTCGTTGTATGTTGAATACCTCGTACTTTAAACATTATTAACAATATTTATACTTTCGTGCTTAAACTCTCAATTTTATATTTACTTGAAAATAAACAAGTAATTAGTTTTTACTTGAAAACAATTTTAAGATTATTCATTAAGTTAATTTATTTGAATTGATATTAAAATTTTAAATTTTGCTTCATTCATTATTTTTTAAGATAATTTTGTAGTTAAAAATAATAATTATATATTTATAATCAAAAAATAATAATTGTACTACAAAGATTGTGACAAATATGTACAAATAGCTTAACTATTTTTTGTACTACAAAGATTGGTGATACTTAATATAACTCAAATAATATATTATTCATAAATTTAATGAATCAAGATCTTATGACCTAAAAACTAGATAAACTAATTACAAAAAAAAATCTAAAAATTTAAAAAATAGCAATGAATCTGATTGATATTTTTTTAATTTTTAGATTTTTTAAAATAATAAATATTTTTATTTTTTTAATTACAAAAAAATAACAAAAAAAATCTAAAAATTTTTAAAAAATGGACCTGACAGAACCGGTTCATCATATCGGACCGAACCGAGACCGACCGTGCAATGACCGTCCCGAGTTAATCTGAGACGGGTGGACCGCCCGCCACTTATTCGCCCGAAAGGGTTCATTGCCCGTCCCGAGTTAACTCGAGACGGTTTCGGTCAACCGACCGTGCAATGAACCCGTTCGGACAAACAAGTGGGCGAGCGGTCCACATGTCTCAGGTTAACTCAAGACGGTTTCATTGCACGGTCGGTCGGTTTTTTATTTTTATTTTTTTAATTTTTAATTTTTTTTTTAATTTTCTCTCTAGTCAAGTTATTCGATTTAAAAAAATAACAAGGGTATAATGGTCTAAAAAAAACTGTAGCTGAAAGAACTAAAGTTGATGCTTGAAAAACTAACACCTTCTTTTATATATAAAAAAGGCCTCCTTAGTAGTTAGTACTAGACTACTAGCATATCTCTTTCACATGAGAGTTACGGTACTGAATTAAGAAAGAGCTAAATACAAGAACATTTCACCTGCAGCTATGGCATTTGGCGGTTAAAGTCACGGTGAAACTTTTTCGTTGCATTTTCACACCAAATAATATGATTGGCTAGAGACTAGAGTAGACCAATTGTATAAATGGGTAAGAAAAATTGAACACCATTTTTTTGTACACTTACATGTGCCATGCAATAAAATAAAAATAAAATGGTATAGATCTATGGTAACTCCTACAGCATTTGGGGGAAGAGAGAGATGATTAATCAATTTTTAGAAGGCTACTAATAATTGCGTCCTTCCGAATCTAAAAATACGTCCAAACAAAATCATCATAATTACTAATCTATATAAGAAATTTATCTGCACAATTAATTAAATTTCAAAACTAATACAATACCAAAATGTGACAAGATGAATCAATCATACTCTTATCAGGAAATTAACTAAAGAATATATTTATAGAATGATCAATCATTAACTAATTAAATAATTAATAATTGTATTGTGAATATAATTGTAAATGAATTTAATTATTTTAGGAAACTGATATATTGATAGCTTTTCTGTTATATTGAGCGTAAATGTTTTTAAATATCATATTTACAATACCAGATATCGAGTAAACTGATCAAATGGTCCTTTCTATTTACTAGAAAATTTAATTTGGTCCTTTACATTAAAAATGTCACTGAAATGTCCGTTACATTATCTTTTAGACTAATTTAGTATCTTTTTTTTTTTTTCACTTTTTGACATTTTACATTTGGTGGTTATTGGGTTGACCATTTATTGGTCAAGTCAAACGGGATATTTTTAGTAATGTTTAATTTTTAAAAATATAAGAAAACAAAATTTTATTTAAATAATATTAATTATAGTATCTTGATTTATAATCAATCAAAAAATTAAAATTTCAAAATTAAAAAAAAATCCAAAATCTGATTCTTGTTTATCCAGTGGGCCCTACACTTTGGTGTCAATCGAGTTGGCTTTCAGGTTTGCGGGTCGGGTCCGACAAAAATTCAAATATTTATTTACTAACTTGAACACAACCTGTTTAACTATACAAGTCAATTTTCTGAGCCTAAACACGATTTGATAATAACAGGGATGGCTCGACACGGCACGAAATAACCCAAAAATAATTTAATATAACTGCAATTAAGAAAATATTTTTTTTTTTGAAAAAATTTAAATTTGAAGTACTCATAGCTTAAACAATAAGTAGATGTCTACAAACATTAAGTATGTGATTTTTTTTTTAATTCTTGTGAATTTAATGGGAAAGAACTGACTAAATAATACATCACAAGCATGATAGTATGTTTAGAACTAACTAAAAAATAGATATTCTAAATAATATGAGTATATATATATATAGAGTTTAGATAGTATGTTTTTAATATTTACCTAATAAGTTCTAATTACTTATTTTAAATTTCGGGTTAAACGGGTCAATACAGGTCCTCGCAAGTTAACATGAGTTCTGCATGTTTCATTAAACCTGTTCGCGGGTTCGATCCGGTTTCAACCCAAACCCGTCAGACCTTAATCTCAAACTCACTTTTTACGTGAATTGTGTTTTTGTATCGTGTCAAAGATTGACACCCCACCATATCCATGTTCTTATTATCAACCTTATTTTTTAACTTTTTTTTCTCCACATCTAGGTCAGAGTTTGAGAAAGAGAAAGTGTTTAACCAGGGGAATGGAGATAAAAGTTAAAGAATAAAGTCAATAATAAGATACTGGTTATGGAAACCATAGGATAAAAAAAAAATTCCGATTTTGAAAAGAAAAATGTGAATTTTTAAATTTTATTTTTTTAAATTAGTTATAAATTAATATAATATGTTTAATATTATTTTAATTAATTTTTTAATATCATTTTTTTGTAAATTAGATATTACTGAAGATGTCCCGGATGACTTGACCAATAAATGGGTCAACCCAAGAATCAATAATTACAAAGTGTAAAAAAAAGTAAAAAAAATCTAAATTAATATAAAAGATATATGTAATGGACCAATTCAGTGAATTTTTAACGTAAAGGACTAAATTAAATTTTTTGACAAACGTGAAAAATCATAGGCTTGAAATCGGGAGAACACATTTACCGTAATAAATTTTCCAAGTCTTATTCCCTTTTCGATTAAAAAAGATTACGATCATATCCCTTTTAAAAAAAATAAATAAATTGTGAATATCAAATTACGCGGTTATAAATCATTGTTAATTAATAATTTGAAACGCACGGGAATAGTACTAGTTGTATAAATGGGCAAGAAAAACTGAACACCATTTTTTGTGTACTTACGTGTGCCATGCAATAAAATAAAAATAAAATGGTATAGATCTATGGTAAGTCCTACAGCATACGGGGGAAGAGAGAGATGATTAATCATTTTTAGAAGGCTACTATTAATTGCGTCCTTCCTTATTAGTCTCGTTATAAATCAACAAAATGTGTCTCTGTGATTGAGATAGTCCTCTGCAAAAAGAATACAAGCATTTCAGAAAGGAAGGTAAAACTGTGGCTGAAGACTATACAAAATGATTAGATGGGTTGGGTGTTAAACTTACTTATTCAAAGGTCCAAAGCCCGCTAACAAAAATGGCTTTGCAGCAACTATAACGCACCCTTTCCGTTGTTTTACAAATAAATTTACACAATCCATCAATCATTGTATTAAATCCTCCTATATACGCGAGAGATTCCAAACCCCCGAAACACATTTCTCAAAGGAAATAGGAACAAATAGCGCAAAAGGCTATCGATCTCCGTAAAGAAAGAAAGAAAGAAAGAAAAAAAAATTCAAGAATCAAGACATACACATGCATTGATGCTGCTGTGATAGTTGATGGATACCACTTTAAATCGAATATTGGGCTGGTCCAATATATGAGTTTCCAAATTATCAGGCCTAATTGCTCTCTCTATTCTCTACTA